TCGATTCCCGGAGCAGGTCTGTGCCGCTGCATATCCGAACGCGTCAAGTTTTACGCCCCGCCAGGAGTAACGCGGAGGCACTCGTGTTACTCCTGGCGGGGTAACACTCCAGTCACTCAGTGAGCAGACGAGCGCTGCCCCGTGCCATCGTTCGGATGTGGCACTCGTCCTGTCGACTTCCGCCCCTGGCACCTAACTGGATGTGGTAAGGTGCCGGTCACATGACCGATCCTTTGGAAAAAACAAAAAGAAAGACTCGACGCATAGTATGCAAAAAAGCCACAAACATCGTACATACAACGAAGCTCGGATATTTGGCCTAAGAAAACGATCCCAATATCGCCGCAGCCCCACGACATATAGCGGTCCGCGGTGCGAAGAAAAATACGGCGCTCAATGGAGCCCGTCTACCCGCGTCGATGCCTCTGGCGCCAATCACCATTAGGATCTAATTGCCTTGTCCCTATTTCTCACGTGCTAGACGCGGCGACCGTGACTCGAAGGGTGCTATCATCGTTTTCGCGGTCACTTCTCACGCCTCTCGATAATTGTTTTCGGTTTGCTTGTTTGTTAGGATATTCCACGGGCGGTCGCCGAGCGTGATTGCGAAAACGGTAACGCGCGCCCAGAGACCGCTGAAATGTGAACTGCAGTCGATTTAAAGCGGTTCGTGTGTTCGCTCCCACGTGTACGACGCAGTTTATCATCAAGGAGCTATTTACAAACAATAGCCACGGCGACGTTGAATTAAAGGATGTGGCTCGGTAATTGATGGGAACCTGAGCGCTCCGATCAAATAGAAAACGCAATTGCGCATGCGCAGTTTAACCATCGACACGGTGCTTTATCATAATCTTTTAAAGCTCAATGGATGCGAGCGGGCAGTGAATAAGGTGGCATTTTTGCAATGAAAAATAAACAGAAATTGTTAATTTTTTTTTATTTAAACATTCCTTTCTTTCTTTACATCTCCCCCCCCCCCCCCCCCCCCCCTCCCTCCTTCTTTCCTTTTCATTATCGAGCGGGGTCGGCGGAGTGCCGACGCCAGTTAGATAAACGCAAAAACAATTTCACGTCTTTTCGAAACTTTTAGTGGAGGACGTTTTTCAGCGTGCTTTTCCCAGCGTAGATGCTAAGAACTGATAGCGCGAAATGCACGACAAGGAAGCGTTTTTGGAAGCTCACCGTCAGCATGCGCTCAGCAGCCGTGAAGTGCATCGGACTCGGGGAATCGGTGTCCGAGTGGTCTAAACGCACACCGGCTCGGAGCACGTGGAGCGAAAGCTCGTGCTCCGGAAGCCAGGGATCCTGGGTTCAATCCCCACCCCTGCCCGTTTCGATCTGGATGAGCACCGTACCGGCGTGCTGTCGTGTATCACTACTGCGTGGTGCACGTTAAAGACCCCAGGTTAGCGGTTGTACTGCACTGGCTAAATTTCTCACCCACAGCTGGGAGACAAGTCGCCCGTTGAGGCAGGCGAAGCTCTAGGCTGTATAAACATACACAGACCCCCAATGCATGATGGGAGAAACAGTTAAGACAACACGGAATACGAAGAACATACACGACAGGAAAGTGCTCACAAGAACATACACAACATCATTGTCCTGTCGGGTGTGTTCTTATTCGTAGTCCTTCTTTCCTGAGCTTTTTTACCCGTCATGTATAACGTCAACCAACTGGCCCAGTTCAACACCTTATTATACACCCCAATATTATTTTCTTTTTTGCAGCTGACTTTTTGTACGCTGCAAAGGAAGATGAAAGAAATAAACTGCAACAAGGTACTGCGGTGGGCTAGTTGGTTCATACTTAGTGTTTGAACAGCGTTCCTGTCGTCTTTGCGCTGTTCAAACACGAAGATGAAAGCACTGGGCTTTCATCTTACTTGCCGAGCACGCGCGCTCCTGCAGTGTAAGCCAACGTGTGCAAGCCAACGTTCGCAAAAATATCGTTCAGTGACACTTTGGCACACGGCAACGTGATCGTGCTTACGGCTTCGGCTTCGCTCGTACGTAAAGAGAAACGTACTTTAAAGGAGCTACGCAACAATTTTTGTACTCTGCGCAAATACCGCTTAAAACGGATCCCTAACGTTAATGACCTATGAAACACGCGTTCGTTTTTCACCCCACGCAATAGAAGTCCCAGAAAAAAAATTAAAGAAAAACGAGCAGCGTTCACCCCCTCAACTCGCAGCCAGAACAAGCGGCCACGTGATCTGGAGCCGATTATATGCCGCCAGTGTTGATCATAGCCACGCGCTGGTGTTGGCAAAGCGCAGGACACGCGCTGAGTTCCAGACATTGTTATGGCTCGGCTGTTGTCGTCGTTGCAGCGATTGGACACGGGTCACAACCCGAATGCTTCTCGAGCTAGCAATTGTCACGAGCCCAAGTCGAGTGCCCACGCAATGCTCGGGTCCAATCTATGAACCGCATTCAAATATCGTCACTTGGGTGTTCTGCGATCCCCGAGTTACGTCATCAAATTTTGCAAAGGAGAGATTGAATGAAAATGATCGCTTTTGTCCTTGAAATTACACCGCAACAAAGGAGTTTCTTGGCCAATGGCGTTGCGTGTGAGTATCCTTGAGTCCCAGGTGTGCCAGTAAGCTCGTGTAGAGAGAAAAACATCCCAATTGAATATCGTTGCACAGCTCCTTTAAAGGGACAATGAAGGCAATTTCGGATATTTTTTTGGCGATTGAACTGGGTTCCCGGCACGTCTCAGGCCACGTTGCCCAAATTTCAGCCGAAACCGGCGCTTGTGTGCCGCGCGAATCAATTAAACAGTCGCGGTACTAATCGTACCGGGATCGATCGAGGCGACGCCCCGAGCGTTGCGGGAGAAACCAGCAGAAGCGGAGGTCACGTGACCCTGCAGGGCCTGGAAGCGTGACGTCACAAGAGACGCGTCAGCGATTGGTCGAAACAAGGAACGTGCTTTCGGTCACGCTTTGGTTCGTGGTTTTTATGAACACTGTTCTAATTCCACTTGAATAACCATGAAAACTATAAATCGAACCAAAAATGATAACTAAATCGTAAATAAAACGCCATAATTATTTTTCTCTTTGCTACACTGCACGCGAAACGGGCAACGAGCAACTATGGGCAAACAAAATATATAAAATAAAGAACACAGCGCGGAACACCGCGCTGCTATAACCCACCGCGGTAACCAGAGTCTCGACGCCCTAAATCCTACCGGTACCGACAATTCACATGTGACGTCACTCCCTACGTCACCTCCGTTTTCGGAGGCCCAAAATTGAGAAACACAGATAGTTCAGTTTCAGTTTCTTCAGTTCTTTCATAGGTACAGAAATACGCGTCACAAATGTCTATAAAAAATTGGGCAGTATGCCAGGTTCCTAAGAAGCCTAAAAACACCATTTAAAATTTTTAATTAAAATCGTCTTCATTGTCCCTTTAAACAAGAAGTGCACGCACGTGATATTGAAAGCAGCCTGTTAAAAAAAAAAAAAACATGCATTGCGGAAACCTCCCGAGGTTGTATAAATGTACAACATGCGAAGTATATAGGATCAGTGGATGCCTCTTCGATTCCCTATTTTCTACGACTGTACACGGCATTGCCACCAGCAAGAGTTAGACATTGAAAATATTAGAGAACGTGGCTTGCACTGATGTCACATCGTTGGCCACCGTGGTGGCCTTGCATCTGCCTGCCTGAGCATACATATTCTGCATCATACGTATTCACTTCGTAGAACCGAATTTGTATTCTTATCCGCAAGGACAAGTAGAAATGACCACCAGCATGGTGTGGTGACGTCATATGCGAGCCATGGCCATGCCTAAGAGCTGTTGAAGCCCACAAATTCCCACGCATCACCATCGGCATAAGCACCAGGCTGAGAAGAAACACTGCACCGTGAAGAGGAGGCACAAAATCCCCGATGGCGGCTGGCAGCCGTGGTCCACCGGACCCCTTGGGTCTGCACAGCCCAGGATAGGTGACCCACAGGGGCCACCCCATCATCAGGACAGCCCCTAAGGACAACTGGCACCATAACCCCCAAAATTCTCGCTTGTTGCTGCTGGCCCCTCAGCTGGTGCTGCGTCTTGGCCGACGCCATGGCGGCTTTAGCGAGGGTGCTCATGCCTCAGCCTTTTCCAAGGACCGAATTTGCGGGAGACGCGGGCCACCGACGGCCGCTCCTGAGGTGGTGTCATCTTGCAGACCGGCAGAACTCGGATGATCCGCCGACCGGTGCGGCCTGGTTGATTGATTGTCGAGTCGTTCGCAATGTGTGCCTTTGAGTATTGTTGCCATCGCGGTTAACTGTTTCGTGACCGGAGGAAACAGTTTGTTTTAGGCCATCGATGAACTGTCGGGGACCCGGATGAGTTTCTATGGTAGGGAAGGTGGATACTACTAGAGACAACAGATAAGCAGAAGGAATGAACAGACCAAGGCGTGCATATATCTCTCCGTTTATACTAGTCGTCTGTTTTCCCTTGGCGATAAGTTAAATTATTTTATAGAATACAAACTAGCTAGTGCATGTTTAAAGTATTCTATTGTTCCATGAGCGGAGGGGACCTCGCGTTGTCTTAGGTCATCTATGAACAGTCATGAGACTTTGAGGATTTTCTATGGTTGGGAAAGGGGCAACTGATAAGCACTGCTCAAGGAACAATTTATATTCAAAAGAAGCGACCAGACAACCGTGAACCTGTTCGTTCCTTCTACTCGTCTGCTGTCTCTTGACGTTGTTATCTTTTTTCAATGTACTATATCAACTAGCCCATCTGTATACTCTTTTGTGGTTCTATGACCGGAGGGGAACTCATGTTGTCTGAGGCCATCGATGAACAGTCTGTGCACAATCCTCGCAACTCCTACCGCCGCATTGCTGAAGACTGCGGGTAGGACAGGAACACTAATTTTTGAGTTGTTGAACCTTATAGCAATGAGGTGGACGATTCGCGCCGCTGACATGCGACTTGTTCTTTCTTTTTACCCGCAGGTGCCTGTCGAGATGACATCTGCCCGCGCAAGGCAGAAGGTGCGTTGACAAGTCGTCCTTGCGTCTGCGCCAAGTGTGTCACGGCGCTGTACTTCCTTCTAAAGTCCCTTGATACTTCTTTTACAAGTAACGACAACCAATACAAATGACAACGCACATTCCGCTGGAACCAGATGGCGCGCATTCAGTTCAAACATCTGCTGTGCGCCGCCATTCGCTTCTTAAAACCTGCGTCGTCACGCAGTCGGTGGTTCAAAGAATGTCGCTACTTGTAGGAAGCTCTTATCTAGGGACTTTACTCCATTCCAGTTTTAAGTCCAGACACAGCCGACGCGAGCTGATGGGTCCAGTCAGACGTCGGAATCGCACTATCATGGTCATGGTGTTCGTCATGTTTCTGCACGTGTTCTATCGTCTCTCAAACAGTTATAAGCAGAGAAGGCCTGGTTGCTTGAGCATTGACGTCACTTGATCGGTCCCATTACCTCGTAGCGTTGACTGCGTCTAAACTTTAGCTGGTACGAGCTATAGTTGTTTTTGTTGCTTTTTTTTTGTCACGATAAGGCTTACGTAATGTCATTCCGACATTGCCTGTCGAGCAACGGTCGCTCGTTACTATACTGTTTAGAATCACGAGTTCACTGGTTAATGGTGAATGGCCGGTATTCGAGCAGGGTCATCTATAGATAACACGAGGCCCGATCAGTTTGCCTCCCTCACCACAACAGCGCGGGGCAGATTTCGCTGAAAGTGCTGCTGTGTCAGCAATCGTGTCTGACTGAAACGGAGTTACAGAGCCGAACACTGACCTAGCACTTGTGTCCGGGTGACGTAGCACATCCAGCAGACAGACTCAAAAATGCACCGCATGACGTAGCCCATCCACCAATCAGACAGCCTCAAAAGCGTACCACATGATGTTTGCCATGTTTCTCTACCTGTTTCATCATCGCTGAACCAATCATGAACAGAAAAGACCCGGTAAATTGCGCTTTTAACGCTGCTTTGATTGGTCCGACTAGCTCGAAGCGTCGGCTGCGTCTGGACTTAAAAGCTTAAATGCTGACTTAACCCAATGTTGGGGCACTGATTGGGGCAAGCGATGCTTCACTTTTTGATAGACGCTTTCGTTTGATAAGAGCTTGACAGCGGAAGAGTGCACGGGCCTTACATCGTCCAGGTGGTGTTGGCGGGACATCAAATCATTCGATCGAATGATCCTTGAACTTCCTTAATAATAGGATGCTGGGCTGACGTCGAAGAGATACGCAAATCATTAACCTGAGAAAACAAAATGATGCTCTTAATTTTCCTTTCTAACCACCCAAGACGGTGGTTCTTAAGCGAGACACAACAATCTTCCATAGGCAATCGTCAAGTCGTAGATGAAAGAGCCGCTTCTAAACCTTCTTCCAGATGGGATATTCTAAATAATCGGAAATTGAGTTGGTAACGGCTCGTCGTGCCGGTGACTGACCAGGGCGTATCATGCGAAAGCCCATTCCATTTCTGGCCCCCTGCTGGGGAGAGTGTGCATAAAGGTGCCACATGTCGGTCAGACTACGAGGCTATCATGCTTTCGATTGATTTGACTACGGTCGACCGATCGCTGCCGCTTCACCAGTAGATGTCTAGAGACCGCGAAGCAGCTAAGTTTCCCGAGTTCGCCGCGCTAGAGGCGCGGCCCAGCTTACGTTGCGTTACAGCGTTGCGTTCGGGCCTTGGTCCGCTCCCGCTTGTTCACTGCCACTGCCATCTACCGTGGACGCTGGCCAGCTCCAGCAGGCGCAATACCACTCACTGCGGCCGCTCCGAGAAGTTTCGTTGCCTCCGGCATACAGAGCTAGTCGGCAGCCCGTTCCCAGCGGGGTGGGAAGCAGTATCGAGCGGCCGTGGAGAGCCCTCAACTCTTTTCACTTTACCGAGCAGACGCTGGAAAGAAGGAAAGAGGAGGCCTTCCGGCGTTCGCCTCTGCTAAAGTGGGAAGGGTCGAGGGCTTTCGAGGGGAGGAGCTTGTTTCCCTTTGCTGAACCTGTTGCAGGGTACAGTGGCCCTGTGTCCGGCAGATTTGTGCCCCGGTCGGGCGCGACACCAGCTGGAAGCTCTCTGTTGTCCCCCGCAGGCGACCCGGAGACGCGCTCAATGATGGAAGACTCTCACCGGTACCGGCTCCTCAAGCCCCTTCCTCTCCACACCGGGAATGGCTACGACGGCGGAGCAGGCGGGGGCGGAGGTGAGATATATCCCTATCTTTCCCTCTTTTAGGTCCATTCCTTTCTCTCCTTCTTTCGTGCCAGACGTTTTTCGATTTCCCTATCTTGTCATTTCTATCTCCATCTTTCTATGTATTCCTCTCTTTGCATCTGTTCAGATCTGTTTGTCTCTTCCTATCTGCTTTTTCTCTTTATCCATACATGGTGCCTCTTTTTCTTTTTCCCCGTCGCGCACTATTTTTCGCCCCCTATTTCTATCTTCACACCTCATCAGATGTGTGAATCTCTCCCTAACTTGCTTTTCTCTATCTTCATAATGGAACAGCGCGAATTTTACACGGACAGAGAAAGGAACTGAACAGGACGAGCGCTGACTAACAACTGAAAGGTTCATTATCAGGAAACCATACAACAACACGACTCTCTAATCACGATGGAAATGTGCATACGCCTCATAAAGTTGAGAGCTATCTGTTACACAATTCTATATGCGTCATCCCCGATCTAAAAATTCGACATCACTGTCCAGGAAATTCAAGGAAGCCTGACTCGCGCAGGCTGGCCCCTCCGCCTTTATTCTATGAGCTTTGACAATCTCTCGAGCTTTTTGGTCCCTGTGTTTATACAACACAATGGCCTTGTCCAGTAACGGTGTACAGGCGCAGTCCCTGCAGTGTAACGCCAAGAGGGAGCTTGCTATTCCTGTTAAAGAACTACGGTGTTCCCGCAGGCGAATGTTGAGGCACCGCCCCGTCTGTCCAATGTAAACCTTCCCGCACGTGATGTGTATCTGGTATAGTACACCCAAGGTGTGCATGGCACGAACTCAATGCGGTGTTTTATGCCGCACGGCCTCTCCCCCTATTTTTCTTCCTTGTTCACGCGCTTTTCTACTGCAGAGAAAATGCCGCTTAACTTGTTACGTTCCGAGAACACCACATCTACCCCGTACTTTGAGGCGGCTTTTTTAAAGAAAAGCGAATGAAAAGCGCGTGAACAAGGAAAAAAAAACAGGGGTAGAGGCCGTGCGACATAAAATATCGCATTGAATTCGTGCCATTCACCTTGGGTGTACTATACCAGATGCCCTCCACGTGCGGGAAGGTTTACATCGGACAGATGGGGCGGTGCCTCAACATTCGCCTGCGGGAACACCGTAGTTCTCTAACAGGAACAGCAAGCTCCCACTTGGCGTTACACTGCAGGGACTGCGCCTGTACACCGTTACTAGACAATGCCCATTGTGTTGTATAAACACAGGCACCAAAAAGCTCGAGAGATTGTCGAAGCTCAGAATAAAGAAGGAGGGGCCTGCCTGCGTGAGTCAGGTTTCTGCTGGACAGTGAGGTCGAATTTTTAGATCGGGAATGACGCATATAGAATTGTGTAACAGATAGCACCCAACTTTATGAGGCGCATGCGCATTTCCATCGTGACTAGAGAGTCGTGTTGTTGTGTAGTTTCCTGATAACAAACCTTTCAGTTGTTAGTCAGCGCTCGTCCTGTCCAGTTCCTTCCTCTGTCCTTGTAAAATTCGCGCTGTCCCATTATGAATACATACCAACTTGCCCAGTTATCCTCTTCGCTAAGCCTGTTTTCTTTACCTATCTCGTGCTCTCTCTCCCCATCACTCTCTCTCTTTATTTTGTTCTTCTTATTTATTCCATCTTTCCTATTCGTTTCTTTCTTCGTATCTTCTCAGATCTGTTCCGCTCTTCCTATCTTGTCTTACCCCTCTTTTCAAATGTGTATCTCTCACCTGTCTCATTTTATTTCGCTCCGTGTCACTCTATATTCCCCTCTGTGCTTCTCTTTATGTATTTATTTATTTATTCACCTATTCGTCCCTCCCTCCTCTCCCTAACTGATTTTCCTTCCCCTCCCATTCTCGCCATCTATTTTCCCGTATCCAATTCCCTAGTTCTCTCTCTTCACCACTCTACTTCTCCGTCCTTTTGGTGACGCACACGGACAGTACCAATCATTGTCCCTTGCAGTTAAGAACAGTAGGACAAGCCCCTCCCAGAAATCCCTTCACTCTTTCCTTCCACTTTAGCAGAGCGAACGCTGAAAAGGAGGTGAGTGGAAAGAAGGAAACCACCAATCCTGGCTAGCAGGGAGCTTTGTGTGTGTGAGGGACGGGGGGCTTGTTCTGCTTTTTTTTTTAAGCCTTATACAGACCCTATAGCGATTACGATTTTTAAAGGTTTAAAGGTACGGGAATTAATGACCACCAGCATGGGGCGTGATGACGTCACACGCGAGCCACGTGATCTTTATACGTTCTCAAGGCGTCTTCACCCTCGCAGTCGTGGAGCACGACCCGAAGCTGGCGGCCTACTACCGGGGCATCTCCAAGCACCTGGACCTGCTATCGTTGCCGGCGCCCGGCGACCGGTTCACGTTGGTGCAAGTGGTCGGGGAGGGTACCTATGGAGAGGTCTACGCCGCCAGGGACAAGCTTACCGGTGAGGAAGGCCTCTTCACTGCGCGCGGGCGGACAACCCTGGACGATCGCGCCGCTCATAGCATAGTACTAAGGACGCGGAGTTTCTCCGCAGACATGTCACCATGTCTCCGGAGAAAGTCCGTGATGACATGTCTGCCGACACGCCGTTCGAAGTATGTTTGCTTCACACGTGACCCAAACGTTTCTGCAGACATTTTTTGTGCTACCAATGGGACAGGACGATCGTACAAGGAAGGGTGGATGGATGTTAATGGCTCTACCCCTTGTAACGGGCGGTAGCTTGCGCCACCTAGCCTAGAAGTTAAGAACCAAAAGTATGCTTTCTTTCCTTTCTCTCCTGGATGGATGGTAGATTGATGGATGGTAATGGCTATACCCCTTGTAACGGGTGGCAGCTTGCGCCGCCTATCCTAACATTTGTCATCCCTTCTTTTTTTTTATTTGTATAAATTTTGTTTTAACCACAACCCCCTTCCCCCTTCCCCCTTTCAAAGGGTCACTGAAATCATTTCTGAAAAAGGTCGTTTTTGATGTTATATTGTTTAAAAGGTGTTAGTTCCCCCATGTACCAAGTCCTATATTAAAGAACTGCTTAATCACCTCAGGGCAATACAGAAACATATGGACTCCTTCTCGCGGACTACATTGTGTGGACCAATGAAAGCCCTACAATACGCGCAGATTCTGCATGATTTTAATATAACTCGTTTCGAAGAGAGTCTGATAGGTACACATTCAGACAAAACTCCTCTTTTTCTCCGCGGCCGATGCCATCGCTTTCAACTCGCCGATAAGCGCCCTTCGTCGACCACTTCACTCGGAAGAAAATTCTCCCCAAAAAGGGCGTGTCGCGATCTTTGAACACGCTTGTAACAAGGAAATAAGCTACGCACGATTGAGATTTCGGGCTGGTTTGGATGCTTAGAGCGACTAGATTGAGTTGTCACCACAAAAGGGTGATCCCAGAATTGACTTCAGTGCCCTTTTAAAGTGTTCCCATTGCTTATTTTTATCGGTATTTTCACCTCTCCCTGAATCTTTACGTCAAACTTCCAATCTCCTCTTAGTTACCGCAATTCTTTCCCTATCCATTCGTCCACCCACGTCGTTGGCCCCTCTAGACCAAGGACGTGGATTGTCTCCTTGGTCCCTCTGGAGCAGTGTTGCCAGACGCTGAGTCTAAAAGCGCGGGGTCATGGCGCACGCGCCCTGCACTTCATTGTTTCAGACGTTGATAGCATATTCGCGCTAAAAGACGAGAAAGAAAGGTGACGTTGCGTTTTTTTTTTTTTTTGGCGTTGCTTTGATGGGTTTTGTCGGCTCTTGTAGTATGTCGGCTAACAATGACCGAAAGTTTTTTTTTTTTTTTTTTTTCTGTATTTGCGAGGTTACTATATTTGTACGCACTAATTGTAAAAAAAAAACTGCCGCTTATAACGTTGTCAGAATTAGTTCAATCCTAAGGTGTACGAAGGACGCGTAAACAATCAGTGGTTATCCTAAATGTTTCTGTGGAGACTTAAAAAAAAAAAAATCCTAAAACTAGGGTGGTTGAGGAGAGAAGAAACAAGAAAACTCTTGTCGGGAACAGTTTGCCAGTCACGGCGGACGACAGGGATGGCAAGAAATAGTAGCTAGATGACTACCTAAAATTGACGAATTAACTTTTTTTTTTAATTCGTAAAAACAAGGCACATGGTTTCAATCTAGAAACATGCCGAGCGTCATCGAAAACCCCCACAAGCGGCCAAATTTTAGGACGACTCAAAGCACGTGGGAAGTTACTACTTCCCACGTGCTAAAGTTACTACTTGAAAAAACGCGGACGATATTCTTAGCGTCCGCGTCGGAAGCGGTTGCAAGCGAGCACTCAAACGCGAATGTGTGAACCAGTGTACAGAGCGTGACAAAGTTAGCGCGAACGACCGATCGCCATTTCCTGTTTTGTTTTCCAAAGACTGGTTCACACAAATTTGCGTTGGTTGCGTTCGCAGCAACAAAAAAAAAAAAAAAAAAAAAAAAAAAAAAAAAAGAAAACGACCGCAACACCGGGGCAACCGTGACTCACTGATTGCTTCACGAAGGCACCTCTTACCAATGTTTGTCACGTTGTGTGCGGTAAACACAGTTGTCCCGATCACATTGTCGTTGCTGTTATTTCGGTCGCTCTGGTGCAATATTGCAAAATCAAAACTGGCAATAAAAATTAAAAAGACATCGTTAAATTCAGCTCAATCTTAGGTCCTGTGCAAGAATGACTTTTTAATAATTTACTGCGAAAATCAGTCTAAGAACAGAATAATATATAAAATAACGCGTACAAGGAAGCTGTGTCGTTTAATTCAGGTCGTTTACATGCGCAGAACGATGCCAATTGCATGATCTTTCTGCTACTAGGTGTTACTGGGAGAGCTGTCTTCTTACACCTGCCGAGGTACACCTCAGTCGTTCCGATCGTTAGTGCAATATTTGGTGACACTCCAAAGTTTCAGTGAACGAATTCACATGCTTCGCAAAAAAGCTACATTTTTCACCAGAGGTACCTGACTCGTCTAACGTCGCTTGGAACTTGCACTTACCAGTCTCGAAGTTTAGGAGCCTATAATCCCATGTTTGCTGAATTATTGTGCATTGTTCACTGGGCTCATCTCATCTGGCAGACTCGGAAAATGAATTTCCTACGTTCACGCCCAACTGAGGTGAAAACATGTTTCGAGGTTTTCCACCGTAATATCTCAATGGCGTCGCAAGCGTTACCCTCAGCGAAGACAATTTTGGCGGGAGTAAGCAAAGATGACGACCCTATGATTCTAACTTACTATAAAAATTAAGCTATGATCGACGAATGTAAACTCTAAAACGCATTTTAGACAGCCAGAAAGAGGGAAAAAATCTTTAAGCCTTTCCACTCTGGTGAAGCTGGGAGACCAGAGAAGCTGTACTATGGTGGGAAGGAACTAATGGCCGGCCGCAATTAGTCGGCGAGCAGAATGGAAAGGCTGGAAAGGTACCGCCATCTATGAGCGACGGCGGCAACCACACATCCCGGTTGACTGGTTGTCGCCGTCGCTCATAGATGGTGGTAGCTGTCCAGAGTTTGGTGTCATCATTTGTTTGCTGACGGACATGATATTGGGGAAACTAGCCCTTAACAGCTCCGCTGTAAAAAAACGCTAGCATGACTTGAAAACCGCTAAAAATCTATCCGCCCGCAAAACGGCCATGGCTCCCGCTGGACGACTCAGAAAACCGCCGCGGGAGAACCGCTCAATTGGCAACGCTGCTCCGATGCAGCTGTTCACACAGTTCCGTTGGTTGCGTTGAGAGCGACCAACGTTCTTGGTCATTTTCATTTCAATGAGGGTAATTATTTTTTTGCGTTCATTAGATACCGCAAGAGTGTTCCGATTACTTTTGCAAGTGCTAAAATTACTATTTTCCCCTCCCCTTCATAATGGCACCCTTTGTTTGCACAAGTTTCCTTCCTAAGAATTGTCGAACCAAACTTTTGACACGACATGGTTTTTTGAAATGGGTGGATTAAGGAAGATAAGCAGTTTTTAATTCGGCGTTTGTAATCCAATTATGGACAGTACAAAAGGCCCGTTTTCAAACTGGCAGAAAATGTTGTCGTTTTGAAAATTTGAAGTAATCAGAAAGTTACGGTTACTTTTTCCGCTAACGGCCAATTACTTATCGTCCGTGTAATAAAGTAATCCAATTGAATACTGTTTAAGAAATAGTAATGGTAATTATAGTCGATTACTCCTTTGAGTAACGTGTACAAAACTGAAAGATGCATACACTGAGGCTTGTATACGGGATTTCCTTAGGCTTCCTCAAAGATCTTCAGACGCCGTAAACATAACAGCGCCTTAAGTTCCCTCTTTCCACGTGGCCCTATGTGGGTACGCTGAACATCGGGTTTCCTTCGGCCCCTGTGCAGACCGGCTGGTGGCGGTCAAGATCATGGAGAACATTGCGGACAACGTGGAGGAGATGGAAGAGGAGCACCGGGTGCTCCGGGACCTCTGCGTGCACCCCAACATCCCGACCTACTTTGGCATCTTCTTCCAGCCGGCCGCCTGCAGGGAAGACGACCAGGTCTGGTTCGTCATGGAGGTACGACAGCCGATGTTCCCTCGGTCACCGATAGACTGCTGCGGTGTAGAATGCCAGGAATGGATTGTTTGCGAGAAGAGTTCCAACATAATGTTCAGTTGGTTCATGACTGGATAGAAGCGCCGAAGGACAGGGACAAAGTGAGGGAGGTAACGACAACACGGAGCGCTGTGTTGTCGTACCGTGTTCTCTTTACCTTCTTCACTTTGTCCTTGTCCTTCGGCGCTTCTATCCAAAGAAGAGGCCTTCCTGCGCGTGCTCGAGCTCTACTCGCACCTGTCGGTGGAGGGTCATATGTACTTCGGTGGAAACGGCAAAAATATACTAGGGGAAAACTTTTTGTGGCATTTCTGAAGAAATGAAGAGCGCGCCTTTGCAGCCTGGATCGGCGCTTAGAGTGCTGGAATGCACAGGCCCTAATAGTTTTGCCTTCATTGTCACAGAAATCTGTCCGCCGATATTTCTCGGCTCGTGCGAGCAACCACGTGCGATTGCAAGCCTGCCAAGGAAGCTGTCGCGCTCATGCCTCACATGCTTTCACTCAAGGGGTACCAGGCGGGACGTCATGAATAAGGAGCTTCAGGCAGGCGCAATCTTCAGAGATGGTGCGTGTGCCGCGTTGTCTCCCTGCTTTCGGGAGCCACGAACCCGAGCTGCTGGGTTGTGGAGATCGCACGCTTGGCTGTGGATTTGTAAGCGTTAGATAGGGCCATCTCTGAAGAGGTATAGGGCTTCTGGCCGGTGACATTTTCAGCGTTTATACGTGCGCGTGCGCGTGCTCCGCTCGCTGTTCGACGCACATACGCACGCTGGGCTCTGGTTTTGTAAGCACTGGCATGGCGTATATTACCACGCGGGTCTCCGAGCAGGCGCGCCTGTGGCCGAATGGTTACCGTGCTTGGCTCCTACGCAAAGGGTCGCGGTTCGATGCCTGGGAGCGTACGCACCTTTTTGTTATTTATGTCGCGTTGGGGCGAATTCGACAACCCTGTTGCTTATTCGAAGTTCGATTGTTCTTTGTGCCGAACCTTCTACGCCGATTGTTGCAAAAACCCACGCGTGTACATAAAGGGCTCCGCGTGGCGAGCTGGAGTCAGTCTCGCCCTAGCGCTCAATCCTGCTGTTTCGCCGACATCGACCCCCCCCAACCTTCTTCTATTTTGTTTTGGACACAAGTTCGCCCCATTAGACTTTTAGTTTCTCCAGTTATTTTCCGCCTCATCATTTGTCATTCGTGACAATATTGACCGGCTTGTTCAAAAAAATGCCGAGACAGGCTGTGCTACGCCGCTCGAGAGACATAGCTTTGACAATTCATTACTCGAGAGAATTTGGACAAAATAGATATCACCACGTGCCAGCTAAAAAAGGGCCCGATGCAGCCGATGCCAATTAAGACGGTAGGAACGCTCGTGCAAGACGAAAACCGCGACGCTGGAGGAACAGGATGGCTCGGAAATTATCGCTACACACGTATACGGGGCACAGAGAACAACCATTCAAAAGGATAATTTTTGCGACAACACCGGGGGAAGTGGTCTCTCATTCTAGGCACGGGCCGACCGGGACAATGGCGAGCCCGCTTCACCGAAGACGCGGAGTCCGCTTGTGCGGTCCCAGAAACTAATCATCACAAAGCGATGGACACCCAAGGTTCGAGGCCGGAGCCAGTCTTGGCTTTGGGACGGAGGCGGGAGCTAACGTGGACTCGGACAATGCAGCTCGAAGAACCGAGAGCATTACGGATTGCACCAAGAGAAGACTGGGACTGGTGACGTCAGAGCAAGAAATAATGATGTAGTTACCCCGCAGTTACTTTTTGGCCGGAGCCAAAAAGTAACTGTCCGCCTGATATGCGAGGAACAGCCAAAACAATTCAATCTAGTCATGTAGCATCAAAACTTTCCTCGGACCAACCAGTGAAGACAGTAGCCGAGAGTGCGCCTCGATAGCGGACTATTTTCACACCAAGAAAGATTGATGGAGTATTCATAACTCGTATCCGAGTATAGCAAACTGACTACACTTCCTCAAAGTTCCTTTCAAAACGACGTGTCTTTTGTTTATGTATTCCAGCGGTTATAAAAATCACGTTGCATGTGGATTCTATTTCTTCTATGTATGCTGTGTATGGCTTCGATGTATGCTTTAGATGGTCTACAACCTGGTAAACATTTCGTGCGCAATGACGCCATCGCATGTGGCCCTGAAACAAAGGAGGGATCAGCCAACGCCGCCTCGATAAAAAGCTGTCGTAGTGCTGAACTATCTACGTAACCCACTGACGGCCAGCGCGAGCCACATATTGGACAGGAGTGGCGTGTCATTATTTGACTCGGATTCGTGGTCTGTCTCACCAAACGCCGGCATAACACTCACATACATGTGTACTACGAGATTCCTCAGTAGGTGGCGTGAAAAGTTCTACATTAAGGCTTTCTAGTATAGCCGGTGACGGGCTAAAAATTCAGTAGAAGTATGGACAACGAGCACATGCCTCCAGCACAATATGCTCTTGGTCTCCAATTTGGCTTTGACTTTGACTTTGGAGGCGGAGCATCGACAGAATTTTTAACCTGCAACCCACTATTGGCGGTGTTGGATCTGATCAAGACACCCGATTCCCGACCCGTAAGTTCCGGGCACAAAGACGGCATATTGTAATTCTGAAACTTTTTTTTTTCTTATTTTCTTTGCAGGGGGAAGTCTTTTATTGATTGTGTTGCAGTAAATATATCGGCAAGCATGCACATATTCTCAGAGTCCTTTCAAAGGAGTCATGAAAAAGCTATGGGGGTGCAAGTTTTACTATTACTATAGTCAGTTACAGGTTAAGAAGGTAGCGGCAAATGCCCCTCAAAGGGAATCAGATATCCCTCCGCCACCTTTGCATCCAATAGCGTCCCACCGTTTCCGTGACGTCGCGGACAACGCGCGAGGAGGGTCTTGCCTTTCTGTACATATTTGTTTTATCTTTCGACTTTGACTTAGCATTGTGGAAGCCACGAGAGGGAGATTAGAGTTCTCCCCCACCGACGGAAACAAATACGACTTTCGGGGATTAGCTTCCCCCCCCCCCCCCCCCCCCCCCCCGATGGATACAAAGGCTGCTTTCAGGGGCTCGGTTCCCTCTCCGATGAGTACAAAGGTGGCTTTCTTAAAAAGTGGGATCGGAGACAAGTGGGAATCCATTGAAGCGGAACAAGGAGCGTTTCCAGTGAACTCTTCTTTCGACTGCGGAGAGATTTGAAAAGGGCGCATCACACTTGTGGGAGGAGCTTCTCCTACCTTCTTGACTTGTAACCGACTATATCTGCATATCATGCGGTGCGGTGGGACTCCAGAGAACTGGCACATGAGACCAGGGAGCCAGAAACATGGTTTACTATTTGGAATTTTAAAAACAAAAACGAAATAATATTTTTTTTTTTCTTTTTCTTTTGGTAAGTTTTTGTATGTCGGTTGCCTATATAGTAACCGAGCCGAAGTCGAATGCTTGCTCAATGCAATTCCGCACAAAATCAGATCGTACCTGACACGTAACACACAATACGAGTACATGCCCCAGAACATAAACTGCCTGCACTGCAATCGAAGACGCAGTCCCATTCCTCTGCGTGCCGTGCTAAAAAAAAAATTAAAAAAAAAAATTGTAACGAAAGTTGCAACTTATTATCTTTTTGTCGAAAGGCAAGCTTCGGCTTAGAGAAAGAGAGAGAAAGGGAGAGAACAATGAACTCTGGAATGAAAGTGGGTGGATCCTCTGCTGTCGGCGTTGTTTCCCTGCTCATTGTTTTCTTCTCTTGGAGCGATTTTGAATCGATTAGGAGCAAGTCGCGTGTTCAATGGCATTCGCGCGACGTGTACGACTCCCCCGAAGGAGGTCATAAAAAAAAGAAGATATCGATCAACCTTACTTTGGACAGCTGAGAATGCTACGATGCCATCGGCTCCAGGGCGGAGACACCCGCCATATTGGGTCAATCGTTCAGCTGCTCTCGTCGGCGCCATCTGGGGCCAATGCTATTCAGATTGTCCTAAAACAAAAACAGCTATTTAAACTACTTCCATACATATGATACAATTACAATTATGATTACAATTACGATTACTCTCGGTTCATAAATGATTCAAATAAATTACTCGATTACTTGAAAGCAAAAGTAATATTGACCTCTACTCGAAAAAGTAACCGTTATTTTCTCCCTGACTTCTTTTTTTTTTTCCTTCAAAACGACGTGTTTTGTGTGTGTGTGCTTGTGTTTTTTTTTTTTTTTTGCCGGTTTGAAAACGGTGGGTTTTTCGTACTGTTCGTTATTAAATTAGAACACCCTAATAATAAACTACTCGTGTTGTTAATCTACCAATTTCGGTAAACCATCTTCGAGGATTCTTTGCTAGGAAACTTTTGCAAACGAAGGGCGCCAGTAGAAAGGGAGAGGGGAAAAAGTGATGGTTACGGGTAATTTCGGTACTTACAAGAAGTCATCAAATTACCCTTGTAATCCCTTTCTAATAAACGTAATAAAATGATTACAAGCTTACTCCAAAAAGTGATTTGGTTACTTGTCACGAGTGTCGTACAAGCCCGGAGTCAACCCAACGCCACGGGGAGGGTTTCCGTCATTCTTCGGGAGGGACTCAAATACATGCGGGCTCGCATAGACCTTGGCAAAAATCGCCTTCTGCGCGCGGCCATCTTTGTCTGCTGGGCTGTGGAACGCCTTCTGAGCATGCGCTGTTGCACTGCTGTGCGGCATTTCAGACGCTGCGCATGCGTCCACAGCCATAGCCTCTTCTATACTCACGAAGCCTGGCAGTTCGACGACGGAGCCATAGAGTGCCCGGTCGCAGATTTGGAGCGCGAGGATCTGGGAGCACCGAGCATCAAAAAGCCATTTCTCGGGAAACCTGGACGTCAGCGCACAGCCTTTGCAGCGGCGAGGACCCGAAACACACTTGTTCGCTCGGGAGAAGTGTGTTTCGGCGTCTCACCACAGCGGGGCGCCAGTCACGTGGCTCTCCTCTCATCTGTTGTCTGCCGCTCCACCTTTTTTATTTCGGCGGCCGCTTCTCGTGGCGATCTGCCAGGCTTTGCCAGTATATAGGAGGCTATGCCACGGCTCGGTGACACAGCATCTTTCGTCCGGGTGATAAGCGATGCAAAGGTCCGTAGTCGATGACGCGTTCACGGCGTTGGATTGGCCGGGATGACTGCGCATTGTCCGGTGCGATTCATCGTAAAGTGAAAAGGAGTTCTCCTATAGCCTTCGACGATCTCATTCTTGGGTTCAGGAAAGAAGGGCTGGGAAATTCTCCGTCCTGGAGCCGGTGAACGACCGACCTCGCGGTTCCATCAGGGTGTGGAAATGTCTCCGGGCACCGGCCCGGCCCACTTATAGCTGCGCAGTTTTGGACAATACCCGGCTCTGCGGCGTGGCTGCGTGACTGTTCCATATGCCGTTCCCTCGCATGGGCGTCGTACGCGTGACATTTGCGTGTTTTGCGTGTGTTCGAGTCTCGAACATCGATCGATTCTGTAGCGGCCCACGCCCGGACGAATGGAGCTCCGACGTGCGAAAGAATAAGGTGCAACGATTGACCTAGTATGGCAGATCGCACGTCGAGACTTCCATACAAGAATCGGCCGAAGCTAGTTATCCCTGGCTCGAATATATGGGACATTAGTTCCATACTTTGGTATACACGAGCTATAGACGCTTTACACACGCGCCAGATTATAGCCGCCATTGCTGACCTTCTCTTGTCTTACAGAGATACTGATCCACTGAGACGGGTGTTGACGAGCCTTTAAAAAGGCCAATGCTGGGAAGAAGGACACAATAAGAAAATAGAATAAGAGGAAACAAAAACTGAAGGTCAGTTATGGCGGCGCCCATGCACAGCTGCTGCAAAGCGTCTGTAAGCGTGCAAATCTGAGCTTGCTTAACATGTTTGTGCGGGCCTATTCGTAATGAACGGGAACTCTGGGCCCCATGCCCACACATGACCAGCCCGTTCTATCGCTGATAAAAATAACGTGCCTGGTGCACTCGTTCAAATACCTCTATTCCAGCAAGTCCAGAAATATAGACGCTTTACACACGCGCCAAATTACAGCCGCCATTGCTGACCTTCTCTTGTCTTACCGAGATGCCGAGCAACTGAAACGGTAGTTGACGATCCTTTACAGAGGCCGATGCTTTAGAAAAGGACACAGCTGAATCTAATGTGGAAATAACCTGTCCTGCTATGGTAATGACGAAGTGAAATAAACGAAATAAGAGGGAACAAAAACTGAAGGTCAGTTATGGCGGCGTCCATGCACAGCTGCTGCAAAGCGTCTATATTGCAGGGGCCCAGCCCTCGCGCGCCTTTGGCCGCGTCAACGTCGTTCCCTTCCACATGGCCAAAGGTCACAGAACTCGCCCAGGCTACTGCGTTTCCTCGTGGGTCCACATTCGCGCAGCCCAATGACGTGGCCCATAGCATACCCCAACATGGCGGAAGCGTTCCGCGGTGCCAGCATCGCTCAAAATGGCAGCGCACAGGAGCCTTGCTTGCAGAGTGACCATAGCCCTCTGTTGAAGCGGATTTATAGCGACTCCGCACCGCGCATGAACGAAGGTAAACAAAGAAGATGGCAGAGTGTTCCCCGTGTCTACCGAGCAGCTATAACGAGTATTCACTGGGCGCCATATTTGTGGGTGATGTTTAGAGCGCATGCTCTGAACGAGCCCGCTTTAATAGGCTGGTAAGACCGGCAATCTTAAGTGTGAGAAATGCACGTTGCAAAAGAACCGTGGAAGCTCGCCATCAGCACGCGCTCAGCAGTCGCGCACACAGCTATGGCCGCCAGTGAATACTTCCTATAGGGAGTATTCCCTGGCAGCCATATCTGTGTGCATGGTTGCTGACGGCGAGCTTCCACAGTTCTTTTGCAGCGTGCATTGCACACCATCAAGATTGCCGGTCTTAGCAGGCTATTAATGTAAGCTCATTCTGAGCATGCGCCCTAAGCATCGGCCTCAAACATGGCGTCCACTGAATACCCCCTATAGCGCGGTGTGATGGGATGTTGTTTTCCGCCTGACGGAGAATACGTCGGCGAAGATGGTTTCTTGGCGACAACTTGTTTCCCGACATTGTCTGCTGCCTCGACGTGACAGGGTCGCCAAACACGTGGCTTCCTCGTCTCGACGCACAAAGTTGTCCAACTGTTACCTCAATGTGACGGCGCCTTTCTGAGGCGTGCTTCCGTGAAAATCGAGAGATACGTACATCATGTCCCTCAAAAAAAGAGTTGCGATGTTTTTTACAGCGGAGCTGTTAAGGGCTAGTTTTCCCTGTATCATGTCCGTCAGCAAACAAATGATGTCACGAAACTCTGGACAGCTACCGCCATCTATTAGTGACGGCGGCAACCTGACAACAGGCTTACCGGTTGTCTGGTTCCCGCCGTCGCTCATAGATGGCGGCAACCCCTCCAGCCTTTCCACTCTGGCTTGCTGACTTGCGGCCGGTCATTACTTCATTCCCACCATAGTACAGCTTCGCTGGTCTTCCTTCTTCACCAAAGTGAAAAGGCCGAAAGTTTTTTGTTTTTTTTCCACCATAAAAATAAATTACGTATTACTGAAAGTGCAGTGTCCGTTCGACCATAATGCTAGCGGAAGACTGGACAGGACAAACGCTAAATACGAGGACGGGTATAGGAGACTGGACGGGACAAGCTTTCGTCCTGTCCAGTCTTCGACGTGTCACCGTTTTTCGCGTCAACTGTTTTTGAGATGTATAACCAACTAGGCCATCAACTTATAATGATAGCTCTAGCGGTTCGGACCGTCATACCAATGTTTCAAAACTAACCGTTTAATTATTTAAAACCTACAACTGATTTCCTGAACCTTTATCCGGGAAAAAAAAAAAAAAAGAAAGGAACCCGTTCCCGGCAGCCGATGCAATTTATCTCCACGTAGTTGTGGACGTTGTCGGCCGCCATTTTTCTCCTAAAAATTCCCGAAAATCTTTAGAATCAGATGACGGCAATCGATGAAATTTTGGCACCTCATCTGAACGGCTAAAGCCAAATTTGGGGCGGAGACTCGTTCCGCGATGCACACTTCTTTTGCCGTCATTACTGTTATAAAATGCCGTGTTTTTTTTTTTTTTTTTTTTTTTTTTTGGAGGGATTTTTTGTCAGTTGCCGTTTAATAAATTGGTGGGTCTGCCACGATAGGTCCCTGCGAAATTATTTAAGTTGTTGTTTTCATTGTGTTTCATTTTCCTCGCAGCTTTGTACGGGCGGCTCAGTCACAGATCTGGTTCAGGGACTTCGGAAAGCGAACACCACTCTACCAGAACGCACCATCGCCTACATTCTGAGGGAAACCATGGACGTAGGTATTCGTTCCTGTAAAAATCGAGACGCATCCTCCCCCTCACCCCCACAGACACACACGCACGCAAACAAAAAAAAAAAAAAAGCAGAAGAAAATATTGCCAGTTTTGTTGTCGGTCTCTCTAAATGTATAGCGGATTCATCCTTCCGCTAAATGTAGAGCGGACGTTTTAGCGTCCCACGATGTCACGAAAGGTCCTGTGACGTCACGCTGTCGTCCGACACTGCGGCGAATAATCCCTCGATAAATTTTGCGGAGAAATTTTCACGCCAAAGTCAACGAGGGAAGTTTGCCCGCTTCAGTTAGCGGGCGCGGGGAAATCGCGATGTCATGTGACGTCACTCAACATCACATAAACAAGATCCGGAACGATGAATATACACGTCGTAACTTTAAGGGTGTGGGGTTAGAGGCCTTCATTCCGGCAATTACATTTTTAAGCATACTAGAATAGAGCATTAGGTTATTTTAATGTACGTTAGAGGTTCAGCTGATGCCAAGTTTCGATGCCACTTCCTCTCGCTAGTCAAAGCAGACAGCGACCAGTCGAATTTTGCGGTGCTCTTGTGCATTTCTGTGAGGAAACATCCTGGCATTTCGTCTCTTCTTTATACAACAATATAAAAGTATACCTGCTTTAGTTAGCGAGTCTTCTTATATTTCAGATATGTTTTCTTTGACCATTTCGAGGCCGAAATTTCAGTTTCTGGGGCAAGTGTGCAGAGACCGACAAGCAACGAATCAAAGCTAAAGGGAGCTATTTTAAAATAACGGATGATTTATTCCAAGTCGGCTAACATTTCGAGGACACGAATAGGGGGGACTTGTCGATCTGTAAGACTGTAACAAGCCTCGACGTCGTCATAGCGTCGCGCGAAGACCTCCATCAGCGTGACGGTCCTTGTAACGTTTTATGACGTTGCGAGACACCATTATTCCCTGTGACACGACGTACCGTTCCGTCACGCGATACCCTAATGTCACCATGACGTGATATCACGTCGTCGCGTGACGTCGTGGGATATAGTATGGCGTCACGTGACTCGGCGTAACGTCACATCGTGGTCATGTGACGTCAAATGACTGCATGACGTCACGGTAGATCTATAAATGGCACGTATTTAAAGCGTCTTTAGAATATTCCAAAGAGACGGGCCTTTTTTTCTTCTTAGGCTTTGCGGTTCCTGCACACGCACCACTGTATGCACCGAGACGTAAAAGGCCACAACATCCTGCTCACGGAGACTGGGAGCGTCAAGTTGGTCGACTTTGGTGAGTGTTATTATTACTCCAGTGCTTGTCGCACGTCCGTCTTTCCTCCTGTAGCCAGCCCTGAGGCTGTTCAAGGTGCGATCCTGAAAGCGTCGTTGTCGTTCACTTTTTTCACATAAAACGATATCCACACGAGGGAAAAATCAGACGCCGCTTCTACACGCAGTACCCTCCTCCCCGATTCTCCCTCGAAGCTTGGTCCTTCGTTCGAAGCGCCACGTTTGCAGAGGCGACTGGCATGTGATAACTCCATAGAATACATAAGTTTTGGAGCACAGCGTCTTTGATGGCGCTTCCACCGTTACCACTCCTACAATAACTAAATGGTGGAATGTATACAGCATGTAAACTAACGCTTTTAAGGCACTTTAGGCGGCCCGCAAGATTCAGTTTCTCAACGAATCGCGCTGCAATTTGCTACAGAGGTGCGAGCAGGTGGTGGAAGTTCAAGGTGAAACCACCAAGAAATGAACTTACCTCGTTCAAAAGAGAAAGAGAGAGAAAAAAAAGAAAAACAGAATCCTGCTTGGGGCAACCTACCCGGACACTTTGCATACGACGCACGCGTAGTGAAAAGCGCTGCCGAGAGATGGCGTACGCCGCGTTGAGGGAGCTCCGGTCGATTCGTGTTGATAGCAGACGATCCCACAAAAGGACACGAATTGGCCGGCACTGCCTCGACGCGGCATACGCCATCTGCCGGCAGCACTTCTCACTACGCGTGCATCCTTTGTGAAATGGCGGCGTAAATTGCCCCATACAAATTTATTTGTGTTTTTCTTTCGAACTAGGTAAGTTCATTCTTTGATTGTTTCCCCGTAACTGGGAGCCGGTTACGGGGAAACAATCAAAGAATGAACTTGCCTCGTTCGAAAGAAAAACACGAACAAAAACACAAACAATCGCACTATTATTTCCAACTCACCTTTTTACATCTGAGCACATCAGCATTGACGATACTACACTACGGCGCTTCGCTGGCCGAGAACGGTCAACGACTCATTGCCGTGAGCTGTAAGAAGCGGTAACCAGCGCCTACGAGGTCCCGATCCGCACCTTGGCATCGTCCTAGAATCGGCACTACAATGAACCACTCGACTGAAAATGACAACATTAACGAGACAGACGTCATAATCCCTACCAAAAGGGTTCGCTAGAACGGAGCACCAGCAAAGGATGACGACGATACGTCGTGCTACTCCCTTGACGCGAGTGACCACAACGAGGATTCAACACCATTTACCCAAATGACATATTAAGATTGAGAAAAAAAACAAAAAAAAACAGACCATCTGACAGCCCCGTGAACTTTAAGCCAACAGGATCTAGATCATTTTGGCAAGTAAACCCCAACTTAATCGCAAATGATAATATTGTGGTTATGCAGGAGGAGATCAATTCACATAAAATCAACAAGGACGGTGGCCTCTCAGGGATTGTGCCATCACTCTGCTCAGCAAACAAGCTATTGGCTCTACAATCTCTGGCAAGCGTCTAAGTTACTGCACACGTGCCCCAGGCGTATTCGAGGAATCTGGAGATAATGAACAACGTTCCTCTCGAATACTCCAGCTCTGCACTGCTGAAGTATCTACTTGATAACGGCGTAACGTCCGTTCAGCGACAGAAAGAGGATGGGAGCGTCGAAGAGAAACCACCAGAATGTGTTGTCCTAATACTTCGCGCAGATCGGCCGATGCCTCAACATGTATCTCTTGACTTCACAGGTCACCCAGTTGAGGAACATCTCGGAGCCAGAGTGCCCAAGATGTGATCTAATTGAAACAATTCTACACATCATTTGTGGCTGTGGTGCCTACGCTGTAGAAAGAAGCAAACTCAAAGGCACACTTGCATACCTCGATAGCCGGCCCTTCTCTGTGAAAAAGGGGCTTGGTGCCTAGGACGAACCACAAAAAGGAGCAAAGGCCACAAAAGCTGTTGTTTGTTTCTTAAAAGAAACAGGCCTGGATTCCTGCTTATAGACGATGAACCTCCGTGTTCGTGAACAGTGCCGTCTCTATAGTGTTGAAGACTCGTTAGTTTTACGCTCTTTATTTTCTCTTCCTCTTTCAACCTCTTCTTTAATAACCTCGCCTTCCTCCCCCTGCACAGAGTAGCCAATCGGAAAAATTACCCAGGTTAACCTCTTTTTCTTCCTCTTCTGTTCTTCCTTCCTTCCTTCTGTACTCCAGTAACATAGCCACTCCAAGGAATACATTTTTTAAGCGCATCCCCTATAGATGGCGCTTCAAACGACGGGTGGCGGTATGGACGAAGTGGTTAGAGTAACTGTCTATGCTCCGCTTGCGGAGCAGAGTATCGCCATGGTTCTGCCAGGGCGGCCATGTTGATTCCAAGGCCGCACTGCGGGGAGCGATCGTCGCTTCTGCAGGAATCCGGAGGCGCGGATGGCGTGGCTGCGAGGCGGCGTGCCGCGGCGTGCGGAGCAGAGTCGTCCCGTCATTTGTCTCCTGTTTCACAACTCAATTATACAGTACCCAGTGGCTATACACAAATGTTCAGTGGTCAAGAAACCTTCCAGTTTGTTCGATTTTAGCGTATGATGTATTATATTTCGCAAACGCAAAGCGAGAAACATGCTCCGCCCGAAACTCGCCCCTGCAAGATCGCTTTCCCTCATGAAGGTTGGATCCGGCTTGGCGCACGTGACCGCATTTCCGCTAATACGGAGTTGGCGCCGCAAGGAAGAAGGAACTCGATACTCTGGCTCTGCAAGCATAGCCTATACAGTTACTCTAGGAGAGTTGATTTCGAGTCTCCGCGAGAGTTCCGCGACCGACGTGATCCTGTAACATTAGAGACGAGGCAGGTTGCAGCACAGAGGCGATGTTCCGGTCGTAAGACTGATTGACTGAAAGAAGTTCATTGAAACAAAAAGAGACTCAATCCAGGTGGGGCCCTAGTCTAGGGCTACAGAGCTTTCTGGAGCCCTGGTCTTCAGCAGTCGAGCTGAGCAGCGAAGCTTCTCAGGCCTCACGAGGAGGATTGTGGAGGGCAGGAAGGCAAGTGTTCTTCTGACAGGCCCACGTTGCGCGCGAAAGGGACGGGAATTCCTTACAGTGAGGACCTTCGACAGGACATACCAATTTGGATAGAATCTGCGGAGGATACCTAAGTGTGTGCAAGTGTGTGTCTGTATACAACGCCAAGACCCTCCCGAGTTGTACAAACGATCCCGGTGTGGCGACGGATCAGTTTGCTTTTAATAATATTCTGCCGCCAAAAGCTTCGGTGTTAACTGTACAAACCGTTAAATCTGTCTGGAGGGGTGTCAACAGGGCAAACTGTTAAATTCGACTGCTGGCGCCGACGTCCCCTCCCTCAGGAGGAAGTTGCTCCTGCTGATCCCTCCTCTTATTTCTCCTTCTTGTGAATACTGGTAAAAGACGCCCCAAGTGTATTTAATCCCAACAACATAGCTCAGGAGAAAGAAAAGTAAGATACAAAACAAAAGACCTAAAGAAATGAGCAATCGAAGGTTTAAACTATTACCGAATTTATTGTTCGCGAAGTTAATTTTTGCGAGTATAATTTTTTTCTGTCTCCTCCAGGCGTTTCTTCGCATCTGGACGAAACCATGGGCAAGCGGAACACGTCCGTGGGTACCCCTTACTGGATGGCACCAGAGGTCAGTATGCCGTGTCCACGGGTCAGCACACGGGAGTTTTGACTACAACAGGTCGCGGATGTCTGAAATTTCGTCGACAGTTTCAGACAACCGCCGCAAAGGGTGGCAACGCAGAGCTTGCAGTGTCCACGTGCCTCTCAATCTCAGATGCACATGGTTCTACAGTGTGTTTCCAAAATTCATATCCAGGCTGTCAAAAAAAAAAAAAAAAAAAGGATAATTAAGGTTATGATCAGAGGAGTACAACAGAACCTTTTCACAAAGTTGTTTTAAGCTGGTTCATTTATATGATTCAAAATTCGTGAGTGTAGGCTTTTGAGAGTGAGAGAAACAATTCCAAGAGCAATAAAATTTGGTATATTTTCCATGCAACGGGATAAAAACAAAACAGGCCGTCTGATCGAGTTTGCTTACATGTCGTACCACACACACCCGGACCGGCTGGATCCGTTTAATTGAGGTGTTCATTTCTGAGAAGCTTTCAAGTGTTTGTGCCATCATGTTGTGCCATATGTAAGCAGCAGCGTCATCCCGCGCATAAAAAATAAAAAAATAAATTTCTTGCAATATTTTTTAACAAAAATCTACACTCACGAAATTTGAGTGTGAACAGATGCACCACCTAAAGACTGCTTCGTTTGAAGTTTTATTGGAATCCGTTCAATAAACTATTTGTGTGATTTTTTTTTTTTTTTACTCTCGAATAGTTTTTAGGAGCAACGAATCCAAAGTACGAACACATTCCAAACCTGCATACCTAAAACTAAGCAGGCAAACGTAGTTTCGCAAAAAAAAAAAGAAAAAAAAAAGAGTTTTAGCTTGAGGTGGTAAAATATTAAAAATAGAACAAAAACGGCAACCGTGTATTTGCTGTACCCTATACCGGATGTTCGTCGTCGGTGACACTGGTTCGTGAGTTTGCTCCCCAGGTGGTCATTGTTCGTATGTCTCGGTAAAAGTATTAATTATCGCATTATCTCGCTCATCGCCAGCCTCTGCTATCGGTTTTTTAGCGTTTCTGTGCTCAGCGAGTCACCCGGGAGCGAGCTCACAAACCCGTGTGCAGACGACAAATATATTAAATAAAAGGTTAAAAAGCGCGAACAAACGAGGACAATAAAGAAACACGGACGACAGGACAGGCGCTTCACTCTCAACTGGTTTTTATTAACACCATTGTCACCTATATATACACACTGCCCAAACCACATCGGATTCAATCGCGACAATCAGAGCCAACCTTCCAGAAACACCATCTCACTCTGGAGCAAATACAAAGACGGAGCGCTGACGCAATTGTTTATATATATATATACAGAGTCTAAACTCTAGACGATCGCAAACAAGGCATGTGGCGGCCGCCATGTTCCAGCTCGTGCGAGCAAGCGCGGGCAGGCATGTCAAAGCTATCTCCACGCGAAAGCTGCCCGTGCTTGCACGCGTGCGGCATCAGTCGGGACGCCGTGCTTGCAAACGTCTATAGACCATACCAGAAACGGGCTTCTGGTCGGTGCCATTTTCAGAGCTCGTGCGTGTAGCGCGCGTTTCGCTGAGTAACGCGTCGAAATGCGGTAGCACTGCTTGTCGTTCATGATGGCTATATTCTGCCGATTCAAATAGCGACGGAACCCTATAGCGACCTTTTGCCTTCGATAACATTCACTTTGTCGCACGCCAAAGACAATCGGCGCGTGCAGGTGATGGAGCTTTTGATCGGTTCTTAACTTGTGACTGACTCAATAATAATAATAGCCAAATAAATCAAAAAGTACGATCGTTCTGTCGGTTTTTCGTTTCATTGTAAGACCTTCCGTCGTAGCAACGGGTAGATAATAAGAAAAAAACAAGATGGTTTAAATTGTGATTTAAATCGCGATTAAAATCTCGCCAGTAATTTAAATCAAACATATTCCGAGAAAAAAAAATGAAAAGATGTGATGATAATGCAACTAATGCAAAGGTGCGAGCGAGCTGGACAAGAACGACGAAAATAATCCCTGGAGAAGGAGAACTAGGGGGACAAAGGAAGGACAAACGCAAATCTCCAAACACAGCCAAATGACTTGTTCGCGACCGAAAAAAAACAAAAAAACACTTAGCTGTATTTGGAGATTAGTGTTTGTCCTTTGTCCCCCTTGTTCCCCTTCTCCAAGGATTATTTTCGTGAAAAGATGTTTCGCGTCAATTTGAAGGTTTTCAACTAAACATATATTCTGAAAGTGCACAAGAAACTGAACATAAAGCAGGATATAAACTTTTAAAAAAAATTTAAAATAATTTTTAGTTGTAGAAATACGATATAGCCGAAACCGAAACTGAGCTGCAACTTTACTGGTCCGCTCTCTTGGTGTGACGTCAGGTGTTGTATAAACATTATCGTGGCCAGCTTGAGCCTGTTTCGCCCAGCGTCTGAAGCAGTCAGAAAGCCGTCGCGATCGTCCGTGAGAAATAATGAACTACGATTCATCAATCTTGTGTTAGTCAAGCAGTGGCCAACAAATGATTTTAGATTTGCACCACGAGATTTCAGTCGATTCGCCGCTCGAATTCGATCAGGCGGCATCGCTTCTGAGGGGACCTCTCGTGGGGGCCGCATTCGCGATCCGCCGACATATGGACCGAGATGCCGCTTCAAAGCAGAATGGCCTGAAAGGTTTGATTTGCTAGCAAGGTGTGAACTTTTTTCTAGCACGACACGAACTCTAGTAGCCCGCGTTTTTCGTCGGACTGCTCGGACCCACTTCCGTCGCAGAAACTTGTCGGCCGGAAACCAATAAGATGTCACTCTGCTGCATTTCTTTGTGGTGCTATTGCATCCCACAGTCAGTCACCAATTTCGCCCACCTTCCATCGCACGCCGCACACAGCCTAAACGAGACGCAATTCGCAAAACCACAGACGCTCACTAGCACTACAACGCAAGACGCCGTGGAGTATGGGAGCGCCGTCTGCTCTCGGATACAACATTCGACGTCACGAATGCCCCCTGCTCGTTGTTGCCTGTAGAGCGGCAGCACGTGATTCAGAGGTGTACGCGTAAACTTCAAAATTCATTTCTCGAAAGAAAATGACTATTTTGATTAGATATTTTATAGACATACTCAGGGAAGGATATTTAGTACACGCGGTGAAATTTTTATAAAAATCAATGACCATCAATATTTCGACGGAGCTCCCTTCTGACAGTCTGACATTGGTCTCTTATTACCATCAATAAAGGCAGAGTTAGTCCTGCCAGGGACGTCATAGTGAGCGTTTGGCCAATCGTGAAAAGATTATCCCCGCCGATATCTAGCCAAACGTCACTCTCCGTCTCTCTGTCTCTATCTCCTCCGGCATCATTTGCCATGTCCATGGTTCGCCGTTTCTGTCCAGCACGATCTCGTTTTCGGTCCGCTTCCCTTCCTCTTGAGAGACATCTTGACGACTGCGGCGCGTCTTGTGTGCCTCGCCCTCCCGCATGGCCAACTCTCTGGTGCAAAAAATGTTTTAAGGAAATATAAAAACTCTAATTGATTTGCGACAATTACTGTCCTGGGTACATTACAATCTGTTGTGGAGAAAAAACTAAATTTGTCAATTTCGCGAATCAGGATAAAATAAAGAAAAAAAAGAAGGACAAAACTATAGGCGTCCAAAAGTTTAATTGCTGCTTATCGACATTTCATGGCTGTTATCTGAAATATTCCCGGCGAACATTCTAGTGTTTGTTCTCGTTCAGTTAAAATTGAGATTTTTAGTGCTTGCGCCGAGGCGCTGATGTCCCAGAAAGTTGTTCACGCGTTTCGACCTGACGACCTTAAAAGTTCTCGGGGAGGCGAAGGTTTGATCCAAGGGATAAAAGATACCCCCTTGAAAAGAACTTCTCGGCAGGTGGTGGCCTGCGAGCGTCAGCTGGACTACTCGTACGACATCCGGTGCGACGTCTGGTCCCTGGGCATCACGGCCATCGAGCTGGCGCAGGGGGAGCCGCCGCTCGCCGACGTCCATCCCATGCGCGCCCTCTTCCAGATACCCAGGTGGGGACGCCGCCGTCGACACTCTAGTATAGAGCCACGAAATGAGTTACGCACTCCGTTCGCCGATCTGCTAGTGTCCACCGCCATCTTGGTGTTTAGTGCGGAGCACTAAACACCAAGATGGCGGTGCACACATCGTCACAATTCACATACGCGACTTCTTACGGCGTTAGGAATCTTGGGTAAAACCAGCTGAACAAAGGAAGGAAAGTGACAGGAGAAAAGATTCGCGAACTGACCGCTGGTAACATAGGGTGTGCTCAGGTAACAAGAAAGGTAACTTACTAAGGGTGAAAGCTGAGCTAGTTGGTTCTGAGACATCTTGGGTAAAACCAGCTGAACAAAGGAAGGAAAGTGACAGGAGAAAAGATTGGCGAACCGACCGCTGGTCTTTTTCTCCTGTCACTTTCCTTCCTTTGTTCAGCTGGTTTCATCCAAGATGTCTCAGAACCAACTAGCTCAGCTTTCACCCTTAGGCGTTAGGAAGCTCGGGTGATATTAGGGAGTTTTAGGGAACCGTTTTTGCACGTCCGATACGTTACGACGGGCATTCCGGAACAAACTGCGCATGCGCTACTGCAGAAGAATCGCACATGCGCAGTTCGTACCGCATCGGATGTGCAAAAACGGTTCCCTAAAACTCCCCATTGTTTTACTGCGCTTCGAACTGCTTTAACATTTCTGGAGGACGGAAAAGCGTTTCCCGTGATTTCGGATAAAGCTTCGGATAACTGGCAACCACGATTTTAAGCACCAAGATGGCTGAAGGCTCGTCACTCTTAAACGTATAGCTTATTGAGTGGGTATATAGTCTACACCGAACGCGCTCGGAACGCGTCACTCGACGAAACCTGGGGCGTCGACTTTCCCGCAGAGCACTTGGAATTGACAATCTCTCCAATCTACAAAACAAGTACCTAACAAAAAGAAATCTAATTAATTGCAATTAAGCAAAATTGGTAGATTAAGAAGATGAGTAGTTTATGGTTCGGTGGTTCTAATCATATGCTGAACTGTACGAAAGCATAGTTTTCAAACCGGCAGAGAACTCTGCCGTTTTTGAAAATCGGAAAAGTAACGGCCGATTACTTTTCCAGTGAAGTAATCAAAAAACTTCTAATTGAGTACGTTTTATCTTAGAGTAATTCTATAATTGTAATCAATTACTTTCTTTTTTTTTTTATGAGTAACGTGCACAAAACTGCGTTTCATCATGCTGAGCGCCACAGCGCAGACGACTTTTTTTTTTTTTTCTTTAGATCTAGACATGTTTTCATCAGCATTGTTCGCCGGATATTTTCTGTGGATTGCAGCGATTGCGTGGGTTTCCGGAGGACTATGGCGGTGTAGGAATTCGCGTACCGCCGCCGATTCGCCGTTTCCCACGTGGTCCGTCAACAACCCGAGTACCGCCTGGTTCTTTCACGAGAGCGGGATTCCGCTCCCCGTTTTATGGTACAATAATACACAACGCTACAAAACACTCAATCTAAACTACAAATACACGCGACATCACACAAATATTTAAAAACGCCCGTCAAGTCCGAGTTATACACAAAGAGGGCCCCCAGGCCTCGTGTCCCGCGATTACCCTAGATCCGGTCGCACACACTTGCCTTTTTTCAGTGCCTTCCGGAGGAGTACTAAGCGCTGTTCGCCCCCTAGTGTGGGCGAGGAGGTTTCTCTTCGCCCGCCTTGGGCGCCATCCAGTGGCTAGGAGAGAAAGCGGCACGTCGGGAGCCGAATTCGAGATCCCGATCGACCCCGCGGCGACACGACCACTTGATCGTGTCTGAGGCGAGGCAACTGCATAGCCGCCTCGCGGTACCTTGTTTGATGGGCACCTTCGTGAATGCACGGTGCGCCCATAGCGGGAAAGTACATAGGATATTTTAGATGGGTGCACTCGCACGAGCGAAGTCGCGTGCTCTAGAGGAAAGGCGTTTAAGTAAATCTCGTGTATAACACTGTCACCTCGTGTGCAAAAGAAAAAAAAAACGCTATTAATAATGATAAAATAATACTACTAATAATAATAATATTAAGAAGAAGGAGAAAGGCGTTTTGTAGGACTCATAATGCTGAGAGTTTTGGCGAAACTTCGCTGCTCTGAAGATATCCCAGGGCACTTTTTTCCAAGTTCCCGCTACCAGGCTATTCACCTTTCATTATTTTTTTTTTTTCGAATAATCTTTAACGAGGCACAGCGAAATCCACATCCAAGCACTGCGTAAACAAAGAGCATATGCGACGGACTCAAGTTTCGACTAACGGGTGGAGAGACGAGCACTCGCGAGTAATGTAGGCACCCATTGGCACCTACAGAGTGTGCCTAGAGTTTCGGGAGTGTTTCCAACAGCTCGATTCGGGTCGCGTGATTTGTGGGTCGCGTTTGCAGCACGAGCCGCGAGGAGGCGCCTAAAGCGTCGATCATCTGCAAACGCCTCCGCCTTTCCTCCCCGCCTCGCGAAAACCTAGCGCATGCACAGTTGCGACCAATCGCCGCAGGAGGCGTCAGCTCCCCGGGGCTTGAGTTGCTCCGTCTATTACATCTAGGCTCTCGAGGCGGCTGCAGAGGAGGCGACGCCACCCAGCGGAAGAGACGTGAAGGGGAGAAGCGAGGGGCTGAACTTCTCTGACTGTGCCGCGGAAACTGGCGCGGCCTTGCGGCCGAAATGTGAAGCGGAGGAAAGGTCGAGGACTGAATGCGTGCCGTTGGAGCTGTAAATGTCAAGAAGAGAAATTAGAGAAATGGCCTCGATCTGTTGGAGCGCCTTCGAAGAGCCCAAGCGTTGCGGATCTGGGGGATTCTCCTTCAACAGCTTTCACAACTGTTTTTTTTTTTTTTCTATTTTTTTTTTTTTTTTTTTTTTTACGACAGTTGAATGGGGAAGATTCGAATGCTTTTTCATGCTCGCGGGCTGTGCGCAGAAAGCCCATGCGCTGTGCATAAGGAGGAACGCGTGATTTCTGCGCATACGCGTGTGCACGCGTGTGCGCGTGTGCGTCTGTTTGCGTGAAGGTCGCCGGTCGAGTTAGTAGACGAACTAACTTTCTGCACACGTCCTAATTTATAGCTGAGCCCGTTCTTCCGCGGAAGTCATGAACTCACACGTCAAAACAACCCTCTCCGTGACGTCGCGTCCGCCATTCTTTTTCGGTAGCCCCCTTTCCCGCGGAGAAGTGCCCCACGCTAAATGTACGGGACTTCCACGGCACGTCCTCTATTCTGTGCCCCTGTTTCCCGCGGAAGTTGCAAACCCGCAGGTCACTACAACCCTTTCCGTGACGTCACATCCGTGGGAAATAGGGGTAGCGTGCTGCTTGCCCTATTTCCCACGGAAGTACCCAACGTTAGACGTACGGGGCTCACACGTCACAACTTCCTCTTCATGACGTAACGTCCGCCATTTTGGGCCAGCAACCTGCTTTTCGCGCAGAAGTACCTAACCGTTTAAAGTAGCAGACTCCGTCAGAATTCCTCCTGCGTGACGTCAAATCCGCTATTCTGTACCGGCAACCTCTCCATGACGTCAGGTCCGCCACTCTGTGCCGGTATCCTTTTCCCGCCAGAGTACCCTAACAACAGTAACCTTGTCCCTTTTTCCCGCGGTACTGACGAAACACACGTCACACTAACCCCGCCTGCTCTCCCCGCCGTCACGTGCACTCTCGTGCGCGCCGCTAGCCCGCCTTCCCACCGCGCAGGCGAAGACGAGCGCGCCATACTTGACCGTCTAGCCTACAGCCGAACGTGCGTAACAAACAACCGCAGAAAAAACGAGCGACGATCCAAATTACGAAACAACGGGAACTAAACGGAAAGGAGAAGCTCCCCCTGCAACGTCTTGCTGCTACGGCCCGGCCGACGAGAACGATGATCTACCCACGCGTGCTCGTGCCAGCTTGCCTCCCAGCCCCCACCACACACACACGCGAGCCAGTGCAGTACGCCCGCGCTAGCGTGTCTAATCGACGCGCCGGACGGCCCTGTTTCTCGCCGGCCGTTGCGCAGGGGGGTGTAGCGCTGCCGGCGGGTTTGCGCCGTTGCACCGTGTAGCTTCCGCCGATGCCGACGGCGGCCGAGGTCCGATCGTCTCGCGAGGGTTGGTCTCTCCGCGTTGTCTTTCAGGAACCCGCCGCCCAAGCTGAAGAACCCGGCCGAGTGGTCCGATGATTTCAACAGCTTCCTGTCGCTGTGAGTACGCGTCCTTTGTTCTTTTACTTTTATTAACGCGGAATGTGTTTAAGGGCCTAATATTGCGCACGAAAATCGTGTCGCTCCGGTGTAGTACTAGGGGCTGTAGTACTTACACTCCTTGTCCCATTTATAACACCCCAAAACTACATTTCGACGTTCGGTCCAGTGATGTCGAACTGACGATGCGAACTTTTCCGAGCGGCTTGATAGCAGTGCGATATAACTTACGAAATACCCAATGTACGTATCAAAATACTACAGAAAAACAAAAAAAAAAAACGCCGAGATTATGCCGCAGAGCCAAGTCCAACAAAACCTTGCGTGTTTTCCTGAAGTCTTTAATGCGTCCATTAGCTAATTTAATAAGTTGTATCACTCGACTTTCAAGCCGCTCGTGAAAGTTGGTGTCGTCGGTACGACGCCAGTGGACGGAACGTCGGATTGTAGTTTTTGGGGTGTTTTACGTGTGACAAGGGGTGTAAGTACTACACCCCCTATTTCTGAGAGTGCATAGCAGAGCAGGCAATACATATAGGCACCCAGAGAAGCCACATCTAGTCACAGTTCATCGTACTTAATTAAAATTCAGCATAATTACTCGAACTTGACTCGATTTACCAAACGGCGCAGCGGGGGTCGAACCCCGAACCGTGAGACACGCCACCCGGTACCTTTGGTCGGCGCCACCAGGAGGCGACCGCTTGTGCCCGCTGCCGAATGACGTTGCACCCTGCCCGTGACGCCACTCCCAAGGTCACGGGTTCCGAATAAATTTCAAAACTGCGTCATCATTCTGAATTAGGGGAGCACGTAACGTGTGTCCATCGAGCTGCGAGGCATCGAACTCCACCCAAAAGCTCCCCGTAACGAAGCGTAACAAATCAGAACGCTCGCATAATGTATACGAACGACACATTTCGTATGTCCCGCGTTTATCAAAATGATCGAAACAATTTATTTATTTATTTTACGAATATTGCAGCCCTTGTCAAGGACGTAGCGTGTGAGGTATACATCAACAGTTTGGATTTCAAACACGAGAGGGTGACCCTTGCGTCCATGACATACTTGAACTATTAAACATCAAAATAAACACCTCGACCGCGCTCGCATAAGTTAAGGTCGATAACATGAATGTGCAAAGCGCGGGACGGACGGAACGGCGTTTCTCGGAACGAGCGTTCTTTTTAGGAAGGTCAGAGGAAACTCCACGGACAACGCTCACGCTTTGGGTCAGTGAAACTCGACAACTCCGTACTTTCTGAAACCCAAATGACCCTTTTTTTTCTTCCATTTCGTGCAGTAAACGAATTTGGAAGGCACGGTTTGGTAGTTTTGTGATACAAATATATGTTGTCTGTATGTCGGGAGTTTGAAAAAAAAAAACTGTTTTTTTTTCTCGTTGTAAATATAAAAAAAGCCTCACCAAAACTAGTCTTCGCCCGCATGTAGTGCTAGCGGTTGGAAACCAGACGGCAAGTCTGAATACTTACTGAAATTTTATCCAAAAGCTGAATTTCCATGAATTCTAAATGAAAAAATCGGATCCGTTTCCGCTAGAAAACGACATTAATCGCCATGTTGTATTCGCGGGCTTCGCTGGCCGCCATTTTCAAAATTTAACATTTTTTAGAGCGCAGCTATTAGGCGCACGTTTCTGGGTTCAGCGCCGTCGATGTCGGTGTAACCGCGCGCTGCATTATGGGACGTTTCCACGCTAAATTTAGCAGAAATGATTCTCCGCTGAATTTAGCGGGGCAACTTAACCCGCTAAATTTAGCGGAAAATTTTCACCGCTAAATTTAGAGCAAAATGATCCCCGCTAAATATAGTGAAAAAATTCCCCCGCTAAGTTTAGCGGAAAAAATCCTCTAAATCTAGCGGGAAAACATAACCCGCGAAATATGGCGGAAACATTTCCCCGATAAATCTAACGCAAAATCTCCCGCTAGTTTTAAAAATTTTTCCGCTGAATTTGGCGAATATTTCCCGCTGAATGGGAGGGGGGGGGGGGGAGAGGAGGGAGCGGCATACCCTCCCCTCCTCCTCAAGAGTTGCGCTCTAATTCGACATTACAGAGAATCGTAAACGTCTTTCTTTTTTTAATCGCTTATAACCGTTTTGAACCAGATAGCTGCACGTAGCTATACTTCGTTTCACCTTATCTGCGAGCGAAGCCAAAGCTAGAAGCGCGAGACCAGCGCTTTTTGCGTTTCTCGCCAGCTCGCGCGCTCGAGCAAAGCCTGAACGCACGGAGCTTTCGTGCTCACGCTTGCAGCTTTGCCTTCGCTCGCATATAAGGTGAAACGAAGTATAGCGCTGCATCTGAGCAAATTCTGAAAGTGCGACGATGCGTAGTTTGTTTTAACGACGAGGAAAAACTTGATACCGATTTCTCGCGAGCACCCGGTAGACTGATGGGTGTCGTGCTCTATTGTTCCGTTTTATATAACTTTGGAATTTCGCATCCTTCTAATCTGCCGGGTTGAAACTTCGCATCATTTGACTGATAACCTAAAGTAAACAGTAAGTGTTACGCATTAAAAAAGTATTAAAAAAATACTAAAGGTAGTAACCCGTCAAACGATGAAAAGTGTCCATGGAGCACAGAGAGAAGTGCGCGCCAAACGCCCACATCTGCGAGAATGCTCTTACGCATGCCCATCGCGGATGTTCGAATCATGTTGAAATTAATTATAGTTTTAGGTAATCTGGTTTCCGTTTCATTAGCACGTTTCCCTAGAAGCTATCAATAGCCTGATTAGTTTTTATAGTCAACGGGAGTCTAATAAACGAACGGCGTTGCTCAGTAATAGTAATAATAATAATAATCATAATAATGATAGTAATATCTATTAAGGAATGCGGATGCAATAGTGATATGGCGGTCTGGTCGAAACCTGCTTGTAAAACAAGGTAGTAATATAATAATAATAATAATAGTTGTTATTATTAGAGGCGTCATGTATCTTAAGATGTACACACCTAACGAGAAAATAAGTTGCAGTATAATCACGTTACCCAGCAAGATATCATTGAATTCGAGATATAGGTTTACTTTCGATACTCTCAAGAAAAAAGGATGTAAAAGTATGTATCGTTAGACCCTTTGTCCCATATAATACACCCCGAAAATTCATTTCGACGTACAGAGCCCTATAGTCGAACAGACGATCCCAAATTTTACGAGGGGCTTGATAACGGTGCAACATAACTTATTATGTTATTAATTAGCTAAAGTATGTATAAAAGACCACAGAAAGAAAACACCGAGTTTTTACAGTAAGGCCAAGAAAACCCCGATTATTTTTTTTTTGTTTTCAGTAAAACGTACAGTAGCTATTTTAATTAGTTGTGCCACACGGCTATCAAGCCCCTCGTAAAATTTGAAGTCGTCTGTTCGACTGTAGGGCTCTGTACGTCGAAATGAAATTTTGGGGTGTATTATATGGGACAAAGGGTCTAACGATACACCCTTTTACACCCTTTTTCTTGAGAGTGCAGGTATAAAACCGCTCAATTCATATCGACATAAGACTGTTCAAAAGCAGATTCTACTTTAAACTATACAGGGGTGGGAAGTTATAACTGATATTCTGAAAATTTCAATGGGAAAATGGGGCCCGTTTTTGCCTGTTTTCGGTTTCTGGTGCCATAGAGCCCCATGTATTCGAAAACTCCGTCGGCCGCCATTTTCCTAGTGAAATTTTCAGAAAATCACTTTTAACTTTTTATTAAGTTATCGGATCGGGCTGAAGCTTTGGCAGCTGGTTGTGACCTCTAACGCTACCTTTGGGCGGAGAATGAGCGTTCGGCGATGCCTAGTTTGTTTTTGCGGTAAAAAAGACCGTGTAAATTTTATTTTGTGATACCCTGTACATTGTTTTTCGGATTCTCGATATTTCGCCAAGTCTTCCAGACGTGACCTTCGTGAACATTTCGCCGGCACCAGATTTTACGATTTGGAATAGTACGCGCTTCATGCATTCGTCTATATAAAACACATTTTCACGAATTTTTTACTTTAAATCGCAAATTTTGCAAAGTTTAGGTTTTCGCGAAAATTAGATCCATTTAGGAGTAAAATTAATACTTGTTTTTGGCCGAGTGTAATAATAATCGTTGCCGTGGGCTGCGGTCGTTTTAATAATGCGCACAAGCCACATATTTTTTCCCGGAACGATCGCGATTCTTTGAAGAGCCTTATTTCGAATGCCCCGTTTCAAAGTATCCGTGTGGTCTACAGGCAAAGCAATGCCTACAGTGCACAAACCTAGTTATTAAGTTTTTCTTTTTTTTAGCGACCGATGCCGTATTTGCTTATTTCTCGTGACGTGAGAAGCATATGCGTTGGTCTATCTGGGCCGGGTTCGCAGAAGCGCCGAATGTAGGCTACGGAGCTGGTTTCCGCCGCGGGAACTAACAACTTACAAGCCGGTCAGTCTGTATAGTTCGGAAGACGCGCCCAAACGTTCCTTCTGCAGCTCTTCCCCCTCCCGCCTCCCGCCTCCGAACAAAATACCTCCGGAAACAAAATTACTATACCCGTTCTCACCTCAAGGACCCTAGTGAAACGAGTCCGGCTCCTCGAGGAGGATTACTAATTTCCCCCTTTATGTGGATAATTAAGATATATGCGGGTGATCAAAAAGTTCCGGGACTGATTTTGTAGCGTAGAAAGTGAGGGTAGTACAGTGATGCGCGCGCAGCAGTCAAAGTAAAGAACCTTCGCGTCGCTCTGTGAACATTTGGAGCTGCGCTACACTGGTTTGTTTGACCACATGCACGAGCATGATGGCGATATTTCCATACACTGCAAATCAAGGCGAGAACGAACATCAATTTTACGTCAAGCTCAGCAAACATAAAATAGAGACCTCTAAACTAATTTAAAAAGCTTATGAAGAAAAAAAAAAAAAAAAAAAAGAGGTGAGGCGTGCGAGGTGTTTTCGCGCCTCAAGAATGGCAGAACGTCACCGAAGTCAAGGAGAGGTCGGATAAAGTCGCCCTACCTCTCTTCGTCTTCCGGCGATGTTCTGCCGTTCCTGAACCGCGAGTTAAAAAACTTCGCGAAATTTACTGTTTTTTTACACAAGCCTGCTGAATCATATCGAAGGTCTCTGCGTTATATTTGTCGAGTTTGACGCAAAATTGATGTTCGCTCTCGCTCTGGTTTGTAGTCTTTATAGTAAAATCGCCATTGTGCCCATGCACGTGGTCACGAAAACTCGTGAAACGCAGCTCCAAATGTTCACAGAGCGGCGTCCTTTCGTATAACGAGACAGGAAGGTTCCTTCCTTCGACTGCTGAGCGCGTATCACTGTGCTGCCCTCTCTTTTCACGCTACAAAATCAATCCCGCAACTTTCTGATCACACCTCGTATATGCGGGTGAATTTTAAATTATATATATATATATATATATATATATATATATATATATATATATATATATTATGTTATCTTATCAAGACGCACACGTTCCAAACGCCAAAAGTATCGCTTTTTCCTTCGATAACCAAATCTTGTAAGAACTACTTCGTGTCGCGTATGAACAATGCGCAAAACTTGTTTTTTTCTTGAGGGGAAAACAACTAATAGCTAGCGCTCTTGTTTTACGCGGAAGGAGCTCCCTTTTTACGCAGCAGGGTTTAGCTTTCGTTACTTCTGAGTGCTACGATAATCTGGTCGACATAGCTGCGTGAAATAAGATATCTATGCATTTTAATTTGTATTTGTTAGCCATTTCGTGGGGTGGCAGTGACAAAAGGTGAATGAAAACACTCGATAAAGGACCCCATATAGGTTTCAATATGGCGCAATTTACAGGAAACACGTGAAGTAGGAAAAAAAATGATGACACGGGCGTTCGGGCAACGCTCACATTCATGTTGAATATACATCTTTTAATATATTCCAACAAGGTCCGTGAAACTCCTTTTCTCAACAATATGAAGAAAGAGAATGGGAGTGTTGGATTATAAGTTGTAAGATTTGTAGGCAATAGTATAAAAAGTCTTCTTTTTTTTATTTTGTCTTTTGAAAGCTGGCTTGCTCTGGTACATGTAAAACGGGAAAAGTCCGTAAATATTGAACGGTACGAAGACATGTCGCAATTAGGGAAAGAATCTGCGTGTAAAATTCCAGGAAACTATAACCCTGCTCCTAAATAAAAAAAAAACAAGGCTTCTCTGATGATATTTTCAAAGCCGAAGTTGTTTTTATTCGTTTTTGCACGACCTGATATTATTGAGGTTACACATTTTGCCCATGACCCGTTTCTCCTGTCACAAATTGTTTGCATTTGAGGGATATACCGCGGAAGCTATACATGAATGCGGTTTGTGCTAACATAGGGCGTTAATCGTTACGATAAATCGAATAATTCACTAAAACTTGTTAATTAACATTTTAATTAGTTCAAATTGACATGTGGTTTCAATTAGAAACTTGTCGAGCGCAAGGCTACGTACGGGGGAGAAAACGCGGGAGATAAGAGACGGAAAAACCGCGCGGGCGCCTTGTCGCGCCTGTGGCCTTGTTCCTTCTGCACGTTACACGTATGATAACTTTAGCTCTCCATCAATCTTCCCACGTGCTCCAAATATCTAAATATTTACTAATTGAGTGGTTTTTTTATTTCGGACAGCAAGTCTCTTATTAGAACCATATGCTTATTTTCAATAATTAAGACGTTAATTAACATATATGAGTTCATTATCCGACTGATCGTTACGTCGAGCACCCCCATACTATGTCCTCCTGGCCGTAAAACTCGCCTTCATAAACCGCATTAGTCTATAGCTTTCATGTCATTGTTCCAAAGGGAAGCTGAAGCGGTTCTGTATTTCAGTAAAAACACATGAATTGTCTTCATTTGGCCTCCAGAATCACACACGCACACACGTGTGTGTGTGTGTGTGTGTGTGTGTGTGTGTGTGTGTGTGTGTGTGTGTGTGTGTGTGTGTGTGTGCGTGTGCGTGTGCGTGTGTGTGTGTGTGTGTTTTGATTGGATGCACGAAGGTTGCAGAAGATAATTTTGAAAGCCCCACCGAAGCCCCTCTTTCCCGGAGCGTTATGTCATAAAAGGAGTTTTCGGAATCTCTGCTCTTGCGCATATTCGGCGCCTGTCAAAGCCTCTTCCTGACCTTTTCCAAAACAGCACTTGTGCTGTTTTGGAAAAGGTCAGGAAGAGGCGTCACGACTGGTGTCAAGGCGGGGGAATATATACCTGGCAAGCTGCCCACTCGAGCGACACGCGCTTGGCGGCCCAAAGATCCATTTATGACGTAACGACTGATCGGAGGTTTTTCGTGTTTTCCCGCGATTAGACACATATTCGAGGAAAACAAACGTGACATTCTGGTCCACAGGATAAAAATACTGTACAATTCACCTCTAACTCGTCTTCTTTTAAGGACTTCTTCAGCTTCCTTTTAAACAAATGTGTTAAGCTTAAAAACAAAACAAAACAAAAAACATTGTATATGACATTTCCACAACAGATGCCCTCTTTAACGCCTGCTGACTGTTTACGGGTACCATAAAAACAGATGAAAAGTGTCACCGACGTTGTTCAATATTATATAGTCGCGCTATAGAAAGATATATAATTTATATTTCTCACGTGAGTGTGTAGGTCGAAATAATGTTTTCTGGCCCACGAAAGAGACCGGTCAATTCGATTGATTGCAGATGTTTGGTGAAGGACTACGAGAAGAGGCCCCTGATGTCCGACCTGATGAGTCACAAATTCATACAGCAAGTTCCCAAGCACCCCGAAGAGGTACCGTACAATACCGAATCTTTAACGAGCTCTCCTCGGAATCTAAAATAAATTCGGAAAACTGCGAATCCGGCCGGGGATTTCAAAAATAATTTATTCTACATGTATGATAAAGAAATCGGCCAAAATTATCACTTTTCCTGCATTCATCTCAACCTTAAAGCATTGCAATTTCGTATATGTTGCCTCATTTCCGCATCATCTCCCAACACTCCTTTCCAGGAGTCAACATATACTTTGATTTAATTATTTATTTGTTGTTTAGGGCGTTCACTACGGGGAAGAGGGAACACAGATTGATATGATAAACCAAATGCAGGCTAATACGTTGACATTCCAAGCACAGAAAAGTAACTTTAGTACTGCCTCATCTACAGCAATTCAGAGAAGTTCACAAAACTCTGAAAAAGAAAGTTATCTGGTATTCTACTGTGAACAATATCAGTTCCTTATCGTACGAGCTGATTGCCAACTGATCACTAGGCTAACGTATCCTTCTGATTGTGCGCAACTCATTCCAGATCCGTCAGGAACTGGTCCGAATCCTGCGGGCCCAGCACAAGGTGGGATTCTGCAAGAGGTTACCGGAAGTCACCACCAAGCATGGACAGCTCAAGACGGACCGGAAGTCCAGGCCGCAGCCCATCCTCATGGACGACCTCTCGGCTCTCGAGACCCTCACCGAAGTATGTGCTCGTTCGAGCAACGAGATCGTGCTAATATTCCGGAACTTCTTTTTTTTTTTTTTTTGCAATCATCCCCGTAAAGATTATTTACGGCAAAACTTCAGTGAAATAACGGTAAAGTTGTTTGTTAGAACAGCACATCATCCGTATCGTTCTGGCGTGTTGGCCGATCCCGGAGGCAGTGCTATATCGCACGACGGAACAAGAAATGGAGAATCCGTCGACGCATTATCAGTGTTATTTCCGCAAGCAAGTTTTTGCGGCAGAATTATTTAGTAGCGCGGAGGTGTGAATTCATAGTTATTATACTACATAAGTATGAAAATGAGGTCCCGCCTAGTTTTATATCACTCAGAAACAAATGAATTAACCGTAAATGTAGGGAGAAAATGTGTCTAGAGTCATGGAACATTTAGAACACGCAGCGTCTATTCTAAACGATAGATTTCTCGCTTTGAAAACAAATGGGGCAGTTGCCTTTCGACTTTCGTCTTATAGAAATGGTAAACAGGTTTCACCAACTGCTCATACAAAAGGTGTGATTTTTATATATATAGTACAAGTTTATAGTTTATACATATATAGTTTAAGTACAACTGTCAGAGTAAAAAAAATCTTACAGGTTTGTGATGCTGAAAGAGAAAATTTTACACTTTATTTTCGCGGGCAGTGGGTACAATATCTTACGCGAATTTTTCAAATTGCGAGTTTTGGATTAATATTGCGGGCACAACATTTAGCGTTTGAGAGTGATATCTAATTGGTCGTATTATTATTTTGCAAATCGCAAAATTTGCAAATATTAGGTCCTTGCTAAAATGAGGACGTTTGCAGTATTTCATTGTCATCATAATCAATTGCCCTACCTTTATGGCGTGCACTGGAATCGACTACTTTTCTGCTGAGTTGTTAATTATCTCATTACTCCATAAAGCATAAAGTTTAAATGAATGAAGGCTCTTTGACAACGAAATGACTGCGGTTTGTTGCGTTCCGAAATAAAAAAAAAAAACTTGAGCATTAATAAAAAGAAAAAAAAAAGAATTTAACGAAGAGCAGCTCACTTTCGTGTTGCTTGCACCCTAATTATGGCGGGCTTAATTTTCCAGGAAATCATCGTGGATCAGCTGTACCAAAGATACATGAGGTGCCAGATCTACACCTACATCGGAGACATCCTTCTGGCCATGAACCCTTTCCAGAAGCTCCCTATTTATTCCGAAGAGGTGAGACATTCGACGCCCCTACTAAGGGCGACGCAGTACCTCTCAATCCTTTATCAGCTAAGAAAAAAAAGATGCATGTACCAAGGTATGACTTGTGGGTACCGCTGAGGCCATAATGCAACATATTGCTCCCTTTCGCATAGTGATCGTTTAAGTCGGTTTATAGTATGTTTTGTGGTGTCAAGGTGGGAGCGCTCCAGGAGGAATTCAACATTATGCCTTCTCTTGAGCTCGCGGAGTTTACAACCTGGGTGACGAAATTAAAGGGGCCCTCCGGAACGTTCTGCGATGGTCTATTTATGGCGGTGACTCAATCTACAGGCCGTAAGGATCCTAAAAATCATAAAATTACGGTCATGCGCGGCGGATTTCCCTATTAAAATTGCTATCAAAGTCCCCGGCACGCCCCCCTTTCTGAGATGACCCCGGAAAACGGGAGGGGCATCTCTTTACGCGTCAGCCAATAGCAAGCGAAGGATCCCGGCGTCACTGCGCGTCACCAAGGCCGCCGACCGCCGACCGGCGGAGGAATCTCTCGAACACGCGCGGACCGTCGTCAAGGGACCCGGACTTTGTGCTCGGCAGTCGTCGTTCGTCGCACCGCACCTTCGCGTTGCTACTGCAATACGCAGTCGCATCCCACAGATCACAAGGAAAAGTTTGACTCGTTGACGTGGAAGGATCGCAAAGCTGGCTTCGGAGTCGGGATCCACGGGAAGAAGGAACACGTGTCCCGCAAACGCACGCCTGCAGACGCCCCGGGAAGCAGACGAGCCGACGCGCCGACGCATCACCCCCTAGCAACAAGCTTGCGGGGAGAAAACATAGTTCATCAGTTTACGTTTTTCTCAAACTCTAATTTACAACAAGCTTAAAAAGTGTTGCAATAATAACGTTCGCATTCACCGCGAGATGCAGCGTTTCCATTGGTCAAGTTTTAGCGATGAGCAGGGAATGGGGGATTGTCTTCCAAGAGAAAATAGTCCCGATATATTTCTTCTGCCATCTGCGTAATAAACGGTTTTGTAATCTAAAACTTTGTATACATATTAACTTGCACCTACTAAGCAATATAACATCATAAACAGACGATCGCAGAAAGCTCCGGAGGGCCCCTTTAAGGGCGCCTCGACTGGGATCAGCTCATACAGAGCTTATACATTTGTCATGTTTTTCCGAAGAAGCTGCATGAATATGTAAAAATCGGCCCTTTAGTGTTTTTTTTAAGACATTTGTAAGGTTTGAAACACCCTGTGTGAAATTTTGTTTGTTGGAAAGAAGACATTTGACACAGGTTGTTTAAAAAGGGCTGAATCTCTCTTCTGCCAAACTTAGAACACAAGGTGCACGGTTTACAGTGACTGATACACGTTTGTATGCCACCTTGAAACACGAGTTTCAAGGTGACAGAGTATGTAAGGTGTTAGAGGTGGGAACCGGGAGCTCCCTACCGAAACCCCAATTTGTTCTGCGGAAAGCAGACTGATGTATTGACCACCAACGTTGCACGTATATCTCGTGCGAGTAACAGCCCTATAGCTTGGACACCCCTCCGAGTTGAGCTGTCCAGAGTCTACAGACGAGCACCATAGTTGTCCAATACGGGGAAGGTGCAGCCAGAGCGGGTGTATGCGTACATTTTTCTTCGTTAATCTTTGACAAACTCGCAGGCATCCCTCAAATACCGCAACCGTGCCAAACTGGACAACCCACCCCACATCTTTGCGGTGGCTGACAGCTCCTACCACAACATGCTGCACCAGAAGCGAAATCAGGTATACCCTGAAACCGAGAAGATACAGCGTGTGTCTCTCATGTATCATTACGTCTTTTGCGAGAATTTTCCCATCTATTTACCCAACACACTCTTGGTACCTCGTATAAATCGTGGAGCAAGGAATGACATGTATAATAGCATACGTTGTCCCTTCATAGTCTCACTAAATCTTACAAATTTCACAACGACCCGTGTATAGCCTTCGAGCACTGAACAGGGCAATAACAAACCTCTTCGTGTCTATTGAGGCAATAATAAGTAATGGTAAACATTTTTTTTCTGATTATGGAAAAACGATATTTAATATAATTTTTTCTTTGCTCTGAAATCCTGTCGATGAGTCAAAGTTATTGGGAAGCTACATGGATATCAAGATTAATGTAACTATCTAAAAATAGTGTTAGTCTATAGGCACAAATCTCACGGTTGCTTTGAGGCTCTTCATATATATATATGGCGGTTTCATTTGGATTCAGGCAACGAGGTGCAGTCGTATTTTTTATTTTGCTTCAAATTTTTATATTTCGTCGCGCATGTTCCAAGAAGAACAATCCTTTTTATTTTAATGTCCTGACATGTTTAATTTCTGAGACAAAAATATCAAAGAAGCTGGAGCGAACGGCAAGGTTTTGACGGTTGTCGTGTGTGGCGTTTTTGAATCACTCTCAATCTCAAAGTACTCAAAAACACTGTCTGTATTTTTTATTGTAATATGCATGCAAGTAGGTAAAACGGCATTATAACTACTACTTATTATTCGCCGCTCCAATCTTTGTAAAAATCTCCAAACATGCCTCCGCGAACAACTGTAACCTAGACTGCGGATTTTGTTTTTTTAGTCGATTATGTTTAGTATTTTTTTTTAAATAATACCACGTGTAGAACATTTCATTGCCTTCCAAATTAAGCAAGGTTTGTGTCGTTATCATGTACGAGTACTTAGAAATAAATTATGAAACAGGTTTTCACTTTTTGTTCAAATTCAGCACGCCAAAAAAATTAAAAAAATTTTTTTTGTCGCGTTTTGTTCACACATTTTTGTTTTAGCCAGAATACATTCTGTTAGAGGTAAACTCACTGGTTTCGAGTTTAAAGCTTCTAAATATGCTAAAAAAGAGCAAATGCCGATGGTGGGTTTATGGGTTAAATTGACGACTGTCGTGTGTGGGTTTTTTTTAATCACTCTGAATCTCAAAGTATTCAAAAGAGAGCTTCTATATTTTTTTATTGTGATATAAGTATATGCAAATAGGTAAAACTAAATTCCAACTACTATTTATTATTCGTCACTCCAATCTTTGAAAAAATCCCCAAACATGCCTCCGCGAACAACTGTGACCTAAACTGCGGATTATTTTTTTTGTCGACTATGTTTAGTATTGCTTTTAGAATAATACCACGTGTACTTACTTTCATTGCCTTGCAAATTAAGTAAAGTTTGTGTCTTTATCATGTACGAGTGTTGAGAAATAAATTATGAAACAAAGAAGGTTTTCACTTTTTGTTCAATTTCAGCACGCTGTATAAAGAAAAAGCAAAAAAAGTGTTTAATTTGTTGATTTTTTTTTTTCGCGTCGCGTTCGTCTTTACATTCTCCTTTTATCCAAAATACACTCCGTTAGAGGTATATGCACTGGTATTGAGTTTTAAGCCTCCAAGTATGCTAGAAAAGAGCAATTGCCGATGGTGGGTTTATGGGTTATAGTTGTATATTTTACTCTTTACTATAAGAATCTAAGGGACGTTTAATGAATAATCATATAAAATACATTGATGTCGTTAGAAGTATAATAACAAGTTTGGAACTCCAAACTCTTAAACACTCTATAAAATCGCAACTTCTGAAAGCGGGTTTTCAGACAATTTCCGCCGGTGCCATGACTGGAGAGGCCTCAAGCCTCTTCAACCATGGCACCCTATGCGCTACATAATCTATACTATGCGAGAAATTTCAAAGTATATCTAATACAATCTTGTGCGCAGCAAGCACGAGGACAAAAGCAGAGAACAGCACACGCAACAAGGCGCAACTTTCAACTGAATCTTTTTTTTATTGTCTTCTTCTTGTTGTTGTCTTCGTCAAAGTATAATATTGTAAAACATTAGGGTAAAATACACTTCCTATTGGAAGCCTAGATTTGTAAATGCGAAATTTTATATTTTTAATACGAAATTCATGTTGCTAACTCAAGAGATTAATTTTTACTTATTTTTACTACTCTTTATTTTTCCCGTTTTTATTTTACTCTGTAAACAAATACTGGGTTAAAAAATTAATGTTTTTATACAGTTGCTCAAACTGAACAAAAAGTGAAAACCTCTGGTTCATAATTTATTTATCAGTACTCGCACATGATTAAGACACAAACTTTGTATAATGTGGAAGGCAATCAAAGGTTCTACACGTGGTATTACTTTAAAAAACGATGCTAAACATAGTCCACTAGAAAAAAAAATCGGCAGTTTAGGTCACAGCTGTTCGCGGAGGCATGTTTGGGGATTTTTACGAAGATTGGAACGACGAATAATAAACAGTAGCTGGAATGTCGTTTTATAGACTTGCATATATAGGGTGGTTCAAGTCACCAGGCTCGATCTAAATTGGACCGTAAAAAGCGACGCCTGCACGTAGCAATCTAAACTTTTCGTCAAAGGTGTATACCACAGGTCGGTTTTTTCTTGTAAAATTACAAAGCGTAGTTCTCTTTCTGTAAAAAATAAGGCCAAGAAACTTGCCAGGGTCTACGGCGGGCAGCGGCGCCGACGACAGGGGTTCAGTAGCGGGGTGTGTTTGGTGTTCGTATTGATAGATGGCGTTGGGAGCAGCGTCCGAACGTGCAGCCGACCAGCGAAAGAAAGCAGACGACACGCAGACGAAATCCGTTGGCAGCAAAAGCGCCGCCGTTATGCACACGCGTTTTTTTACTTTAAGTTTTGCTTTTATTGTCCGCATTTATTTTTTAACCGAAGGTACATTTCAAAAAGATTGTTAATTGTAATAAACACCGCGACCACCGTGAGCCGTCGCGATAAGGAGGTAGCGCCACCTATCAATACGAACGCCAAACACACCCCGCTACTGGGCCCCCGTCGTCTGCGCCACTGCCCGCTGTAGACCCTGGCAAGTTTCTTGGCCTCATCTTTTACAGAAAGATAACTACGCGTTGTAATTTTACAAGAAAAAACCGACCTGTGAAATACACCTTTGACAAAAAGTTTAGATTGCTACGTGCAGGCGTCAATTTTCATGGTTCACTTTAGATCGAGCCTGGTGACTTGGACCCCACCCTATATATCACAATAAAAAAAAAAAAAATATATATATAGAAGCTCTCTTTTGAATTGTTTGAGATTGAGAGCGATTCAAAAACGCCACACACGACAACCGTTAATTTAATCAATAAACCCACCATCGGCATTTGCTCTTTTTTAGCATATTTAGAGGCTTTAAACTCAAAACGAGTGCATGTACCTCTAACGGAATGTATTCTGGCTAAAAGAAGGGTGTGAAGAGAACGCGACGCAAGAAAAAGAAAAAAAAATAATATTTTTTATACAGCGTGTTGAAATTGAACAAAAAGTGAAAACCTTCTGCTTCATAATTTATTTCTCAGTACTCGTACATGATAAAGACACAAACTTTGCTTAATTTGGAAGGCAATGGAAGAAAATACACGTGGTATTATTTTAAAAACAATACTAAACATAGTCGACTAAAAAACAAATCCGCAGTTTAAGTCACAGTTGGGGATTTTTACAAAAATTGGACCGACAAATAATAAATAATAGTTATAATGTCGTTTTACCTACTTGCATATATATCAGAATAAAAAGAATATAGACGCTCTCTTTTGAAAACTTTGAGATTGAGAGTAATTCGAAAACGCCACACACGACAATCATCAAAACCTCGTCGTTCTCTCCCGCTTCTTTGAGATTTTTTTTCTCAGAAATTAAACATGTCAGGACATTAAAATAAAATAAAAATGTTTGTTATTCTTGTAACATGCGCTACAAAATATAAAAATTTGAGGCGAAATAAAAAATACGACTGCACCTCGTAGCCTGAATCTAAATGAAACCGCCCATTATATGGGGGAAGGCAAACGAGCATGTACAAAAGAAGAATCAGCCTAACATGTTGCTGTGCTTGTAAGAATCCACTCTGCTGTTTCGAAGCTGCAGGAGAGTGTCCTCACCACATTTCTCCAAATACCGCCGCGATTTCTTTTTCAGTGCATAGTCATCAGCGGTGAGAGTGGCGCGGGAAAGACAGAAAGCGCAAACTTCCTCCTCAGACAGCTCGTTGCACTGGGAAAGGTAAGTGGACGCGTTACTTCCTCGTAGAGGGACTGTCGAAACTCACTCCCACCGAACGACAACGTACTCCGTATTAGATTCATACCGTAATCGAAAAGCTGGCACTATGTCAGTGATGCCGCCAACAGAGACCCTTTTAGGGAGGCTCTAATGAGAGTGAGTGCAACTCAAATCCTGGAGAGTGTTTGGAATTTAGTGGCGGCGCCTGAGGGAGAGGATTGGGAAAGGATACGCGCCAATGTTGCTTGCACGAGAGCAGACGCCCGCTCTGTTGCAACTCTGTTGCCCCATGCGCCTTTCCTCCTCACTCTCAAGGAAAAAGGGTGTCAAAAGGTCACCCTTTGTCCCATATAATACACCCCAAACCTGCAATTCGACACACAGCGCCCTACAGTCGAACAGACGGCCCGAAATTTTACGAGGGGCTTGATAGCCGTGTGGTACAACTTATTAAAATAGCTAATGTACGTTTTACTGACAACAAACAAAAATAATTGGGGTTTTCTTGGCCCTAGTGTAAAAACTCGGTGTTTTCTTTATGTGGTCTTTGATACGTACTTCAGCTTTTTAATAAGTTGTACCTCACGGCTATGAAGCCCCTCGTAAAATTTCGGGCCGTCTGTTCGACTGTAGGGCGCTGTATGTCGAATTGAAATTTTGGGGTGTATTATATGGGACAAAGGGTGTAACGATACACTCTTTTACACCCTTTTTTTCTTGAGAGTGCTCTCGCCTCCCATTGCAAGCAACGAACGCCTTGGCGTAGCCTTTCTCGCTCCGGGAATCGCAAACGTCGAGAGGAGAAAGCAGTGATGCCAGACAAGCAGCAACGTCCAAGACTTAACCTATCGGAACAAAACTGGTGGCTAGAGAAAAGCAATCATTTATACCTCGCGTAAATTGTTCAAGCACATTAATGTGCTTTTATGACCTGAGTTAGGAAATAAAATGACCCTTTGCCCCGTAGACTCCCAGCATAATTTAGAAATTAAATGGCGTCCATATCCCGTGATCCCCGATCTAGCAGTTGCCTCCACCCTCACTAGAGCCTCCCTATAGCACGCACTCTGACCACGTATTGGACACGAGTGTGACGTCAGCGTTCGGTGGCGACTGGGATCCAATCACAGGCTTCGTTCCCAAGAAATGGCGACCGCCAATGTTGCTCCTTGAACTTTTGAAGAAAAAAAAAAAGGGTCTATTCCACAGTAAATTAGCGAATCCTGGCATTAAAAATGAGAGGCGAGTTCTACAGCGTGTACGCTAACGCTTCTATCCCACTTTGAACAGTCCGCAAAAATCGGTTTTTCAACGTATCGCGCTAAGATCTACTACACGAGGCTGCCGAAGGTGGTGCATTTATTACTTGGGAGTATGAATACATGAAACCTCCGGAGTAAAAAAAAAAAACTAAAAACTGAATTTGTCTATAAAAAAATTGTCGCTGAAATAAAAAACAAAAGTTGTTTTGGGTTATTCTGACGCTTCTTATACAACCGAGAAATCGGTGAAATGGAAAGAGAATACAATCGGCTTACCTATTATTCACTTCACTCGGCCTACATGAGCGCCACATTGACACGAAATATTATTTAAGTGTACATGCAAAGTATAGGGAAAATAGAGTTGTTTTTATATTTCGTAATTCACACGGGTGAGCCAATCTTGCCTCAATTTAGTGAAAGCTTCCATACACCTTCGGGCACGTCTGTAGCAAATCCTAGCGCGATACGTTAAGCACCCGATTCATGCGGACCGTCCAAAGTGAGAGCGAAGCGCTATCTGTACACGCTGTAGACGACGCGAATCGTGTCTGTCTCGCTCTGCAATGGACGCATACAGTCAAAGATACAGTCCACCACGTGCAATCACGAATCACTTAGAAACCACGTGTTATTTCACTGCCACACGTTGGAGAAATGTATCACCTTCGCGAAGTGTGTTTCCAGGATAAGGTGTATGGTTCAGAGAGCAGCCACCGGCATTGGCGCTGAGAGCGGAGATTCTCGTTTGCTGTCTGCTCCCCTCTTTGCCATGGCTTCTGCGATAGGGGCGGCTACGGCAGGGGCAACGTTACTAAAGACCCTCAGTTGAAAAAGTGAAAGCCGTTTTACCAGGTTATAGCGCAGCTCTTGAGGAGGAGGATGGAAGGGTACTGAGGGATCGGCGACTCCTTGAGGTCATGTGACCTCAGGGGGGAAGGTCGTGTGACGTCAGGGGGGTCACGTGACCTCGGAGGGGGGGGGGGGCCGTGTGACCTCAGGGGGGAACTCACGTGGCCTCGGGGGTCACGGGACTTTAGGGGGGTCACGTGACCTCATGGGGGTCACGTGACCTCACGGTTACGCCGACGGCGACAGCGACGCCGCTCAAGCCGGAAACGGGCGCCTAAGAGCTGCGCTCTAAAACTCACCCTTTAGCGGTGAGGTTTAGCCCGGGCAGCTGGCGTCCACCGAGATCGAGCTAAATACGATAACAGCGCCACCCTTTAGCGACAAGTTGAAACATAAAAGTTTCTTTATATGGCCACTGCAAGATGGCCCTGCGAGATGGCACCACCGTCCCTTGCCCGACTCAACGTGCAGCCGTGCAGTTCCAGGAGCGGACACTGCGGGAGAGATGGCGGCGTTGCGATCGCCATTAGCTCGGTTCTCGAGTGCGGATCGCAGACTTGGACGTAGTTCAACTACTCTACTCAAACTACTGTAGTTTAACTACTTTTTTTGAGTAACTTGGTAACTTTCAATTATAATTTGATTTGGGTAATTAGTAGTTTAATTTAACTACTTTTTTCAGGTAACTTCTACTCAAATTACTAACTACTTTCGAAATTATATAGTTCTAATTTTGCCCATCACGAAAGTTTGAGCACAAAAATGAATAAGACGCCGGCAGATGAAGAGGCATTCCCTAACATGGGGCCCCCTTGTTCGGGAAGGCGTCCTTGTGTCAAGGTGGCGACGAGCAGCCAAAACATAACACCGGCACGCACGAATGCAGGAAGAGATGCTTAACAAGCCTTGGTCGGGTATTGACCTAATCCGGTAATGCACGCAGGCGCCGCGTTTCTACCTGCAACCGTGGAAGAGGGGGACACTCCGAGACTAGTTGTCTGTCTTTAGAGAGTTCTGACTCAAGCGGTAGGTTCCACGAGAGGCGCCACTGGAATGACCTCGCAGCGGGGCGCCTGTTCCCATGGTCGCCTTGTCGTCAGCGCATACGCCTTTGCAAAGCCGGACTCCCCCGCGCACAAACCCTGGCACGGATAATCCGTTCATGGAAGCACGTTTCCGCTTCCAGCTGCAACTGTATACGAGCGACGATGCTTGTTCACGTAATCCTTCGTGTCCTTCCGACCATCCAGGCCAGGGAGACCTCCTCTTTGTTAAAAACGATTTACTTGTCAGGCGTGTCAGGCGCGTCAGAATATTGTAGTCGCCGGCGAGGATTGCGAGTTACCCTTGGGAGATCCTTTTGTTGGACCCGGCGTCAGCGGCGAAGTATACTTTGATTCATCTTCTCTTAGACCAAAACATTTCTTTTTTCAGTACTGTAGCACTAGCACTACAACGGGACGCGCAGTCGTCCGGATGATCTCATCGTCGTTACGCGAGACTTGAACCCTTGACGGTCTGGTGCACTCGCTCAGCGTACTCTCAGAACGACGTCGGAATAAAGAGGGGCCACTCATAACAATCTCAACTTGACGAAGAAAAAAGAAAAAAAAAGAGGAAAGTTTGTTATAAAAGACCCTCTGCCCGAGGCAAACCTCACGTGTTTCGTCATGGACACCTAAGATGCCGACACTCGCTTACTCGACCCTGCACAGCCTGTTTCTCAAATTCAACGCTGCCGTTCCATTCAGTGCCACGGTGGAACGTCTATTTAGCTTGGCTGGGGACGTCTTTAAAAGGAAAAAATGAAAACTCTCCTATCAAGAACTTTGAAAGTCAATTGCTTCTGCGAGCGAATAAACTATTTTGGCGAAAACGCAAGCTATGAATAGACTGCATTTATTTTAGGCTCGCAGGGTTTTTCATTGATCAAAACTGCTGTTCATTTTGCTACCACAAAAATATAAAAAAGTAACTTCGAAAGTAACTTGAAAGTAACTCGCTACTTTTTAGAGTAGTTAGTAGTTTACTCAATTACTATTACTAATGCGTAATTTCTACTCTACTCCAATTACTTTTGGCGTCGATATTCAGTAACTTAACTTAACTACCTTTTTTGAGTAATTTGTACATGTCTGGCCCGGATCGAAGCTACTTTTTCTAAAGCAGGCTCCATGGCAGTTTACCAACTGAGCGGTTCTAGTAACGTTGGGCAGGGGTAAATAACTTTGCAAAGTCACCCACTCGAATGCTGAGCTGAAATCTCGTGAGCAGTGTTGAGATTCGGCTAAACTGGTCTATAAACAAGACTTTTTTTTTCTTCGTTTAGATTTTAATTTTCTTTTTCTTTGGTGTTCTTCGTAGGCAACGAACAGGAACTTAGAAGACAAGATCCTCCAAGTCAACCCCATCATGGAGGCCTTTGGAAACGCCAGAACGGGCATCAACGACAACTCCAGTCGCTTTGGGAAATTCCTCGATTTGACCTTCACGGAGCAGGGCAAAATCACCGGAGGTAAAACTCCAGCACACAAAACTCCCGGCGACTTCGATTGCATCCCTACGTTTTCTGCATGCTGCGATGAGTCGCACATACTGAAATATTCCTTGGGGTCGTTGGCCATTCGTTGTTGCGACGGGTACCCCTTGGAGGCGACCTATGTTCGCGGTTCAAAGTATCGGTTCTTTTTGTACACACGGACAGATTAAACACTTTATTAGCGGAACCGCCAAATCCCAACGATTTGATACGCGACACCACGAATTCACACCGTGACGACAGATGATGTGACGTTACGACTTGATTTCACGTGACGTTGCCGAGTCGTGGTGTTACGTGACAACAAGACCTCACGCGACGAGTTCGCGCGACGTGGCGGTATCAATTCCCGATGCCGTCACACGAAATCGACGTCGCACGACGCCCATTTCGCCACTAAATCTAGCACCGATATGATTACACACCGCGTGCTTGTTCGAGTCACCGAAAAGAACTGTTCAATGTTTTCTAAGCACACTTAAATGATCCCTCCTTACTTTCAATTTTTATGCTTACGCATCTCTAATGACTACAGCTCTTTCCTTTAGAGACCGCTACAGCAAAATGGTCCCCTAATCCACAAAGGCGTTATTTTGTGTTGGACCCTCAATAACCTCTAAAGCTAGTCATAAAAAAAAATAATAATAAAAAGTGTTTTCATTTTTTTGCAGGAAAGCTCTCGGTATACCTCCTGGAACAGTCGCGGGTGGTCTGGCAGGCATCGTAAGTACGCAGTGCGCGACCAAACTAACCGAACCTCACCCTTCGACTCATTCCTCTGTGTCTGGTCGCAGGCACGAGCGCAACTTCCACATCTTCTACTACCTGTACGACGGCCTGGCAGACATACGGCAGCTGGGGACTTATTTTCTGGACACGACGGGAAGACGTCAGCACAGGTTGGTGCCTTCTTAGATCACAGATTTTAGTTCAATAAAATAAACAACAATTTATTGCTCCAGATCGGAAAAAAAGTAAAAAAACTGGCGACATTAAAAACTTAGTATACTCAAAATTACGCCGTAAGGTTTTAAGCTTTTTTTTGTTTTCTTTTCTGCCGTAGGTATCTCCAAGGAGCGGCGTCTGACAAAGAAACAGCGTCTGCCAACGTGGACAAGTTCAACAACATCAAGCAAGGATTCCAGCTCCTTGGCTTCCGAACAGCAGTAAGCATATCTAGGCATCCCTCGCGTGGTTCAATAATTAGTTTTTGGCATATCAAACGAACGAGGTATAGGTATTGATCACCAGGCATCGTGTATGCTGGTACTATTCAAGGTCACTTTGTTTGACAACATTGGCGTCTCATTCTGCGACTAGACGCGCAGATAATGTACGCCTTAGCTTTGATATGACAACCAGTAAAACTTTCTTTGGAATTATTTTATACAGCGAAGCTGTATATGACTCGTAGGTAAGGTTTTTGCGTATCCGTTGACAGAAAACCATCGCGCGTAGCTCATCATTTATCATGTGGTTTTGACACTTATTTCAATAAGAAAACCACAAAACAAGTGTCAAAAGCACGTGATAGATGATAAGGCGCGCGTGAACGATAATAAGCACGTAGCGCGCTCCGCATGCGTTTCTCGGTAAAGATTCCGGTTGCATAAACTGCCGCGGCAACGGCAGGGTACGAAGTGTGGAGTGACGTCACTAGCCCCGCTAACAATGCCGAGCACGTAGCGCTCCCCGCATGCGTTTCTCGGTAAAGATTGCGGTTCCACAAGCTGCCGATGCAACGGCAGCGTACAAAGTCTTTCATACATTAAAAAGTTTTGGTACAGAGCCTTTGTATTGTCTCGTTTATCAAATTATCAACAAACGCCAAAAGAAAAAAAATTACCCTTTAAAATATTATGCTGGAAAATGAAAGAGAGATTAACCGATTAATAATTCGGTAGAAAAGGTTGGCGATAAATCGGGTTAAAATGCTTAATCGACGCCCAACCTTAATAATGTCACGAATGACTGGCGGAGAGACGGTTAGTGCAGTGGCAAACAAAACGTTTAATAGGAGGGGGGGGGGGGGGGGGGCAAACTTGTGCCCAAAATAAGAACACAAAGAGGTATCGTCGAAGGTCGGCGGGGTAGCACGATCGAGCGCAAGCGCGAAAACTGACCCCGGACCGCCGCGCGGAGCACCTTTTGTACCCGCGTGGGTTTCTGAAAAATTCGGCGTAGAACATTCGAACCTCGACCAGACGACAAGGTTCTCGCATTTACGAGAACGCTAAGTTGAAAGAATAAATAAAAGGAGCTTCCGCTTCCAGGAATCGAACCTGGGGCCTCCGCGCGGAAGTCAAGCACGGTAACCTTTCGGCCAGGCTTGCATTTTTTTTTCTTTATTGCCTGGTTAGACATTGAAACGCTATAACACAAAAACAAAACACACATATATGAAAATGATAAAAGCGCGTGAACCTCTGAGAGGCTCCGCGGTTACATCTAAAAACGTTTTACATTGACCAATTCATCAAGCAAGGATACCCAGTCGGGGGGCTCTTGCAAAGCGCGATACACTTCGCGTATATACGCGGCACTTTCAATTAAATGGTCTCCAGCGGGGCGTATCTTGACATCTGCGTTGTTCACTTCTGTCCTCGTCCTCCAGAGGCTGTGGAGGCCGAGGAGCATGAACAAATCGTACGGAACCCCGCCTTCGTTCTCCAGCGGTAAAAAACGTATGCCGTATGGATCGAGGGGGAGGTCTTTCTTCAACGTTCGCTGAAGTATGTCCCATAGAAAGACCGCGTCCCAACACTCCAGAAAAACATGTTCTATCGTTTCTTGTTTCTTACACAACAGACAGTTAACCGACCATGGGACAAAAAGACCTTTCTCCTCGAGCCATGGCTTAACAGGAAGCACACCACAATGTAATTGAAAGAAAAAGGACTTGATAGACGGCTTAACCGGCATTTTCTTCACTCTCTTCACGACATCCTGCCCTGGTCTGTCATGATACAGGGACCTATAGAGGGGTACAGGCAAAAGAACATCTACGAAGTCTTTATACAAGCTTTTACGACTAACTGAACATAGGTACTTCATTGAAAAACGAACCTTTAGCATCCGAAAAGATAAAACTATTTCTCGCATAAACCCACGAACACTGACACAATTTTGGTTGCTAGACGATATAATAAAATCGGGCAGATAATCCTGCAACAGGTTTTGCAGGACTGTACGCAAAAATGCATTATTCTGATCTCGCAAGAACATAAACCGCGATACAATCTGGCGAATGAAAAGGTGAGACAATCCCAAACCTCCACTACTCACGGAGCGAAACAAATTAGTGCGGGAAGAGCGTTCCCAGCTCGACCTCCAGATAAAAACCGCGAAGACCCTGTGCAGCTTCTGTACATTTAGGCGCGACATAGATAATACCTGTAAAATGTACCATATTTTAGCGATTAAAAATAAATCACACACTGTTGCTCGCGCAAACATTGAAAAATCCCTCCCCTTCCAACCTTCCGCTTTTGCCCTTGCCAAGTCCGTTTCAACGTCCCACAGTTGCGTAGTATCTCGGTAGTGTTCGAGCGGAACACCGAGATACTTCGCCGGCAAGGTTGTCCACTGGACGTTCAGAAAAACACCAGGCGCGGCGGACCAGTTTCCGTGCCAAAACCCTGTACATTTACCCCAATTTATTACACTACCCGTTTGACTACAAAAGGAAGCCACGACTTTGACCACTTCAAGCAAACTCTCCTGGTCAGTACAGAAGACAGCGACGTCGTCCGCATAGGAGAGGACTTTGACCTCGGTTGAATTTAAGCTAAAGCCGCGGATGCATTCATTATGAATAAGCCCTAAACAAAAAGGTTCTAAATAAATCGCGAACAATAACGGGGATAGGGGGCAACCTTGCCTCACTGAAGAGTAAACATTGATACTTTCGCTGACATTCTTATTGACGATAATAGATGTTGAACAATTCGCATATGCCATCGTTAACCCACCCAAAATAACGGAACCCACGTTTGCGTGTTCAAGAATACGAAAAAGTACATCGTGACCCACCCGATCGAACGCCTTTTCGAAGTCTATTTGCAACATTGCAACACGTCTCTCGAAGGCGTCGCAACACTCTAAAATGCTGCGAGCAACATGGATGTTTGTGCAAATGGACCTACCCTTTATGCCGCAGGTCTGATGTGGCCCAACAAGACAAGTTATAACACTTTGCAACCGAGTAGCTAGGACTTTCATATAAATTTTATAATCGACATTTGTGAGGCTTATTGGTCTATATGATGAAACAGATTGAAGTTTAACTGGGTCGACGAAAGAAAGTTTAACACTTTCTTTCGTCAATCATTTGGTATAGACCCTTTTGCTGTTTACAAACACGAAGTGCCGCTTGCGTCCCGAGCGACTTCCGGTCGCACCGTCTTTGCAATCAGGCTACACGGACAAAAAAGTTGGAGATTTAACAAAGGCCTTCGGCTGTACAATATTACATCTTGGAGGAGGCAAGTTGGTTTACATAATAGATCTCGCACTCCTTCGTTCCTTTGGCGTTCACATGGAGAATTGGTGGTTAAACGCTTGATCTACATTTCAGGCAGCGGTGTTTAGGTGGTGGCCTTTGTTCATTCATTTTATAAACCGGAAGTTGTCTGGGACGTCAAAGACTGGAGCACCACCTGGTGGCATTTGCCATAAAGAGCGTCTATAGTGCAGTAGCCAATCGTTGCAGTTGATACCACAACTTTACTCTCCAATCACCTTCGCAGCGTGAATTGGAGGCTTAACTTTTTTTACAGTGCGTTCTCTAAGTCGTTTCATCATAAGCCCAGACGCCGCCGACGCAACGAGCTGAAGGGACCAATCAGACATCTTCAAAAGCGCTTCATCATGGTCTTCGTAATGTCCATGTGCATGTTCTATTACCGCTGAAACAAACATAAACAGAAAAGACCCAGTGACTTGCGCTTTTGACGCTGGTTGATCGGCTAACAGCATTAAGTAGGTAGCATCTTATACGGCGAGCAAGGTCGTCTACTCCTGGCGCAGAGGGTTCTAGTGACGTCACAGTGCTGAGCTCCGATTGGAGTATTGCTCCGCGCTGCGGTGTGTAAACAAAAACTGCTAGTCATAGCAATGGCTGCCATGCCTTTTATGTGCCTGTCGGCAATCCACCGGCCCAAGAGGGCTCCGCCTTCGAGAGAAAGAAGAAATAGCTCGAAGGGTATAGTGCTCTAATCAACAATAATTTACAAAAAAAAACTTTTTTTTTTTTTTTTTTACATTGTGCAAATAATTTAAATCGATAGTTGTAGCAGGTGCGACGTGGTTAATTCTCATAGCCGTCGTGGAAGCCACTGTGGACCGTCACAAATGCAGGGTGAGCAATGGAGTGGGAAAGTGGCGGACGTTTCTAAACCCACCCAACATTGCGCGTAGCAACTGGATACTGCCAAGGTGGGATTTCGCATAACGCGAGTAATATGTTTGAAAACAAGTTTTTAAAAAACACGACACGGAGGCTCTCCTTTCGTCGCGTCGTTACTGGCGGGATACCGAAGCTCCCCTTCCTTCTATCCGCGCTGAGCGCGGCCGACGGGGATAACCCAAGAATAACCAACGGATCACCCGAATTTCTTGAGAAGGGTTTTTCCGTAGTGTCGACGACACCCCACGAGGATAAAATCCCTGCAGAAGTGTCACCCGTAAAACTATCGCAAAGAACAAACAAAAAACTTTACTTTTTGTTTGCGCCTTCTCTCTCATTCCCGGAGAGACGCGTTTTGGTTGACTTGCTCGCCATACTGAGAAACATTCACAAGCCTTGTTTTTGCTTCCTGTTTCAAACTATACCACTCAAATAAAAAACTTTTTTTTTTTTGGCAGAAATAAACTACGCTTAAATGTAGCGCTAGCGGTCCGCACCACATGTCAAAGCACCACATATTGACGCTATCTCTTTCAAAGATAGGGAGCGATATCCAGAAATTACCAAAAGTAAAATGGCGGTCGATGAAGCCTGTTAATGCAATTAGATAAAAGGCGTCGGCTAGAGGAAACAAGCCCCGTTTTCCTCTTCAAATTTCCCGGAAATAGCGAATAAGTTTTGAACCAGATGAAGACAAAGCTATGAAACTCTGGCCTCTAGTCTGGTCCGGTAGCACATTGGCATTGGAGGACACTGAACATTTGGCAATGCATAATTTACTTTTGTAATAAAAAAAAAAAAAGCAGTGAAATTTTTTTTTGCGGACATTTTGTAGATTGCCAAGGTTGTGATCGCACGTTTTCGCAGGAGACGGAGACCATCTATCGCATCCTGGCCGCCATCATCCACCTAGGGGACATCGAGGTTCGGGCAGCGGAATCCAACTTTCAGAACGACACCTGCGTCATCACGAACGCCGAGAAGATACCCCTAGGTGAGTAGCCGGCCGTCGACAGCTCCCCAGAGTTTGATCGAGTCCACCTAGATGACAAGGCCCGCCAGCTTTGCTCTCCTGACGTCATTACTATACAAAAAATGTCAGCAAGCGTTGGCGCCAAGATGCACGCATTGGTTCGTCGGTTCGCAATGTATACTCCGACGAACTCCCTCTTGTTTGCCGCTTAGGGCGGATCGAGGATTTTCCGGGAATGACGTCAAGGGCAGGCCTGGTCTTCTAGCGTGTCTCGTAGCCCTCCTGATGCGCGTCTCTCTCCAGTGTCCCAGCTGCTCGGAGTGCAGAGCCACGCCCTGCGGGACGCGCTGGCGTCCAGCAGCCTGGTGATGCGCGGCGAGGTGATCACCCGCTGCAATTCGGCCCAGGAAGCCGAGAGCGCCAGGGACTCGATGGCCAAGGCGCTCTACGCCAGACTCTTCGACTGGATCGTCAACCAGACCAACCGGCACCTGTCGCTCGGACGCATTGCCATGTGAGACGGCTGGCGCCATCTTATTATGCGGGATTTTCGAAACTCTGAGACGGACCGCGGCCGCAGTCATGGAACCCGATCTCGAGCTCGAACGTCGGAGCGCGACCCGTCGAACTCTGACACAGAGCGCGCGTTCGGTCGTCCCGCGGTTAGGGCTTCCCAAAGTTGCCCGGTTTTGGCCACCAGCCACGCTGACTAGCGGCCGACTGAGGTACCTCCTGTTCATTGCCCCGGGGCCATAGAGCATCGAGAGAGGGCATTGTGCATGGTGCAAATTAGCACAAACGGAGAGTCAAAATAGGGAGGTTTTTACTCCCAAATTTGGTTAATCCCCAGCGAAGGACTGGGGATTAATTTAGACCACCTGGAGATCTTTCAACGTGCAACCGAAATCTCGGTTACAGGGCGGCGCCTTCTCCGCAATAAGCCTCCGTCAAAATTGCGGGCACCTCAGCCGGGATTCGAACCCGTCACCTCGGCTGGGAATCCGTCGGCCGGCGCTTTCCCTCAAAGCTACCGAGGTGGCATTTTTCTTTTTTTTTAGAGCGCTGTTTATAGGCGTTTGTTTTCGGCTTGAGCGGCGTCGGCGTCGGCGTAACCGCGCGGTGCATTATGGGACATTTCCCATGATGCAACGCGCGGGAAGGAGGGGGAGGGGAGGTGGACGAGGGGAGAGGAGGAGGAGGCATGAGGAGAGGAGGGAGGGAGAGGAGGGAGGAGGATCAGAGGAGGGGATGAGCTTGAAGGATGAGGGGAGGAGGAGTAGCAGGGAGGATGAGGAAAGGTATACCCTCCCTCAGTACCCTTCCCTCCTCCTCCTCAAGAGCTGCGCTCTAAATCGGCATTACAGGGTGTTGTAAACCTCTTTCATTTCTTTTAGATGTAATACAAAGAAGTCCAAATGGTAAAATTAAGGGCCATTCTGCTTCGCCCGATTGCATGCAGGCCCAGGAGCATGACACAGTCCATAGCGATCTTATCATCCCTATCGACAAGAAAGAAGCGAATGCCATGCGGAGTTAGCTGCCGAGGCGGCTAGCACAAAAACAGACAGGGTACGCAGGGCATTGCTCGAAGCGCTGGTCAAATAGTTCCTTCCTTTGAAAAGTATGCATCGCACGGACAAAAAGGTTGTTTTCGCGTTAGTCTCTGTCAGAGGGGAGCTATTTAGGAAAATGACTAAACTTGAACATAATTAGCTTCTTAATTGTTTTGAGCAATTAACTTTAATAAAAATAAATCAAATCAAATTAGTTAAAGAACACGAGCACACAGCCGTTTATGCACGACATTTTACGGCAAAAAAAAAAATCGTACGTTTTTTTTTTTTTATTAGTGTTTAGATTGTAACGTTTTTTTAACAAGCTCGCCTGCACACTTTCACTTGCCATTTCTGTTTGGTTTCCCGTCTGAACGCGCTTCTGCGTCAGCGAACACGGGACACTGACTTTTGCGTGTCCCGTTGTTTTCCGTGCCACACGGTGCAGAGGTCTCCCCTTGTCCGTGGCCCTGTTGGACATCTTCGGCTTCGAAGACCTGCAGAAAAACTCCTTCGAGCAATTGTGCATCAACATCGCCAACGAGCAGATACAGTTCTTCTTCAACCAGCACGTCTTTGCCTGGGAGCAGGTACGCGGACGAATCTTTTGCAGCTGCGTCACTTATCTGCTCTCCTTTTCCTTTGCGTCTGTGTGTGTGTGTGGGGGGGGGGGGGGGGGGGGGCGGGAGATAACGAGGGAGGGGGAGTAGAGGGTGTCGAGTCCTGCTTGTGCGCGTCTTAGGTGTCTAACTTCAGAAGGTGTCTGAAGTCACAGATGTGGAAGTCACTAAATAGGTGCTGCGAATTGGCAATTATATCGAGCCTGCCTGATGTTAAAGGAACACTGACGCACCCCAAAAAAAATTAATTTTGTTTTTGATGCAATTTAATATGTTAGCAGTGATGGAAGCGGCATTTCACCTTTTGTAGTAGGTATTGTAGCCTGCAAAATATTCATTTGGAGCAGTCATGGATGCTTTTGAAGCAGATGCCAACATCTGTTACCACATCACTTCAAATGAAAAAGTGATTGTATCTTTAACCGAGTTCATACAATCATCTATGATAACGATGGAAGGTTCCTTTTCGACACTGGAGCATATTACTTATTGTTCTTTGCAATAAAGATAGACAGGGAGCTAAAGGGAACACATAGTTATGTTTTTGGAAATAAGGCACTCATTTACATTGGTAAAAAAATGGTTGAAAAATGAATCGTAGCGCAACATCTCAGTTGGGAGAAAGCCTCTCTTCCCTCTACATTTTACACACGGTAGTTTATTTAGCCTGTAAATATAATTACTGTAAAGTGCCAGCAAGAACCACCATATCCGCTAACACGTCTATCTATAAAAACGCGTCCCCCAAATTCTATAAACCTACCAAACTCAAGACTTCCATTGAACTGCAAAGAACAATTGCCCACAATTATTATGAAAGACATGTTTTTTTTTTTTTTTTTTTTTAAGGTCGCATTGCTTTTTAGCGGCGTTGGAACTAGAATTAAAGAAAAGCCGAAATAACAAAAAAAAAATCACCATCATTTGTTCTTAAAACAACACTAAACGTGAGTTGGTCGAGCCGTGATGTCATAAAATGATCACGCGCGATTCTAATTGCATCTGTCGCTCAACTATCAACTGCTAATCCTTATCTCGTTTCGTCTCCGTTTCGCGTAAGCTCGTCGAATTCGTTAAGGTGCCTGCATCGTCTGTAGAAAGGTGTTCGAAACTGCTGGACGAGCAACCATTTACTGAAGATAAGCCTTTTCTTCTACCACATCCATTCATTCCGATATATAAAACTAATGGGTGTGGAAGACCAAGATCTCTACTAAATGGTTACTAATCGAGCAGTGTGTTTGCCCTCTTTTCACTCTCTCTCTCTCTTCGTGTATCTTCCCACGTTCAGCTGGCATCTTTCAGAATCATGAATCACAAACTAGCTCAGTATCGACGATGCACGACGCTGGCTCTGCAAGTCGAGGAGCACGCGCGAGGGGCCTTTCGAGACGTCATGTTTTCCCTTCTCCTTTTACTGCCTTCTCCCGCTGCCGCGGAAGGACCTGCTTTTAATGCAACTTCAAAAGCGTCTAAGTGATACGGGTATGAAATAGCCTACTTTTTGGAATATTCGTTGTGCTTGAAGTCGGATTAAAACAAATCGAGTGTTTTTAATCAAACTCAAAACCGCTTCAGCTTCCCTTTAATTCAAAGTTCGCTGCTCTTTCGATCGACAGTTGTACGGGAACTACCTCGACTACCGTTTATATTCATTCAAACATAGACCCTACCCCGAGTACCATATTTATTCAAATACAGACCCGTGCTCTTTTCCTTCCCTCTCTTTCTTGGCTCAGTTTCTTTCTATCCCGAGATTAACCTACATTTTTTGACAAAGAAGGTCGACCCGTTATAATCATGAGCACAATTTGCGCGCCTATCGCACTAAACAAGCCGCTCCCCCAGGCAAGCCGCTGCTCCTAGCACTCCGGTGCAAAGCGGCGAAGCTCGACGCGCGCGCGCGCGCGTTGAGACGAGAAAATGTTAATCGCGACTGGCTCAGGTGCCACATTACACAGTCTGCAGCCACGGCACGCAGGCATCTGGTAGACGATACGAGGGTCACGTGATTTCATGAGTGCAAGGCCCTGGATCTGTCCTATCACACTTGCCGACATCCTAGTTTTTTCGCAAAAATTTCTCGCGACTTTTAGTTCCCGACGTCGCCGACATCGTCTGGAAATTTAGACGATGTCCGCGTCGGCGATCAACCAATCAGCACACGAACCGGCAAGAGTGGTTGAAAAGCAATCTCTATGCCTCTTCTAACCTTACGCCGACGCTACAGCCGGCGCTGCGAGCCAATGGGACAAATTAAACGGGATCAAAGTGCGACATTGTGGCATTCGTCATTTCCCTGTACGCGTTCTTTCATCGGCTAAACCAGTCAAGTTCAATAAATGTCCCGTGACTCTCGCTTTTAGTAGGTGTGTTAGTGGTTGTATGTGTTCGAGCCTTCGACCGTGCTCTAAGCCAAGCATGTGCGGCGCAGTACTTAGCGAAAATGGCATATTGGCGCAAAATGTAGCGCACTATCATTCATAGCGCAGTTTTGCGCAAAAGGCGCAGCACTTCCATCAATGTGGCGGAAGGCTACCCAATCAATATTTTGCTACAGAATCACATATATTTTTAATAGTCATAAAACGCAAGTCCTCGGAACCGAAACCGAACCTGGGAGGAAGAAGAAATGTAGAGGAGGACAGAGTTGCCGGAAGTCACGTGGCTACAACCAACCGCGTTTTCTTCTTTTTTCTTCTTTTTCCCCTTCGTTTTTTTTTTTTTTTTTTTTTTTTTTTTTATTGTGCGAGGCAGATGAAAAATTCGCTTTTGCATATCTTTCAAGCTCTCATCACTTCGTGTTTGTAAGACGAGCGATGTCTTCAGCCAGGAGAAGGGACGACGACTCGGCGACGTCTTCGTGTGAATCAGCTTGGTTCTCGGGCGTGTCGTACGGAATGAACCTTAATTGTTTTGATCGCTAAACGATTTCTCTTTCGAAGCTAGACAGATTCGCCGGTACCGCGAACAACAGTACTGAAGTAGAGGTCCCACGCCCGTCGTCCGCTGCCATCCTTCAGTCCGCTTCGTTCAGCCGTCCAGCCCGCCACTCCCGCGACACGACATCATGTTGAGAATTACGAAGAGAATGCATAGAGTGCTTCAAATTCACCGTGCAACCTTTTTTTTTTCCTTTTTTTTTCAATCAACATATTTGCAGTTTTTTAGAAGCCACAAAAAAAAATGGGTATCATGTTTTTTTGTTTTTTTTTAATATTGAGTTTTTTTTTGTTTTTTTTTTTTATGACCCACGACTTTGATTATATCAGTGTTGTGGAGTTGCCACTCCGGAGTTGGAATGATTCCGGAATCATTCCGAATTTTCGCGACCCCGGAATGGAATGGGAATGGAATGGCGGCAGCGTTGAGGGGAATGGAATGGAATTAGATGCCTTTTGCCCGGAATAGAATGGGAATGGAATGGGCCCGGTTTTTTTTATTTTTTTTAGTGTTTCCGGTCAGCGAATTTGAGCCAGTCGGCGAGCCAGTTGCTCCGACATAAAATGAGCGGGCAGGAAACTGCTAACCCGTGTGGAGCTCCAACAGACTTATGCGCAAAAAATGCAATACAAAAAAAGAAGCGTCAAAGCAAAGAGTAGAGGGGGGAGGGAGGGGGGGAAGGGTGACGGTGGCGCCTTTCGCACAGGCGACGGGCTTTACTGGCGTCACACGAGAGCGAGCGAACAAGAAACCAAGCACCAAGCAAAAGAAACAAAGGCACGGAGAATACACGCGCGCACAGACTGAGATCTGAGAGCGGGGGACGACTCATAACTCGCAGAGCTCTGATAACTCGTCGACTCGGGCGCCGCCGAAAGATGATCAGGTATTGTTTTCGTATAGTTCGAGGAGAGTTGTTTAGCAGGCGACCAAACCTGCTGCCTTCCACGTTCATTCGAGCGCACTCCTTTGAAGTGCGAACTGTCGGTTTGCTTTGACAATAAAACAAAGCAAGATTCACTTTTCTCTTCTCTTGCGCTTTGCACTTGTTTTATTATTCTGCATTTTTACGTGTAAGTCCGCCTTCTACTTGAACTTTCTTCCGATGCTTGTTTTCTGGGTTATATGTTTACATTCAAGTGGGTTAGGGTTACAAGCAAGCTAGCAGATTCCCGCTCATTTCCTTCGACTTTAGACTCTGCCTACTTTGTTTCACTTTGTGATGGACCGCCGCGGACGCTATGAGTCACCCCAGGCAATCCAGCACCATGAGCGGGACCACGCAAGGCGCGTTGCTGCGCCCCAGGGTCACGCGACACTCAGAAGGCACTGGATTGGTTTCGATGGCTCTCATGCTGTCTGGTGCGGTCCATCGTAAGGTGAAGTAGATTGTCGTCACCGCTCTTGTCGCGTGACCGAACTGACTAGACTTGCAGAAAGTCTATTTCGTGACGTAGTCTCTCGTGCTGCGCCGCAGAGGTTGCACTTTGTCAGAGGATGTGTTCCTGCCGCTGTGCATGGAGTCGCTTCCAGCAGCGTACTAACCGTATTGCTGTGCAGGTAGTTGAAGAATACAGTACTTAATATAGCTTATTTCTGCGCCACGCACAAACTGGATATTTTTATGGTCTTATCAAACAAAAAGGCTGGCGGCGTATGTTCTAGAAGACAAATGCAAAAAAAAAGTTTGCCAAAGAAAATGAGTGGATTTACGTTTTGCTGTTTGTTGCAAGCCACGTGGTCGAAAGACCGACGTTTTAAACAAGCATAGACATATCAAGAGGCTTTCACGATGTTTGCAGTACAATGTAAACAAACACTTAGTGCCACTGGCGCTCCCTTAGTAAAATCAGTGCTTTTTTTAGGCATTTTGCATTTTGATGCAGTTGTCTATGCATTTGATAATGTCAGCTTTATGGTGCTTATGCCGGCAACACAATGTAGCTGTCAAGAGCCAATTTTTACGTTCTGGAATTAGAGGAATGGAATGGAACGATCCAACCATTCCAGGAGTGGGAATGGGCCCAGTGTCCCCATTCCTAGGAGTTGAAAGGAATTGAATTATTGAAAACTCTAATTCCCCGGAATGGAATTGGAATGGAATGGGGGTGCCCATTCCGCAACACTGGATTATATTTTGTGGTTGTGACTAAACCATAGAGAACGGCACGTGACCACGGAGAAGAGAGTGAGCGCGACTCAAACCGGAGAGTCCTCGATCGGCGGTTTTCTGGCTTAAAGAAAACGAATTTCGAGCCGCGAATTGTGTTCTGGGTAGTTGGGCTCTCGTATGTCGTGCACAAATAAAAACCTTGGCGAGCATACATACCCTGTCAGTGTCCCTTTAAATCAATGCTTCGAAAGCAATGTTTTCGCACTAACTGAAGGAAACCAAAATAAGAAGCAAACCGCCACCTGCCTACACAGTAGCAAAACATCCTCCGCTATTAGAGAGGTCAGGTTGATCGTTCCGTTAATGATACCCGATAACGATACAGAATACATGTTCTAGTCCTACTAGGCAGTTTTAGTATATCGTTAAGGTACCTCCGATAACGATACGAGGCATGCGTAAAGGCGACGCCCGAGTCATCGGGTCATCGGAACGATCTACTCTCCATTAGTAGGGAGTTTTAGCAGGTCGTTTCCACACGAACGGTTCGCCCTCGAACGCATCCGCGACGCCACTGCGCATGCGCGCGCGAGTCGTTCGGGGAGTCGGGAGGCCCTTCTCGTTCGTTTCTCCCATTCCGGCCGCTGGAGTCGTCACCGCAACGCACCCAGCACCGTTCACGACTCGGGTAAAAAAAAGATGGCGGTCGGTTCGGCGACCGCCTTCGCCGACCCAGCCGAGCGTTAGGCTTAGAACAGCGGGAGGCGATTTGCCGCGTTTGAGAGGTTGAACCAAATCATTTCGAGGACTGCTCACAATGGTAAGCGATCGTAAATGCTGTACACTGAGCATGCTAGTAAATCTTTGCGATCTGCGGACAGACTAGCTGCCGTGCATGGCCACCGCGAGCGGACGAAATGATTTGGTTCGACGGCACACAACGTGAACGATCGTAGAAAGTTGAAGATGACGGAGACACACCACATACCTTTACGGTCGTTTACACTTTTTACTCTATCTAGCTTCGCAGTTCTTGAAATTCCGACCGGCAAATGTTACGTCGGCCGCCTTGTTTACATCAGTCGTGCGCCGGAAACACGAACTGCCACTGCCGCCACTACGGTGCCCGCCACCGTCGCCACTGATTTACACGTTGCATAATGTTTCACATGCTTACTAGAAGATGGCGCCACCATTAAGCATGATCATCATCATCGTCTACACGGTCGCGCCACTTTCACGATTCGCTAAAGTATGTCAAATTTGACATACGGTTTCACGGAACGGACCAGCTGTACCGTTCGTGATTTCGGAACCGTGTGCTTGAAAAACGACTCGCTAAAACTCCCTAGTAACTGGAAGCACTAAAACGGTTCAAACGACGCCTCTTTCGTGGTAGGCTGGATTGGTGTCCCAAAACTTGCAACTGGCCACAAATGTCGTCTTTAGCAATATTCTGCCATTTTCAAAGCCTACCATGTCAAAGATTTGGGACACCATCGATCGCTAAAGCATAAAAAAAAAGAGACATTGTTAGTGTCTACTGTCGCGAGCAATTGCCACTCCCATCAATTTAATGACAATGGAAGACAACGGTGCACACAATATAATGCTCTTAATACCTATTTATTTAAAGAAAAAACTGCGAAGGCTATTTACTGTTGCCTGTGCAGGTGACTTATACGGCCAAAGTAACATAAAATAGGGAGATAATCGTCATGATAGGTCGGTTAATTAACTAAAATTTGTTAATTAACTTTTTAGTTATTCAAGATAAAGATATGTGGTTCGAATCCGAGACATGCTGAGCGTCATCGAAAGTATACCGTCCACGTTTCTTTTTTTCTTTTAACAAACCTGTAAAGTTTAAACAAAACACCCTGTACAACGAAACGGTGTGCCCAACTCTGCATTGCCGTTTTCCAATGTTCACTTATCGGTCACAGCAAGAGTACCTGAACGAAGGACTGAGCGTGCAACCGATCTCCTTCGGCGACAACCGTCCAGTCTTGGATATGTTCCTGGGTCGGCCCCTGGGGCTGCTTGCGTTGTTGGACGAAGAGAGTCATTTCCCGAGCGCTACGGACCAGTCACTCATCGGTGAGTATGAATCCGACGAAGAATTCCTTCCGTAATGCACACGTGGGCAGTTTATGGCATTACACCACAACCTTTTTTTACGAGCAGGGATACAGGAATAGATAAAGCGGCTGTGTCTAGGCAACTGTATCATTTCACGCAGTCTTGGGAGTATTTAAAAAAACTCGTAACAGTATTGGTTTATGACTACGTTACACTACCTGGTGCCACACTCTCACGATCGCAAATAACTGAAAGTTTCGCGTGGCTCTCATACACTGCACAGCCCTGCAATATGGTCTCCGGAGAAAACTCCTCACGTCAACCAACATGTCTTTTCTCGAGCAGACAAATTCCACAACAACATCAAGTCCAAGTACTACCTCCGGCCCAAGTCCAATGCCCTCCAGTTCACCATAAGACATCATGCTGGAAAGGTGCTGTGCAACCATATCCGTAACTGATCTCTTTTTGCTGCACCAAGCATCTTCAGCGCAGTAGAACGAGTTATTACAATGATGTAGAATGAGCTGAACGCAACTATTTACTAATACATGTGCCAGAGGCAAAGAGGCGCACAGCATCGGTATGAAATTGGTAAACATCGGTCGCAGTGATATTTTCTGTGGCGACGTCACTAATGGGTTATGTAACTTGTTTGACTTTGTGAATATTCTCAGAGTATACCAAGCTCGAGGTAAATTACAATCTTCCTTAGAGGACCTTGTCATGGCACCGCAATCAAGTTTCGAGATCATTTATATCTAGATAAATGTTTGCATGCTTATTCCTTTTTTATATGCTTAGTTCGTTATTTGTTGAAAAAAAGAAACTGGCAGCGACTTTCACCTGCAAAGACCTGGAATGCATGAAACGCACTATAGGAAATCGGTGAGGGAATCGGCGAGGGAATTGGATTGTCAGGTGTCGTATACTTTCCCCCCTAAATTTAGCGGGGAAACTGGATTGGTGCCTGGGCCACAATACATCAATATTCCCGCCAACTTTAGCGGGTATCTGAATTGGTTTATAGGTCCCGTGACGTCGATTTCCCCCTAAACTTAGCGAGGCAACTGAATTGATGTTTTGGCCACAAGACGTGAATTTTCCCGCTAAATTTAGCGAGGAAACTGAGTTGATCTGGTAGGTCACGTGCCGTCAATTTCCCCAAGGTGTATAGGTCACGTGACGCTACTTTCCCCGCTAAATTTAGCAGAAAATGCACGGACCGACGGACACAATTTTGGGATTAGGTATAGGGGTGTAGCGTCAAAGAGTATTTCATGCTTTAAAAAATTTTGCGAGGCTATGGGGTACACAAGGAAACCAGCTCAAACGACGAAGACGAAGTGAAGAAACAAACACGACAGGACGAAGCTGTCAAGTTTGTTTCGTCCTGTTCTGTTTGTTTCTTCACTTCACTTTTACGGTTTACCAACTCGCTCAATTCGCTACATTAGTACTAGTATAAGTAATTACCTTACATGAAGTCCCAAGTTGTTTTTTTTTGTTTTTTAAAGTGCCAGGAAAGAACATGCATGTCACAAATAAGCTTTCCCTGAAAAAAGTTGGCGCAATATTTACGACTACCCGGTTACAGTGAAGCTTTGTGGTGAATATTATTTCGAGGAAAGAGAGCAACTCTACTTGTGTACAGGTTCCAAAGTGTAGGTCTGGTAGCTGTAGATGCTGGTTCCAGAGTCCCCTTGTTTACTGGTAGCAGAGTGTCATTACAGGAGATAAGGAGTTTCTGGTATATAAGTGTCCAGCAGACATAGGTACCAGATCCCTTGGCTACTAGTACGAGAGTTCCTTGCTAAATTAGACAAAGAGTGTGTGGTACAAGTGTCCAGTAGACACTCGTATCAAATTCCTTGGCTACTGGCACAACTCTCCCCTTGTCTACTGGTACTAGAATGTCTTGTACACTAGACAAGGAGTGTCTGGTACCAGTGTCCTGTAGACACTGGTACCAGACTCGTCCAAGGGTAACAGACTATCCTTGTCTACTGATAAGACTCTCGTTGTCTACTGGTAACAGACTATCCTTGTCTACTAGTAACAGATTATCCTTGTCTACTGATAAGACTCTCGTCTACTGGTAACAGATTATCCTTGTCTACTACTAACAGATTATCCTTGTCTACTGGTAATGTCTACTGGCCCCAGAACGTCTAATGGCACGTTTGTTTTAATACTGGACAAACAAAAACAAAAAAGGAGGAAAAAGGCAATTCTTGTGGAACAACTCTGCTGGAGATACGTTTTACTGGTGCTTCCTTTGCAGTCTAGAACATTCTGAACCCGATGCAGGTGCTGTACGACGCCCGGAGCTTTGTGGAGAAGAACCGCAACTTCCTCCCGACCGAGATAGTGCAGCTGCTCCGGCAGTCCAAACTCCCGGTGGTGCAGACGTTGTTTCAGTCCCCGCTCACCAAGACGGGCCAGCTGTACACTCCCTCGCAGTACACCTGCCAGAACGTGAGTGGGGTCCCCGACACGCGCTGCCCCGACCACCCCGCGACTTATCTAGAACGACAGCTTTAAGAGTATATTGGTTGAAAAAAAAAAAAAAGATAAGGCTCCACATTTTCCTGCTAAATGTAGTGGGAAAACTTTCCCGACAAATTTAGCAGGAAAAGGGCATGTGCTCCACTCGTAACGTTACATTTGTCCGTGGGAGAGGAGAACTTCCTTCCCTTCCCCCCAAACGTTTATATAAAATTGTCTGAAGTGTCTGGAGGGACAATTGCCTCCCGTCACACTGCACCCTCTGTTTCGACGCCATTGCCACCAGCTATGTGTCCGTCTTTGGACGGACACATAGCTGATAGCATCCATCTCTGGCCAAAACAGAAATAGAAGCGTGCCGTGTAAAGAGGCGAGTAGTAGAGGACAAAGGCGAGAGGGAGGTGACGTCACGAAATGGAAGCCAATGTGCGCGCGGATGCTGGGGCGAGTCTGAACTTGCAGGTGTGCGGAGCCCGTATGCCTTGGTATGTGCTACAAAATGAAGTGAACCAAGTGCTAGTGCTGGTCCAAGTAGGCGGTAAAAAATTAAAGGAAGATCCATTGGTTGATCCTTAGGGAATGCGTTAGCATGACCCTTGGGAAATGCTAACACTGACCCCGCAACGAAGCCGAAAATGGAGGAAGCAAAAGAGAAAACCAAAAAAGAAAATAGAAGGGGCCGAAAATGGAGGAAGCAAAAGAGAAAACCAAAAAAGAAAATAGAAGGGGTCAGTGTAAGCGTTTCCCAAGGGTCATGCTACGCATTCCCTAAAGATCCACCAATGAATGTTCCCTTAATTTATTTTTTTTAATTTTATTTTGCTATTTACCGTAAAGTTCTGAGAGAACGCCCGCCCCCGAGAGATCGCCCATTCCATTTTTCTCGATAAATATCTGTAACATATAAATATCGAAACATCGCCCACCCCCCGATTCCCGTCGGATGACACGCGATGTCCGACGGAAATCGCATCAACCGCGCAATTTGATTTTCCCGTACGTCTGACAAGCGAGTTCCAAAGCGGGTTTCCGCGTTTTTAGGGAGTTTTCGTGTATCGTTTTCGCCGTGCCGCAACGCTACCCGCAGCACGCTCTTCGTTACGGAAGGTTGAGCGGGGAGGGAAGCGCGCTCTACGAAAACTGTCTTTTGTCCGCGATCTGCGCAAGCGATATCGGCTCACGTAACACGCGAGTTGTTCCGGCGCGTATGTTGCACCGTGAAATTCGAATCTGCTGCGCCCGCAATCTACGCTATCCGTTTACGTGACATGAAGTTTGAAGCGGGTTCCCGCGTTTTTGTCCGCGATCTGCGCGCACGATATGGGCCCCCGTAACAGGCAAATTTGTAGCGGGTTCCCGCGTGTTTATTGCACCATAAAGCTCCTGCGTTCGCGATATTCGTTCCCGTGAGATGGGAGTTCTCGGTGGGTTTCCGCGGGCCCTTCGCACTGTGAAATCTGCTGCGTCCGCAACCTTCGGTATCTTTTCCCGTGACACAGAAGTTCCAAGCGAATTCCCGCGTGTTTATCACATCGTGAAACGCGAATTTGCCGTGTCCGTGACCTGCGGTATCAGTTCCCGCGTCACGTGGTTTGTACCCAGTGCCAGTGTCTGTATCAGTCATTTCTGATAAAGTTTTGCTGTGGCATCCCCAAAGATAGCCCATCCATGTTTTTCATTATTTCTCTTCATTTTGGGTGGACGTTCTTTCAGAACTCTACGGTAAATTGTTTTGTATTATAGATGAGAATTTTCCCGTGGAGTGCTGCCCCAAGAAATGCTATCGTATTGAAGAATTATGGCGAACTACTTTCCTCTTCGCCAGGCGCGTACAAAACGCAAGAAACGGCCAAATGCGTACAAAATGTCAAAACGCAGCATACCGCTGCCGAATCTCTAAACCATTCAAGGGCCCATCCGACGCAGATGTCGGCGCAGAGCCTGGTGAGTCAAGCCAAGGCTCTGCAGACGACCACCACGTCGTTCCGCTTCTCGCTGATGGACCTGCTGCAGAAGATGAGCGCCGGGCTACCCCACTTCGTGCGATGCCTCAAGCCCAACGACCACAGAGTCGCCGCAGGCTTCTCCAGGGAGAAGGTGCTCAGGCAGTTACGGTACACGGGCGTCCTCGAGACCATCTACATCCGGCAGCAAGGGTTCTCGCACCGGTACTCCTTCGTTGAGCTGCTCAAGAGGTGAGCTCGCCGGCACGTCAGTGCCTCTCGAGTAGACCGGGGTAGAGAATAAAGATCAGGATGATTTAAATCGGACCAGTTTTACTATGACAATTTAAATCAAACCTTTCCCGCAAAAAATAGCCCCGAAAATAGTCCTTCGTTTTAGAGCGCAGCTCTTAGGCGCCCCTTTCTGGCTTAAGTGGCGTCGCCGTCGGCGTTAATTGCGCGCTGCATTATGGGACGCTTCCCCATAATGGCGACACATGATGTCACGAGGGCAAAACTTCCCCGCTAAACTTGGTGGGAAAATTTCCCCGCTAAATTTAGCGGGAATTTTTTTCCTCGTGACGTCACACGTGACGCCACTCAACCCGGGAAACTTTTTCCGTTAAATTTAGCGGGAAAATTTAGAGGGGACCATATAGAGATATAGAGACATGTCTGCACGAACAAGTAATGGAAAAAATTGCAGATGTCATGTTCGCATTAAATGTGTCAGGACATCCACAGGTACTGCTTCCTGGCATTCAGCTTCAACGAAAAAGTCATTGCCAATCGCGAAAATTGTCACCTGCTTCTGTCCCGGCTCAAAATGGACGACTACGCCATCGGAAAGTCGAAGGTAACTAACGATCTTCCTTTGTGAGCCTCGGGAGTAAAACGTTGGGTGCGGCTAATTTATATCGTCCGAGATGGTAGCACATTTCATATATTGTAAAACGTTTTAGAAAAAAATTTTGTATCAATGAAATAATGGGGACAACGCTAAAGGTCAATGGTGGCATCAGCGTTGTTTCAGAAAGAAATGTCCATTAGACTTTACGACTGAAACTTTGTAGAAATGACCAATGCCGTGCTTTGCTCACATAATAGCAATGTAGATTACTTGTTGCTGAGATTAAAAAGGAATGTGTTACGTTTCTCAAACATTTACACTTTACTTCTTACGTTACAAGCTACTGTGGCTCTGGTGGCTGACATGATGAACCCAATGTGCTTCAGCATTCAATGCAAAGCAAGCAAAAGGATTCATTTGATGTTGCATTCGCCTTTCAATGCCTTGTTCATCGAAGGCGCCTGAATTATGAAGGATATTCAGCGCGAGTCTGGGGTAAGAAAATGTAAAACTTCATGTGATGCTTTCTTTACTGAAAAACGAACACGTAACATTATTAGCCAGTTAGCCCAAAAGTAAAGAAAACACATTGCCCGCTAGAACAAGTTCTCTACCTTATTGCGGGGTACAAGAAATAACATTACCCGCTACATACGAGCAAGCATGACCAGCTTGCACATTTCAATATCGACTAGCTCAGTGTCATCAGCTCGCGTGTCTCAATATCACGGTAAGACGCACATTTTGTTTTCCCACCATCGCTCAGGTCTTCCTCAAGTACTACCACGTAGAATACCTGTCACGACTCTACGAGCAGCAAGTGCGCAAGATCGTGGTGGTCCAAGCGGCCGTCCGGAGGTGGCTTGCCAAGCGCCAAGTCCAGAAACGGCGACTCGCCATGGCCCTCGTCACGCAGAGATGTAAGCGGAACGCATTTCTTCGCGAGCTACGCAGAAAAAATTATTTCGCGGGAATACCCTAGGATGACAACTAACACTCGGCTCAAAGGAAGCTGTCCACAGCCGCGTCACACGGGTGTTACACAGTATGTTTCACCAAACTGGGCATTGTCATTATCTTTTCTAAACTATAGTTTTCCTCATGTGACACAGTGTTCATCTGATGTACTTTTACATAACTCATTAAAGGATAAACTTATACACTTGCATCTTTGCATGTCACCTCTTTCCCATCTATGAATATGCCTGCAAATTTCACACAAATAAGGGTAACGGATAAAAAGTTTGCCTTCCCGACTAGTGTCCTCCCTTAAACACCTTCGGTGGGTTGTTTGACGCTGAAACGTTTGACAGAGTTCCGCGACGCTGCGACGTTGCAGGTCAGATGAAGCTGCACAGAAACAGAGATCCCCCAGTGCGAAGGAAAGCGGCGGCCCACAAACTCGCTGAGCCCCAGGATGCAAGCTGGAAGTGCTTGGAAATTCTGGACTTCTGCCATAAGGTGACCTGCCGTGGGCACGATAGCGTCTTGCCGTCTTCGCTCCCGATTATGCGCACTAGCGTGTCACATCCCGAGTTGTAAAATGAGCCTAGCTAATGTAGTCCACCTGCTGTATCTTACAGGATGTCGGCTCCGAGTATACTGCTTCTCGCAATGCAAATACCAAAACTCTAGGCTCCATCCGAATGCAGGCCCAGTGGTTGAGACGAGGCGTTAAAGATTCGAAACTCAATGATGTTGTCCAATTCAAAAGTTGGGAACGATTTTAGGAAATTTCAGTTTGAAAATGGCACCTGTTTTTGGCAGAAGACATTATTCATTTTGTATTCACAGACAACGCCGGCCGCCATTCGCTCGTTGCAACTTTTGCAAAATTACTTCTTGCATTGTTTATTAGGTTAAGTCCTGAAACTAGGGCCTCAGCCGCTATATTGTTTGTAGAGTGAAATTCCGGCAGTTTATTTTGTGCGAGACACGGGATACCCTTTCGCAGCCGACAACCTTACCATCATGTATGTGATCATATAGAGCTCATATATGTGCTCTATATGTATAATGCCAGATCACTAAGCTAATGGACTTGCAGAACACTGCTGAACCAGGGTAACGGGTGAAGAAATATTTATATTTCGACTCAAACCGTCAAATGCGGAATTTCGATCTATCAGAAATGTAGGGTTTTTGTTACTTTACTGGAACCCTCCAATTAATCGCCTAATGGCACGTGACCAATGTCACACGACGTTGTAGCGTGATGGCTAGAGATCACGTAACAAAGAGACAGGCAAGTTGAACAGGTGCGTGGCCCACCTTCCGCAGGCTCACCACGGCCCAACCAACCGGGCGCGTGGCCTGAAGAAGCCCCAACCCAACAACAGCAACCTGACGCAGCTCATCATGACTTGCCACCGAGTCTCCGAACTGGGACCGAGAAATGTACAAGCCATTGTGGTAAGAGGCAAAACTTCATATAGCTTGGTACACGCCAAATTTCCCCAACAAACGATAGACGTAGCACAATCGTGCTTCGCCAGCAACTGGACTCTGTAAGCTCATTTTGTTTCTAAAAAGCAGGACGAGCTTAAGGTACGTGGAACTCAAAAAAGTTGAGTTTTATGTCCTAAACTAACAAACACAATTGGCTCACCCCAGCTAAAGTCTGTCAAGATTTATTTCAATCAACTGAAATATTGTTTCGTCGTGCTCAGAGCAATTCTAATACGAAGTAACATCGCACATTCTAGATGGATTTGTCTCCCAGACTGAACCCAACAGGCATATTGTCTTCAATAACTTCAAATATATGCAGTTTTTAAAAGATGTGACATAATTTGAATGCTTTGAAAACTGAAAAGCAACTGCACCCCCCCCCCCCCCCCCCCCCCGCATAAAAAAACAACAACAACAAAAAAACAACCTTGATGTAATGAAATTTACAATATAGTAGTAACAAAGTCGGCGATCCCTCAGTATCTCCTTATCTAACAACTTAAAGACGGACGACCAGTTTGCGCTTTCCACTTCTCTTCTGCTTCCTCCTCTCCCCCTTCTACCCAGTTGACCATTGCCTGTTTCCTCCTTCCCCATAATGAGGAGAATATCCTCTGCCCTGCAGAATCTAGAATCTGATCGTCGGCCTTTAACTGTTGATTGGCTTTTCAAACGATATCCTCGTAGTACTACAGTGGAGTTGCATTTGAGAAAACATTCTTTGGCACATTGCTCATTAAAGACTTTTAGTGTGCTTAGAGAGTGCTTCCAACTGCTCGATCAGGGTCTTGCGGTTCACGGGCCACGTTCGCGACACAAGCTGCGACAAGGAGGCGAAGGCATTGGACGTCCGACAGTGTCTCCAACCTTAGCCAAGCCCCTCCACTCCTCACTGTCCGTCCGAGTTGCTCTTTCTCTTAAATCTGGGCTCTCTTTTAAGGAATTTTCTGTAGTCGCACTTGTACGGCGGTACTCGCTGCAAGTAATATAATTAGAGCTCGTCGTCGATTACTCTTTTTCAGAGTAATTTCGTAACCATTTGATTACATTCGTTAGGAAGTGACCGCAAAAGTACTTTGATGACTTTTGGGAGTACTAAAATTACTCGCAATCGTGGTTATTTCCCCCCTCCCTTTTTTTAATGACGTGCCCTTTGTTTCTACAAGTATCTCACCGAGCAAACCTCAAATTGAGTCTCCGCCAGGAGGACGGTTTACCGAAATTAGTGGATTTTTAGATGAACACTTTATAGCTTGGTGATTCTATCTAGCAATGGACAGTACGAAAATCCCGCTTTCAAACTGACAGAAAAATCCGTCGTTTCGAAAATCTGAAATAACTGGAAAAGTAACCGTTACTTTTCCAAGTGATGGCCAATTATCTGTTGGATTGTTCGAGTAATCTAGTCAAACTTTTAACCGAGAGTAATTGCAATCGACTACTTTGATCAATGGTTCGAGCACGCCACCTAGCCATTTTGTTTTACCATTTAAGCTTAGAATATTTAAATGTGAAAACTATATTCACTCCGCACTGCAAAGAAAGTGAGGCTATAAAACCTCCTTGCCATCAGTTAATAAGAAAATACCTAGTTTTCTCTCGCTTTCTGCCACCATTCACTTAATCTCTGCTCGGTAATCTCTCCTGTCTTAAAATCCACTCTTCCTTCGCTGTCTAAATAAAACCCGATGACTTTATTAAATCTATGTTGTCTTCAATAGGCATAGGGTGAAGCCCTTTACAGTAGAGTATCAAGTGCTCAGCCGTCTCGTCCTCGTCTCCACTGGGCATAGTCTTGTGCTCCCTGGTGGCAACCCTAGCGAGGGCAGAGCTCCTTTCTGATTCCTGTCTGTAAATGCCCAGGAAGAGGTGCCCGTGCCCAGTGAACGGAGGCTCAACGGCCGCTGCAAGAAGCAGGACCAGCAGCTGCAGCAGAGGCCACAGCCCAAGATGCCTCTGCACCTCAACAACTTCGACCAAATCTGCAGCCACAAGGTTCCCAGCAACTCCAGGTGGGAATAAGGGCCACGTGTGTGCTTGCCGCACCCCCCCCCCCCCCCACCTTCAAGAAACAAAAAAAACAACCTAAGAGCTGGTTTTAAAACGAAGTCAAAAAGAAACCAGAGGGCCAGCATAGAGGAATGAGAGGTCAGAAATTCAAGAGATCATCTGGGTTCTTTATACACCCGATTACTCATTCAAGATTTCCTTAAATCCACGATTTCTCGAGGCAATATGTATTACATTCGACAAGTGCTAATTTTTTCTTTTTATTCTTCTTATTATTAATGAAGATGTGGCTTAAACGGCTTGTTATACTAGTGGACAACTTTCTGTGGCTAAGCAGTCAAAGTTATGGGTGCAAGTGTTCTCTTGAGCGCCCATCAAAGTTGTTCACGTGCACTCCGCGAGTGTAGGCGACCCCAGCAAAATCGACGGCGCCTTGTGACTAAAACGCAGAGCTGTGGCGACAGGTGTGGTCCCCAGCCTTCTCAAGCGAATCAAATACCTCGGTAAATATAATTTTCTCAAAAAGAACAAGAACTCCATTCACACAGGCAAACACCATCATCGAATGCCACACCCGGGAACACTCATTTATATACTCCTTTCTTCTTCGTACATATCTTGGAGATTTTTGTTTTCGTTTTGTTGCTGATATGTAACTGCCACCCATTTTTTCTGTTTTGTTTGGCTTTGAGAAATGTTGCGTTGCATTTCTGGAACTTTTCATTTTGACTACACATATAACATATAATGCGAATCAGCGTTTTATCTTAGTGCATTGAATGTTGGTGAGTCAGCTCATTTTCTTTCTGTCTATTATGCCACTCCTAAGATATTCTTTCTATAGAACAATAAAACCAGTAAATTAAAAAAAAAATATATCTAGACTTCTGCGTCGTCATTGCATATGACTAAAAAGAAGGAATGGGCAAGCCTAACAAGCCATCTCTCGACCAGTTCTTTTATGTCGTAAACAGTTTAATTGACCATTTAAACAATACAAAAAAAAATTGTTTTCTTTGTCCATCTCTCGACCAGTCCGTTTATGTCGTAAACAGTTTAATTGACCATTTAAACAATAAAAAAAAGTTGTTTTCTTTGTTTAACTTATTTGTACACTCATAAATGCATTCTGAAAGTTCTGCTTTGTGCTCGCTCTTTGCCATTGAAGGATACCTCAGTTGACAGAAGCCCCGGTGAAACCGGCGCCAAGGGAGCTTCGTTGCAAACCCGAGGAAGAGCCGAGGCGTCAAGACGACGACAGCCAATCAGGTGAGAGATGCTCGCTTCTGATGACCTTTCGGGCTAATCCGGTCTCGGCATCATCGACTAAGTAGTCGATGACGTTGAGACCGGGATTAGCCCGAAAGGTTAAAGTGCTCTAACCTTTATAGTCCCTTAATACCTCTACTAGGACAACTCGGCCAAGGCGGGCGATCCTTCGATAAAACTAAACGCACGTTTTCACTCGCCGCCTTTCGGGGAGCAATTATCCCATGCCCAAAAATATAGGCCAATCGGTGGTTTGCTCGAACAAATTCCCACCACTAGAAAAGCTGACAAGTTCTCCGATACACAGCGCGAAACTGATGTTTGCTCCGTCCATACACTTGGGAATAAAGGCGATGGCTAGGTCAGGCATGGACAGAATTCCCCACTGCCGACGTCAAAGGACTTCCAACTGAACTATGGTCGGTGACGGGTTAAGAATGCTGTGCATGTGCCAAAAGCAGAAAGCTCCGGCTGGAGCATGTACTACATTCTTAACACGTCGCCGACTATGGTCGGTCGCTATTATGAGACGGGCATAGAAACTAAGAGACTGTGAAACGGTGGGGAATGTTTGCATTGTGTATGGCACCTGAAATCAAGTTAACGCTTAGACTCAAGTATAAACCAAAGCAGTGCCAAGACAGAATGAAACAATTAGACTTCAAGAACGCCGAGCACCCAACGGAAGCCCTACTGTTTATTCCAGCTTCGGGAAATTCGAGCAGCTCCAGCATCGGCGCCAGACCGACGATGGTCGAAGTCGAGATGTGGTGGCAGGATGGATCGCTCAAAGAAAACCAAGTCAGGTGAGCCCACCTCGATTGTCTTCCTCTGTCGCGCGTTCACCGTGAGGGAAAATACCGGGCGTACGGGACAAAAAAGAGAACCGCACGCGTTTTTCTCGTCGCAAACTAAGCTGGGTGTCGCCGAGTGCGGCGCTAGAGGTTGCTACCAGATGCAACTGTGTCCAAACTTACTTTTAACAATTCAGAAGTTATCGGCGCGTTTCAGAAATTTTCAACTAGGAACCGAGACCCAATTTGAGCGGCTAACGTCGTTTGCCTCCATGGATGCTCAGCTGGCTGCCATTTCGTCATTAAAAATTTCCAAAAATTACTTATAACTTTTGATTCAGGTAATGGTAAGTTCTCCAACTTTGGCATATGGTCCAGAACTGCTAGCACTACATTTGAGCAGAAGCTGACCTTTCAAAAACTGAAAGTTTATTTTTGCAGCAAAAAAGACCCCCCAATACACAGCTTCCTTTTCTCCCTAACACACGGTAGTATGGTCTCACACCTGTCCCCCTCTCCTTTAAGTTAAATACGGAAAAATAATCATTGCACACTTTTCACCCTGCCACCAATTCCTGCTAAATTTATTATACCACTTTTGGTCTCTGATAAAACATTTCCAAGCGACCCTGTATGGATGATTGGGTCGCATATTAAATGGACCATGAAACAATCTTTTTCACTTCAGCTAACTAGTGCATAGGACAATAAGACTAGGAACAGAGATCAGATTTTGTTCAAACAGGCTAGTGCAAGCAGAGAAAGGATTATCTCCAGGCAATAGATAATACAATCATATATCAAACCAGAAATAAAAAAAAAATCTATATCCGGGCCTCATCATGCTGACAAAGACCAGCAAACAAAGAATGCGTCCTGCACAACCCTGCTAGATTTATCATTCTTTTTATTGCATATTTTTTATTTTCATTTTATTTTGTTTCTTTCTTATATTCTATTTATTATTTATTTATTATTGTATCATATCTGTCCAAAAACCTGATTCTCACGCCGACACATTTGTATTCCATTAAAATTGTTTACCTTTCCAGACCAGCTGTGCTAGTTTCTGATGGTGGCTATGATACCCGACTGGCACCAACCAAGGTTTAAGCCCCGCCGGGGCGCAAACTTTACATATCAACGCTCCCAGCAAGTCACTCGTTCACGACGCTCATTACAACTCTCGTTTGTGACGATTTTCTGATAAAGAAACTAAACTTGATTTCATCGCCAGGCAACCTGAAACACCGACGAGGCCGGTGCCAAAGGTGGCGGCGTTGGCCCCCGAGTGCGACCCCAACCAGGGGCCGTACCAGTTCAAGAAGATCCTGCGGCGGCCCACGCCGTCACCCCAGCCCTCGCCGACCAACCAGACGCCGGGAGTGTTTGACTTCCGCAAGCTCCTACGCAAGACGGACCACGCGCCGACCGAGACCCTGAAGCGTTGCAAAGGGCTCCTGTCGACGAGATCGGTGTCGTCGGCCACGGATTTATGACCAACTTAGTCCCAGCCTGATGCCAGCATGTGCCGACCTGCTTCCAGCGTAAGCCGGGCTGTTGCGAGTGTGCGTCGGCGTGCTGCCAACTTGTGCCGGCCTGGTACCAACGTGTACCGACCTTCATCCAGCTTTGCCGGCCTGACGCCGACTATAAAAATGTATGTTATGTGCTGGTGCGAACGGAGTGCAGAGGCAACTAGTCTTACCTATCCGCGTCGAAAAAAAACAGCTTCTCAATGTCTCCGTCTCCCCTTGAATTCTCGTGAATCGCATCCACATGACTAAAGGTAGGAATAAACGACGAAACTGACTCGCGTGCGGGAATTCAGACAAAGTCGCTTGCTTTGAAAAGTTCACCAACCCCTCGTCTGTCGTCAATCTCGCCAGCTTCCAGCAGTCATGACTGCGGTTTATGTGGACGAAGCATTGTGCTGATCTACGCCTTTGTGCCTATGCAATAATCGCACAGCTTGTTTCGTCCATTATAGCTCGATGTATTTTTTTTATCAGTAATACATACTAATTCATCGTCAAGCTGAACGATAAACAGTATGTCTTAGGAAAGTGTGCGTGACACTTAAATTCCATCTTACGAGCATCAGACGTCTGAAATGTGGTATTAAAAAAAAGGGGGGGGGGGGCCAGCTTATTAAACAGAGTTACATGGTGGACAGAAACAAACTTTGCACTTGTGTACATGCCGCTTCTGTAAGCTGGCTGTGTTTCGTGACTTGAAAACAAACGTGTACCTAACAACCTACCTTCCTCAGGGCGCTTGAGCAACTACCACGTTGGCAGCAAATGACCTCCAATGCACATGCGGGGACAAGTGTGTGCAATATATAGCGTGCATTTATTGCAATCAAAACGTGAACCTTTGTACATAACGAATGAGACTGTACAGAAGATGTAAAAAAAAAACACATTAAAACCAGAGTATTGAAAATAAAGGCCAACAAATATGTCTTTTTTTGTAAGATGTGTTATGCTCTCTGGAGATTTCTTTGCACACGCCTCACCCACATATTTTTGAATACTGGCGAGATACATCTTGCAATGTTTGTTTGGCACATCTTGCACACGACTAGTATACCAAACCCTCACTTTCCTCTTCTATCACAAACAATGGGGTAGTATTCGCTGCCCCATTTTAAAGAAACGAGTATAAAATGAGATACTCACGTCCTACCGTAGAACCCGCCTCATTCGAAACGCGCTCAATGAGGTGAAGCAATACAACAAGGTTGGTTTCATTCTGTCCCCACTGCCCTAGAAGCTTGCTCCCAGACCTTTCTTGGGTGCATGTTTCATTTCGAGACGTAGGTAACGCTTGATATGCTGGCAAAGATACCGCGGCGGGGCTTGCATGAGAAGTATGTCTTGCTTCCCAGGCTTCCGTCAGTAAAACCCACTGCCAGAGACAGAAAAAAAAAAAAAAAAAAAAACGGCTTTAGTAATGTGCTTGTCCTAAATCACATGTTGACAGACCTCCAGTCAGTGAGGCCACAGGGGCCAGATTTACTCTTTGCGGCGGGGACGCAATGTGGCACGATATCGAGGCAAGCTGATTTTATACTGTACAGAAAATTCACGTAACAGATGTAATTTTGTTAAGATGGGTTCAGTCATGAAGCTATTGAAAATAATTGGGCAAATTTCTTCTGTAATTCAATTGCGATTGACTACCTAGATCCAATAGCAGTTAACTACCATTTGAATTACTACAGCAAAATGATTAGTCCCTAACAGTTATATTCATTACTTTTCGAAAGGAGTCTAATCACTTTGCAGTTGCTTATGCTACATGATTTCAATTCACATTATTTGACAGCTCCTTACCTGCAAAGATGTGTCTCTGTTGGGTGCCTCACTGTTTGACGATTCATCATCTTACCTTCGCCATATCTCTAACTTTGTTTGGCCAAGGTCATTTAGTTTAATCATCAGATATGGGGTGATGGGAAGCAGAGTTCCGAGCACCCAAAAAGCTTCACTATTTTGTGTTATCGCTAGGATTTCTCTTTTGCAGTGCAACTCGGAGCAGAAGTGAAACAAAGAAAATGTTTGTTTCACACGTCCCGTGTTGAGCTAGTCAGATACCCTCCACAGCATCTCTTTCCCTCGATACTAAAAAGCAAGCTTTAGCCCCGTAATATAACTACAAAGACAGCTGTTAGCATAAAGAAAGTCTCGCAATCACTGATGCCAAATGCCGATAAAGTAGTTTAGTATCAAATTTACACTACTTTTTGTAAAATACAGCAAGTGCACAGGCGAGCTGCTGGTAGATGGACATTGCCCTCCTGTGTCTTTTACTTCCAATTCAAAACATTCTCTTTTCCTTATTGTGGCCTCGGGTAAAAAACAATATATGGGTTACTTTAAAAAAAAAAAAAAATTATGAATCCCAATTATTTACCACACATTCTAGAGGTTGCCAGTTGCGTGACAGCAACTGGGCAGCAAGTGCCCCTTGACACGCACAAACGCATCAGAACAAGTAAAGATGGCTGCTGCTTGTTGACTGCCGTGATATACCGCTCCGGCTCTCCAGCCAATTGCTTTTTAATGCTCCCCGCAAATTCCAAAATTTCTCCCGACCGTCCGTTAGTGCATTTCCCACCAAATTTAGCGGAGAAATCGATGTTGCGTGACCTAGCCGATTCGGTATCCCCGCTAAATTTGGCGGGAAGGTAGACGTTATGCGACTTGCTCCCAAGACCTATGCACCAATTACGTTTCCCCGCTAAACTTGGCCGAGAAATCGACGTCGCCTGACCCGACATCGCACTACCTATGCATCAATTTGGTTTCCCCACTAAATGTAGCGGAGAAATCGACAATGCATGACCCATGCTTTTATACGCATATTGATGCAACATGACCTATACCATACTAGACCGTATGCTGTCCCATAAACAAATTAGAACGACCGCTCCTTAAATGACCTTGGGAATAACGGTCGCTGCCAATATTTTTGTAACTTTGCTTTTCCACCAACGTGCGTCGGCGAGAAAGTACCTCGACGGGCCGACCACATCATTTCGTCCCGGCTTCCTCCCTTGCGAACAAACCGAAAAAGTAAGTAAAACCCTACAAGCGTCGTCGCTGAGCGGACGGGCCGAGACCACTTACAGGGTTCCTCCAGGTCCAGTCCAACCCAGACTGTGCAGGCGGTGCTGGAGTCGAGGTGCCCGACGTAGCGGACCTTTCCCAGCAATCTGTCCCTCACGACGGCCCGGCAACCCTTCTCGAGTGCGCCCAAGGCTAGGTCTCTCAGTCGAGCCTTGGGACCCGGGAATCGTTGGCAACGTTCGCACAAACAGCTCTCCAGGGGGACCCAGGAGCTCGCCACTCTGCTCAGCTCGCGCAGCACCTAGCAACGAGATGTGCCCGTTGATGTCCACGTCGGATCTTGTTGCACTTTGGCCGACGTGCACGTTCGAGGTTGGCGAGATGCCAAATTGTTATTGAAGGTGGGAAGCTAGCGCAGTAGGCGGGACGTCCAAAGGATACTCCCCGGTGTTCCAATTCTGTCGGCGACCACATAAGTGGTAAAAGCAACAAAAAAAAATAATGGGTGGACAAAATGAAAAATGATACACAGAGACAGCCAACTCGCGATTCCCATTTTCTTTTAGCTTTATATAGATGCGAAAATAAAAGAAGGACAAAAAGGAAAGAGTACTGTGTACGTGAGTTTTTCTTTGTCCGCGAGTTTTGTGGCGTTATCCGATATTTATCGAGTACTGACCGTCAGACTCCGAATGTCGCTCATTTCGTCTCCCTGCTACGTTCGTGGTGAGATGCACTAACTCGTTGACAAACTTTCTGTGGAAGCGCAGTCAAAGCTATCTATGCCCGTGCGAATAATTGGACGTGGCTAAAAGTCAAGCGAGCTCGTGCAAGTGTCGATCTAAACCCTCGCATGCACCCCTCATTTTTATTTGAGTTGCAGAAAATTCGCAGTAAGTGGCATTCATTGATGCAGTGCCTTCAATCATGAGGAAAGCCATTGATCTACCTCGCTTTCAAGGAGGGGGGGGCAGTGCTATGTAGTTCCTGACAGAACATTCCATTGTCAATTCAGGCTAATTATTATACAGGGGATGTAATGGAAATCCCATTTTGAAAGTCAAAAACTAGTATTACGCAAGAATAGGAAAGGTTTCTCTCGCAAGTGGCATTCTGGCCTAAAAGTTAAACACTCTGCTCGGTTATGCGGGAAATCCCACCTGCATGAGATTTTTTACACAGATAAGACACAGGAACACAGACATAATTTAAAGGATTTGGAACTGCATGCGGAACCAAGAGAACATCAGAAGAACATGCCAAAGTAAATGAGAACTTTTTTTTTCTATCTGGCGGAGCATAGAAATCATTTTGCACAACAGCGAATGTTACCATAATTGCGTGTCTTTTATGTTTTGAACTTAATCCAGCATATTATAACATTACTGACAACATATTCATAGTAGCATCTTAATTGCAAACATGCCGGAACAGTAATATGCATGATGAAGATTGGGTGTAGCATGCTTACATGTACCACACTGATGGCTGTATTTGTTTGTAGACACCTCAAAACCGTACTCCATGAGCGGTAGAAATCGGCTGAGAGATCTGTCGTGTTGCGACCATTCTGCGCAGGATCTGCCTCCTTAGCCACAGCAATCAGCTCAGCGTCGTCAGTTTGAGTAGAACTGCAAAGAAATACATGCCGACTTAATTCTTGTATGTAGTGTAATCTTCCAAACTAAAAACACCTGCAGAATGCACACTTAAAAAAAAAAAAAAAGCTAAGACAAGCCATAAGCACATCATGGGCTGCAGAACCAGAAAGGATGACCCTTAATATACTAAACCAGTTGTTCTCAACCAATGACCTTTCGCAGTCTCCTTGTTGATTGGTGGAGATGATGGAGGACCCCCCTCGTGGTGAGAAGAGAAAGGTATATGTATTCATGATAATGATTTAAAAAATAGATATAACTAAGGGCTGTGTAAAGCAGACTTCTCTCATTGACATACAGACAAAAAAACTCGCTGGAAAAGTCGAATGTTTCTTCCCAATCTGAAAAAAGACAACTTTTATTGCCGGGCTTGACTGATGAGGCAGGGCTTCTCGGACCCCTAAAATGTCTTCGCGGAACCAGAGTTGTCCGCAGACCCCCCGTTTTGGGATCACTGTGCTAAACTATCATTATGAAATCAAGGGGTATGGCAGAAATCAAGGGGTATGAAGAATCTGCTGATGTTTTGTTTTTTTCTGCACACCTTCCAAACATGACCTCAGGAAAGTTAGTTTCTTGCATAACATAAAAGCACATTTCCTGGGTCAAGCACAACATGCATGCATTACCTACTTCTCATGTAAAACTAGAATGTGAGACTAATTGTTTCAGCAATGCCATAAAAAACTGAAGACGTTTACCATCCCCTGTAACACCGAATTAGAGTGCAGCTCTTGAGGAGGAGGAGGAGAAGGTATGGGGAGGAGGCTATGTCCCTCCTCCTCTCCTGCTCGCCTCCCATTTAGGGGAAAATTTTCCACTAAATTTAGCGAGGAATTTTTTCCACTAAATTCAGCGGGGATTTTTTCCACTAAATTTAGCAGGGAAATTTCCCGCTAAATTTAGCGGGGAAAATTTTCCGCTAAATTTAGCAAGGAAATTTACCCATAATGCAGCGCACGGTTACGCCGACGCCGCTCAAGCCGGAAACGGGCGCCTAAGAGCTGCGCTCTAAAAGAAAAAGGTGACGTGACAATAAAACTTAATAGTTAAGAAATGTCTTGATCCACCATTGCCCTACATTTTTAAAAATGGAGGAATTGCATTTTGAAGCAACGCATTTTGAAGCAACGGCAGCTTGCAGACATTCAAAATTATGAAGGCTAGAAACATTCTACAAATTTAGAAGTTACCAAAGCAGAGCCCAACTACTATTAGAAGGACCTCGACGACAGATCTTCAGCTCACTGTTTCAGCAAACTCTCCTCCAGACCTCAGCTTACAAAAGAAACTGGTTTTGATCTCAACAAAACTATTATACACACCTGCAACTGCTGCATTTTTGTACGCTTTGGCTTTCTTGCTTGCTCTAACTTTCACGTAAAACTGGCACGGGTGAAGCAATACTGAGTGTGTCGGTGCAGTTGCCACGGGAACTTGCACTCCATTTGTTTATTTTCGATGCAAGTGCTTGTTATAGTCAATGTCTTAAAGTTCAGCAACTTTGTTTACATACACTGGGCAGACAGTGGCGGCAACCCTTTTCCGTGTTTTGGCAAGGACTCCGGTTCCTGTGGCTTCAAGGCTTCGTTTGAGCCTCTCATTTTCTTCAAGGAGCCTTTAAAAGGAACAGTTGAACCACGTCAAAGGCACGAAAGTACAGTTCACGCCATTTCCTCTATTAAAAGGATACAGTAAAAACAGAGATGAAAAATTCGATATAGATGAGAAGAGTGGCTTTTCAACCAAGCACGAAAAAATTAACAAGGAATTAAAGGGATGCTGAACCAAACATTTCAGTGACTATAATGAGTGGTGCACTATCTTTCCACGTGCCAGCAGCTGCCGGTCCGCGCGAGCACACACAACGAAATTGATGTCATAGCCCAAACTCACGCTTAAGATGACAGTCAAATGTGTGGAGATGAAAAGACAAGCTTTTCATCTCCACAGTGGGGTCTGGTGTAAAAGGTAAGTGATTAATTGGTCTAACAAGCTTTCACCTTTGAAGACGAAAAGCCTGTCTTTACTCTCCTTTGGACCAAAGCCCACCCATTTCACTGTCACCTTAAAGGGGTAGGGAAACGAAATTTCAGCGCTCATTTTCTAGCTTTAATGTGTTGCATGTTGCACCCTAACCTCAAAAACACCAGTCTTCCGTCGGAAAGCACCAGAAAACTAATTTTAAAGTAAATAAACGATCTTTCAATGTGCACCTGGTGGATGCATGCGGAGCCTATTTGGGAGGTAGTCTAGCAACGTTGTGGAAACTGCTACGTAGTCGTGACGTAGCAGATTCCTTCGGAGCAGCGCCGCCCTTTGGCATTTCAACGTTTTCCTTCTTAGCTTTCCTCCTGAACTCACAAATCGCGCATTGTACCAAACGGTCCAAGAAGACGGAAAGGAAGGACCCCCTTCTTTCTCGGAGCCTCGTTCGTGCAACCGGAAACAGCCATTCTCCCCCTAGAAGATTAGCCCGTCGCTCAAAACTCGAACAAAAGTTGCTTTCCCCACCCCGTTCAGCCCTAAGCTGACAGTGTTGTGGAAGCTACGTGCTCCTTGGGCCAGCCACACGCTTGTCACCCCACGGGTACTTCGAGCGGCTAGGTTGTAACGCGCTGACGCTATTGACACCACCACAACGCTGACAACGCCACCAAGGGCAAAGCTCATAACCACGCCTGCCTTGCTACTCCACGAATGCGGGAAATATTTTCTTTCTGTTTTTGTTTGCGCCGGACATCCCATGACGCATCGCGCTCTCCGCTCGCTTCTCTTCGAGCGCTTGCTCGAGTGCACCGTTTGGAACGAAAAATATAGCCAATCGTTCAAAATACAAACGTGCGATTATGATTTACGGTTATTATCCGTCATGCTTGACTCATTTCCGAACGAAATTTGAATATTTCAATTTATGTTTCCGTACCCCTTTAAACACAAAAGGGAGACTGCGATGTTTGTTGTGTGCTCGTGCACGCTGGCGGCTCCTGGCTCGTGGAAAGAATGTATGTCACTTATTAAGGACACCGATTTGTTTGGTTCAGTACCTCCATAAACCCGAGCGGCACACATGGTCCTCCGAATATCCTCAGGACGTCCTGACATTCCAGGGATGTCCTGTGGATGTGTATAGGACATCTGTGCTGCTAGGGAAGGAGCAACATGTCAAACGGTGCAGATGCACCAGAGGCCTCAGGTACGAGCTAATGGCCTTTCTATGGTACTGCAACTGTCCAGGGTTGAATGAAGATTATTATTATATTAATTATTATCACTACCTAAGGATGACCCACTTCAGGCATTGGTATGTTGCATGTCATATTCTTGTTCCTGTATTTCACTTTTGCATTGACATGTAAAAATACTGGTTTGAGCATAATGCAAGACATGCAGCAAGTCTAACATGCGCAGGACGTGCTCGCTGCGCCTGCGCAGTGACGTCAGTTTCCTTTCAGAACGAGAACGGCACTGATATCGCTCAGCTGCCCCGCCTCCAGCTCGAGCTTCCTGCCTTCGACACTGCTTCGAGCGTGCACGCTCAGCCGAAGCACTGCGGAAGGCACCGTGCACATGCAGGAAGGCGTTTAACTCTTAAGCAAGTCCTCCAGACCTGTCCCTCTCTTCCATGATGGTGGCAATGTTGGTGCACAGCGACACGATTCCCTTCTGGGAGTGCTTGATGACAAACGCAACCGCCTTTGAGGCGCATTTTGCCTGAAGGCGCGATGGAGTCGACAAGCCGCCGTCCGTTGAATCTCCCATCGCTGCTGAGACCGCTACGACGTTGATGACATTCTGTGAGCAGACACCCACGACGCTAGTCTGTAACTCGCTTGGCACTCTGATTAAGCTGAGGCTGAGCTGATAAACCCAAGAAAAGTGAACGAAACTGACAGCCCTGAGAGCGTGCACACAAGAACTTCAAAATTGTTACACAAATATGATGATGATGATGGTGGTGGTACCACAATTCAGCATGTTCACGTAATTTTTTCCCAGTTACAACTCACAAATACTAACAAAAAACACAATTTGTGTACAAAAAGGTGAAATTACGTTACACTGCCTCAAGTAAACTTATAAAGGCTCTAAAGGCAACAAAGAGAAATGGTTTTATTTTGCTACGGCTTCTATCGACTTCCTTCGACTTCAGACAAGTACACAAGTTGGTAATCCATTTGCCTAGCCACTTTGCGCTGAAGGGTACAAGGGTACTCGCAAGGATGGCGAGTAATGGTAAGTGCTGAATTTGCGGTGGTATTAGAATTATCTGATCGCCTCGCTTTCACCTACAAGACGCGATTCATGGAATAACCGTCTGACGTCCAACGTGAGCAGCGATCTTTCCGCAAAAACGCCTTGACGGGTGTAGCCGAAAGGTCATAGCCGCAGGCTGCAAGCTTGGATTTTGAGTCGCAGTAGAATCCTCCACTTCCTTAGCCGTGGCGAATAGCTGTTCCTAATCATTTATAGAATGCTTGTTTTCAAAATATACTCTGCACCGGATTGCTGCCGTCTTCTCAGCGCGAACAACATCCATCAGTGCCAGGAGAGCGTCAGACCCGTTTAATTTTTACTTTCTTCTACCGTACTTACAAGTCGTTTCCCCAGGGTGAGAGAACGAAACATTATTCGACGAAGCCGGTGTATGCAAAGTTGGTGTTCACACTTTACGCAGATCTGGTTTAGCCGGAAAGCCCAGTCTCCGACTTACTGTCACCACTTTTAACACTCACCTTGTTGCAAGATTTGCGGAAGTTGGAGGTAACGACGCGAGCAATTGGAGCGCGCTGGTAAGTTCCAGGAATTAAAGGAAAGCAACTTAAAGGACGGAGACAGGACTTAACATCTTTCCGTACCCTTCTACTCTCTACTATAACTTTCTAACATTTGAAATCTTGTTATCTACCTTAAAACACACAATGGAACTTTTATTTGTCTTGAAACGTGTAATCAGTCTGGCTCGTGATCAGGCCAGTAATTCAAATCGTTACCCGTCCAGCACAGTCTGGCCCGTGATTAGGCCAGTGATCCATGATCAGGCCAGTGGCTCAAAACGTTACTTGTCCAGCACTGTCGTAGTTAACCGTAATCATAATCGAGCCAATGATCCAAGGCGTTAATATCTGCATCTCCAGTCTGTAGACACTGCTTGCACTTGACATCATAGCACCATGCTGGTGGTCACTCCTCTACTTTCCTTTTTGAGAAAAGCAAACTTAGTGCTGCGAAATGTATGCTTCAGCTCGGCAGCAAAGCCGGCACAATGGCTGATGATGTGACGTCAACACAAGCCACGTATGTAATCAGTTTGGCTAACGATCGAGCCAATGACCCAAACTGTTACCTATTCCTCATAGATAACCATACTCGTTACTAGGGTTCCATGTTTTGGGGGTTCGTGTCCTTCAAATTCGGAGCTCGATTTTAGGGGAGATTTATTTTTTTTCCCAGAGATTGTGTTTTTCACTTTAAATTTTCGCTGGTGCACAAAAAAAACAATTTTCACTTATCGGAGCTTATGCTAAAAAAGATGGCGCTTTTCTGCATTTTCCAAGCATTACCCAAACGTTCATAAAACGCTGCGGTACTGATAAGAGAACGAGGTAAGAAGTGTGCTTCCCAAGGAACAAACCGACCTCGTGAACTGTGTTTTGGGTTGACGCCGACTAGTGCTCGAGATAAAGTGGTCTGTCCCACGAAGCTTGGGGTCTACGAGATTATGATCAAAACTGTAACAACTGCAAATCCCGTCTGCCTGTAATCCAACTTAATCTTTGACTAGCCGAGTTGGATTTCTTCAGCGTAATCCAGCGTCGGTGCATTTGCGCAGCCGTTTGGATGCCCGGACGGATGTCTGCGGCCCTCTTGCATCGGCTTCTAGGCCCCCGGGTCGCAAAGGGAGCGGCGGCTGCCGTTCAGCTGCGGCTGAATGCATCCAAGGCGTCGTCGTCGGAACCGGCGGTCCAGTCAGGCCAGACCACCCCCGCCGTGAGGCCTTACTCTCCCTTCAAGCCCACCAATACCGTCGAGTATGCACTCGCTAGGGCAGACGACCTGCTCAACTGGGGAAGGAAGGTGAGACGAAAGACGGCAACTCAAAATGAAACTGTACTCGCCGAAGGCTTCAGAAACATGAGTCATGGCGAGTCTTCAACATTGTGTTGTCGCGTCGCATCGCAGCCCGTGAGATTGTGGCTTTAGATAGTAAAGATGTACAAGAATAGAAAAAAAAATGTGAACATAATGAGCAGCCTTGCCCTGCATTTCTTAAAGGGAAGCTACAGAGCTTCTTAAAGAAAATGAGTTAGAAGTGAATTCTAGCGTATTTTGACCCTGTGAACCCGAATACCCAAACCATTTGCTGCGCAAGTATTGTGAAACGCGAGAAAACGCAAAAGACAGGCGCTGTATGTGACGTCATCGACAGATCTTTTGACTGCCCAAGGCTAGGGAGGCGGTGTCTTCAGCCCTATTTTGAAATTGCTCTTTTGGCTCTCCGGCACGTCGCATTGAAACATAATTGTGATATCTGTTATTTTAAAGGCCAAATGAACGCAATTCAAGTGTTTTTTCTCAAATGCATAAGTGCCCCATCTTCTTTTTAAGCCATGAATTACTGTAGTATGTCCTTTTTCATTTATTCGGATTGAGGGCTATTCCACCAAAACAAGAAACAAGCATTCTTTTGTCTGTTCTCTTCAGTAAACGAACATTCCTTGTTCAGGCACCCACCACACACGACTACTCACAAAATCTCAACTTAGTGTTTATTTATTAAGGTGCCAACAAGACCCGGGACAGTAGGATATGAAAGAACAAAAATTAAATGCAAGTTGGAGCAAAAACAGTTAGAAGGCACTCTTGAAAAATATTAAAATAATGAGAGCAGTTTTAAAGAAATCTTATCGGGGTATTGGTGTCAATGATGTGGGCAGGTAGTTCTGTTCTGATGTTCTAGGTACAAAGGCATTTCAATAGGCTGAACGGGTAAAACCAACTTCAAAGGGAAGTTAAACACGGAAGTTAAACGGGTAGATTATTCTTGAAATTGAACACTCATAGGCTGCCTAGTATATACACCAAGTTTCGCAATTTTTAGTGCTTTAGTAATTGCAATAATCAATTTACGAATGTTGATTATTTTCATCTGGCGACCAGGCAAACAGGCAATAAGCCGCACCGTGGGGCTTATAAAACACATGATCATGAACGCTTTCTCATTCTAGTTATGCCCGTGCTTGCCCCACCACGGTATGATCAAAACCCCTCACGCGACCCGGCAACCCCAACGCTACTCTTTCCTCCGGATCTTTCACCTACCACCCTAAATGCACCTGTGAAATCGTTGCGGACGTCTGTGACCACGGCGAGTTTGTCCGTGATGATCTTGTCATCGCTGGAGCCGGTTGCCGGCGGGTCGCGGTCAAAATGACCAACTTCCAACATTTCTGGATCACAATCACTCTTGTCGCTGCTGCGATCAGTGTTGAAGACATTGACGAAGCGAGCGACACCATAGACGTAATTGTCGCAAAGCTCTTGCTCGAAACGCGGAAGGTAAACGAGGAAGCTGAAGCACGAGACGCCGACAGAGCCAAGTCTGTGAGTGCGTGCAAGGGGACGGCACGCGTTGGGCAGGTGACGTCACCGACACAACAAACGTGGCGGCCTTCCTGGATGGGGTGGGTCCGGGGGTCCCGCATTAACCCTTTGCGGTCATGTGTCGGGCCACGCCCGACATCGAAGAAACGCGCTTCCGGTCCGGTGTCGGGCGTCGCCCGACACGCGTTCGCGCGCTCTTTTAAACGTGCTCCTTCGCTTTTTTTTTTTTTGCTGGATTGGTGGCACCATCTCTAGGACTGTTTATACACTTCACTTTTGAAAGGGTTTTAGTTTTTTCTCATAGAGGGCAGAAGTAATCCTAAACAGTCTAAACAACGGAGGAGCGCGCAAATTTCAATTTCGCTGCCACGAGGGATGGCCACGTTCCAGCCACGCTCATTTTATGGTAACTCTTCGCGTGATGTAGTTGAAAGTGACGACAATTTCAGTGAAGAGGACAACTATATCCCTCCGTCAGATGATGAAGAGACGTCCTCTGCTGATTTGAGCGAAAGTAGTGATGAAGATGAAATGACTGCTCAAGACAACAACCGTGGAGCCGCTCAGCCACACGCATCGTCCTGGAGTTTGTACACGAACAATCTCCCGGACTTTCCTGTGCTTACCTTCAGTGTGAGTAATCCCGGATCACAAATTGGGCCCTCAAATCTTCAATCTGAACTCCGGTTTTTTTCAATTATTTTTCACGGATGAACTGATTGGAGAAATCGTTCACGAAACAAACCGGTATGCGTGCGAGAAGATTTCGTCTGCGGAACCTCTTGCAAAACATTCCATTTGGAAAAGCTGGGAGGACGTCACTGTCGATGAGTTCAAAGCATTTCTCGGAGTCCTTATGAACATGGCTTTGAATCCCAAGCCAGACATCAAAGAGTACTTCAGCGAAGAAATCCTGAAGAAGATGCCTTTTTTTCGACGGGTGTTCACCCGAACAAGATTTCTGCATATTTTCTGGATGCTGCACGTTTCTCCTCCTCCGCAAGGTCCATCAGGTCAGCCGACACGTGGCAGCAAGGTGAGAAACGTTGTCAGCTACATTGATTCAAGGTGCAGAGAGCATTTCAAGCCCGGTCCGAAGATTTGCGTAGATGAGAGCACCGTGGGCTTCAAGGGGCGAGTCTCCTTCAAGTGTTACAACCCACAGAAGCCGACAAAGTGGGGCCTTCGGGTGTATGTACTCGCGGACTGCGCAACTGGGTATGTTTCTGCATTCGAGCCATACTACGGCAGCACTACTACGGAAAGCCTCCCTCGGCCAGACCTTCCTTTCACTTGCCGAATCGTCCTTCACCTTCTCGAGAAAGTGCAGTGCGCTTCGCCTGGAAGGGGGTACCACCTGTACACAGATAGGTTTTATACGTCGCCAACACTCGCCGAGGAGTTGCTTTCGCAGGACGTCAAGCTGACGGGGACTGTGATGACCAACAGAAAAAATATGCCGCAGCAGCTGAAGAAAAAGATGAAGAAGGGTGACGTAGTTGCTTACCGACAAGGGAACTCGTTCATGGCCCTTGCTTGGCAAGATAAGCGCCAAGTAACTATGCTGAGCTCAGCTCACAACCCCTCCATGAAGGCTGTGACGAGAACTCAAGCTCATGGTCAAACTGTGACGCTCCAGAAGCCCGTCGTCATTTGCGACTATACTGAAAACATGGGGGCAGTGGACCGAGCCGACCATTACTGCGCAAGCTATGCCTTCTCTCAGAAATCTCTCAAGTGGTGGAGGAAACTTTTTTCTGGATGCTTGAAGTTTCCATTGTCAACAGCTATCTACTGATGAAAATGCAGATGGACGCAAATGGACTGAAAGGGCAGAAACACTTGCAGTACCATCGCAAGCTCATCGAGCAGCTTGTCGGGGACCTCCGAGTGCGACCTACGAAAAGAGGTCTGGCATCCCAATCCGACTGTGAAGAGCGGCTAGATGGAAGGCAGCACTTTATCTACAAGCTGCCAGAACGCAGCAGCAAGGACTGTGCAGTGTGCAGTGACCGGAAAACTAAAGGGGGCAGAAGAGAGACAGTTTTCTTCTGCAACACCTGCAGCAAGCATCCCGGCCTCCACAGTGGAGAATGCTTCGAGAAGTACCATACACTGATGAAGTTCCGCTAGAAAACGCGAGAAAGCAGGAGCTCTGCAAAAATATTTCATGTTACCTTTGTACGCCGAAATAATTTTATGTTTCCGTGGCCCGTGCATCCAAAATAGTTTCTGACCGGAACGACCATTAAGTTGGTCAGAGTATCTGACCGCAAAGGGTTAAGTCGATTTAGCCACGAGACTATCGCGCCATTTTTTTAACGAATTTAGTGGAAGAATAGGAATGTACAGTAGGTCCTAGCAGTATAGTTATCACATGTTTTATTTTTGCCGTGTCCTAACCCCTCTAAACTGACGGTCGATCTGTGACGAAACAACGGACGAATTGAAAAAGAGCTTTCCTTTTAGGATAAAAAAACTAACAATGAAACAGAGAGAAAAGAGTGGTTAGCATTCACAGATTATACAGCGATCTTCATGATAGTCGCAAACTATAAAAGGAGTGTTTCGATTGCATTGCACTAACGAAGCAAAATTGTGGTTTTAAATTGTGTTCATTGTCCATCGAAGTTTCCAGAATAGCATTTCTTCCTGGCTCTCGTGGCGCATCAGTAGCTTCTAGGCGAAGCGCTGACCCACGAATCCCCATTCGGCATGCTCATCTTTGGCCCGAGGTGCCTGCATTCCAACGAAAGCCCGTTGCACTAAAAGCGCCACGTAACTAAGACTTTGACTTCATGTCACGAGAACCCTGGGTGGGTAATATGAATCCCGAGCCCTTCGTTGGTGTGGCACGTAATCCCCCGAAATGCCCTACTCTCTCCCCATCTCTTTTTCCTTCGTACACCGGCAATGTGGGACAATCCACCCTCATGGACAACATCCATGTGGATGAATGGACGGTTGATATGACAACCCTTCAAATTGGACTGCAACTTGCTCCACCTATCCGGGCATTCGCACCTTTTGGCGTCTATAACTGGTGTTGCGAAAATCGAAAGTCCATTACCTGATATGTAAAGCATCGTCAAGCAGACCTTCCGCTATAAAACGAGCCGGAAATATCGGCACCTGCACAGAGAAAGCTCAAACTTTCAGCAAATGTGCACCGAGTAGGTCAGCCTTACCGTGTGAAATTTCAAGGCATAGTATTCTTCTAGGTAAAAAAGGGAGCAAAAAGCTTGCCAAAGTCAAACTTGGGTGCATTTGCAGACGACCGAGTCAGCAACGCCTTTTGCTTGTAGCGCCATCTCTTGACGGGTGCAGCAAACAGACACGCACTCTTTTGTCTGCTCGCTGCGCGCGTCAGTGATGGCGCCACAAATAAATGGCATCATTAAATCTGTCGTCCGCGAACGGGCCCAACCTTGATTTCGGCTAGCATTTTGCTCCCATTTGTTACTGGAAGAGATCTACGCCATGAAATTTCACTTGGTAAAACTGACCTGCTCGGTACACTTTCGGTGAAGGTCTAAACTTTCTATGTGCAGGCACTGATTTTTCTGGCCCATTATGCAGCGGAAAGTCTGCTTGGGGTCACACTATAGAAAGCATTAGGTGATGTCTTTTAATAGTAATACTGCTAAACACTGCGACCCGTTTTGGCGCTGTGCAGAACTCCCTGTGGCCGCTGACGTTCGGCCTGGCGTGCTGCGCCGTGGAGATGATGCACATTGCAGCTCCCCGCTACGACATGGACCGCTACGGAGTCGTCTTCCGCGCCAGCCCCAGGCAGGCTGATGTCATCATTGTGGCCGGCACCGTCACCAACAAAATGGCGCCTGCCCTCAGAAAGGTTGGCCCCCCGTCCTTCTTTTACAGGGACCATGAGTCTGTAGCCCCAGGGCAGTAAAAAGGAGACACATTGGCTGGCTGCTTTTTGGCGCGGCTCGTGGTCAAAATGGGCAACTCTAGGAAAGCCCAACCACCGGACGATTCGAGACCATTGCTGCATCAGAATTCGGCAAGGCACGCGGAGATTCGAGCTCAAATCGTCTTAGAGTTATGAAAAATCCCGCACAAGGTGGCACCACTGTCGAACCAAACTTCATTGCCCAGGCTGTATAGGTGGCCATAGCTGTGTGTTTAAAAATTGAAAAAAGAAAAAAAAAAAAAAAAAAAAAAACCATTAAACCTAGGAAGAAAAAAAAAATTATACTAGTTTGTTAGGACAGGCATGTCTCAAAATGAATATTCGTCGAGAAATAAAATTTTCTTGCTTAATATTTATGCTACAATACAAAATTTTTTTTATTTGCAGGTGAAACCGAAACGTACCAATGTGGGATGATGATGATAATCTTGGTACCCAACTAGTGTGCACTCTGAGGCCCAGCGAACTCCTGCGCACACTACCGTGAAATACCGGGCAAGCACCCACTCAAAATTTAGAAATAATCGCGAGAGAATGGGTGATGGGCGCTTGTCCGCTCATCAATTTTACATATAAATGTACTGCGTGTATTTCCTCAGATCTTACAAATTTGGGAATGGGTACTTAATGTGGTATGGGCGGATGCACGGTATTCTACGGTAGTTTGGTACAAATGCTATCATTATCATCCCACAGGGGTGCGATTTCAGTTTCGCCCGCAAATAGAAAAATGTGTGATGTACCATAAATATTTGGTAAACAAAAATAAATTTGTTCTATGGACATTTATTTTGAGACATGCCTGTACTAACCAGCTACAAAAAAAGCACAAAAAATTCCTAAGTTCAGTGTTTTTTTAAGTTAAGTTTTGCCACTTTAGCAATTTTCCCCCTAAATTTAGCAGTTTTCAGTGTTACCTAGAAAAAGAAATTACCATTTTGCGAGTGGCGGGATGTCTAGCGGTGTGCGAGTCATGTCAGCGTTTTTTTCTGGCGGTGTAAATGTTCATAATTTTTATTTTTTGTTTCTATAGTCGTTTACAAGTCAAGAAGGTAGAAGCTCCTCTCACAAGCGTGATGCGCCCGTTTCAAATCCATCCGCAGTCGAAAGAAGAGTTCACTGGAAACGCCCCTTGTTCCACTTCAATGAATAGATATTGGCTACAGAGTGATGGCAACTTGTCTCCGACCCCCACTTTTTAAGAAAGCAACCTTTGTATTCATCGGAGAGCCCCTGAAACTGGTCTTTGTATCCATCGGAGGGGGAACCTAACCCCCCAAAGTCGTATTTGTTTCGATCGGAGGGGCAAAACTCTAATCTCCCCCTCGTGGCTTCCACAACGCTAAGTCAAAGTCAAATGATAAAGCAAATATTTACAGGAAGAGAAAAGCCTCTCCCGCGTTGGCCACGATGCCACGGAAACGATGGGACGCTATTGGATGCGGAGGTGGCGGAGGGATATATGAATCCCTTTGAGGGACATTTTCCGCTACCTTCTTGACCTGTAACTTACTATAGATAGCTTAAGTTATGTGGTAAATTAATTTTTTAGGGTAGTCATCTTCGCTTACGCTGAGCAAAATTATGGTCAATGTGAGTAACTCTCGACGCCATTGAAAATATGTTGTGCAAAAACAGTTAGGGCGCAGGCGAGCTGGTGAAGGTTTACCATTTTGTTAGACTACCTGAGACTGGGTGGAAGAAACATGACGACGTCTCGTGTTGGAGACATTGTGTTTCTTCCACCCAGTCTTGGGTGGTCTAGCAAAATGTTGTGGAAGTCTGCAAGATATAATGCACACAGTAAAATAAGCACCAAACTTTTTTAAAAGGTGGAGGGCTATGATTTAATATTTTGGAGAAATATTGGAAGTTGAAAGCGACGTCAGACGAGTCATTGTCACAGTTCGGTGCGGAGCGAGAGGGGAAGCACACTTGCCGCGGACCGCAACGGGGGTTCGAACGCCCGCTATCCCACAGTACGGGGGCAAAACATGGGACGAACGGAGCACAAGAAACATTTAATAAAAGGCTAATAAGATGGTGACAAAAGTAAAAGAAGAATGCAGACACAGTCGCGGTCAGGCAGAAGCATACGAGGGAAACTTGGTAGCTATGGGCAGGACGGAGAACGCATAACAAGAGCAATAGGAACGATATTGCACTTAGGCGCAGTCTGGCACAACGAGGCTCGCAGGGGCTTGGGAGCATCCGAAGATGGTATTTTGCGATGGATTCTGTCTCGACGTGGCTGCGTCGCACCAGAGGCGGTGGTTGTTGGCTTTAGTCGCTGTTGTGCACGGACGGTCGACGCACTGGGGTTGTCCGGCAGAGGTTGGTCACGTTCAGCGTCCGGACGAGTCTTCCCCTTAACCGCGTTGCCCGAGACTATGCCCCGGGCCAACAGGGAGAGCAGGTTGCACTCTCGAGCCTCCCAAGTCGACTGCCGCACCGTTTCCCAGTTCCAACCGAATGCCACTCTTTCCTGATAAACTCAACGAAACACATCCGCTCCCCTACAATTGCAATACACACACACACAAAAAGATGGCCCTCACTGCAGCGAAAGCACTTGTCGCCCCTCAGCCCCAAACAAAGTCACTACCCAAAACGCTCAACTAGGGCATCTGGCAAACCCATTCCCAAATTCCAAGAAGTGTTATTGCATCCAAGCATCAGGCAAAAGCGTCCTCCAAACGGGAGTCGAAGAGGCCATAAACAAGTCAAGTTAGTGTCCCAGTCCAGACTGGCGAGGTGCAGACTAGCACCAACCAGGGAGTGTCACACCACCCGTGGCGACCCATGGCCCCGCAGGCAGCCGACGTGGCGCCATTTACAATACGCGTTGCCCGGAGGGACCAGGCCGGTTTTTGTGACAGTCACGTATCACTGCTGTAAAGCAGAACTTTCCGCAAAGCTCCTGAATTTGATGGCCAAAGCTTTAAAATGCCACTAGCTGTTTAACAAAAAAATTTGAAAGATGAAGGTGTATGTCGAGAGGTATAAAACTATCGGTAACGGAGAGATAAAGCAGTGGACATCGACCTGTGTATTGACGCATTCTAAGTCATGGAGCTTCCTTTTAGGAGTACTTTTGTTTATAAAACTATTTCTAGCATACTTATAGCAATGAATTGTATTAATAAAGTCGTTCTTGCCGTGCACTTTAAATTTAGCGGTTTTTCTGAACCCTTATTGCGGACTTTTGATTTTTGAGTTGGCAACTTTGCTGAAGCGTGTAAAGACAGCAAGCATCTGCCAGATTACTTTCATACTATCACAACTGTTGTTTATGGGGGGATGATAAGTTGCTTTCCCCACATCTCGTGCTGATGACATGCAAATACCTTCTATTTTAGTAGGCCATTTTTAAAGCCTATCTCAAGCGATGTAAAGGAGTACTGAGACATGGCAGCCTTTTAAGAGGTACTCTGCAGTTTTTTTATAGCTACCCTAACTAAGAACTTTTTTTTTTTCATATATGGGCTTTACTCTTTCTAACACGCAGTGAATGCTGTAAACTATATTTTTGCAGGCTTGATATTTTGCGAACCTTGCTAAAGTTGCACTTTTTTCAGACACAAAAACTTTGCTAGATTTGGCGTGATATGCAATGCATTCATTGCCATAAAGTAATATATCTGTGCATTTAATTTCTTTTCTCATACTTTTCATGTCGTAAAATTGGCAAAAATTGTTTCCAGTATTTTTATGGTCAGAATTTCTCTTGAGAAAATGGCAAACGAAGCAATGCCACTAACCAACATTTAAATATCCCCACGCTTTCCAGCGGTGTGACATCGCTGCAGACACGAGCAGAGAAAATAATATTTCTTGCAGTTTTTTTTTTTCTTTGTGGTGCTGAACAGTTGTTGAAGTGAGCTTGCACAGCATTAATTTGGCATTGTTAAACTTCTTGCAATCATGTGGGAACAAGTTTTAACCGCCAAAACAGTGAACCTGTGCCTGTTGCTGGCATCTCTTTTTCAGCTGTGTTTTTTAAAAAAAATAATTAATGTATTAAAAATATTTTTATTAGAGATAGCTATAATTGTTGAAAAAAATTTGAACGGCTAGAGTTATTTTTGGACACAGACATTTTGGGGAAGAGACTGCCCCCTTGAAATGTGAAAACACCACAGTTGCACAGCATTTCTGTATAAGGTTACTAGAGGAGAGGAGAGACTTCCAGGAGAATGAACAAGACATAATGCAAAAGTAGCATGCACGCATGGTGACACAAAAACAAAAAATATATATAAAGCACACAAAACACACAGTAATGGTAGTCTTTCAAAAAAGAAAAGAGAAAAGTCTTTCTCCTTCCTCTCACTTCTTTGCCCTCAAAATTAGCGAAACAAGGAAAAGAAAATGAAGTCGCTGCAGCCAGTAGCTACTTGGGGATCTTACGCATCACAACACACGTTTCTAGCGATGTCCTGGCAAGAGGGGTCACTTTGACTCCCTGTGGCCAGCCTTCCTTTCGTGTCTTCTTTTGGGTGTTTTCGTGGTTTCTAGCGATGTCCTGGCAAGAGGGGTCACTTTGACTCCCTGTGGCCAGCCTTCCTTTCGTGGCTTCTTTGAACCTTTCTGTTGTTTCTTTGGATTTCTAATAATACTAATAATAATATAATATTTTATTTGCACGTAAAAAGAACAACCCTGGGTGACGTGCTAGGCTGAGCAGATAGGCGGAAACCCGTACATGATGCGCCTGCTAGCCAGTCACCCAGGGGAAAGTGGGGAACATGGGTGCAGATGGTGTCGCATCTTCGCAATGAAGACGACGATGCGGGTGTCCGGTTGCGCAGGTGTACGACCAGATGCTGGAGCCCCGGTGGGTGATCTCCATGGGCAGCTGTGCCAACGGCGGGGGCTACTACCACTACTCCTACTCGGTGGTGCGCGGCTGCGACCGCATCATCCCGGTAGACATCTATGTCCCCGGTGAGACCGCTTTGGCCGTCTCGGTGCGCCTCCGTTGCAAGTTTTGGAGGTCGCTTGCCCGCTCAGAAGTGGTGGGGTCGTCGTCCTCCGGCCGCTCCGACTCTGGGGGAGAGTGAAGTCGGTTGTCCCACGTTTCCGCAGCATGCTCACATTGAACCGGCATGTCGCACCATAGACCATTCCACTAAGGGCTTTCTAAGCAGCGCCATTGTGCTCGACTGCAGAGCCATCTACACGCATCCAAGCATCTCGACGGAATCTTCGTGGTAAATTGGGGAAAGGGAACGCGCTTGATCCCGACAGCAGACAATGAACCTGCTGACCTCCTAGGACATTTTGACCAATTCGGTGAGGTGGAAGGGTTTGGGCACGCGCCGTTCTCATCGTCTGGGCTGTTCCGATGAACTGTACCACCAGAACTGTCTAAACATGGAGGCTCATTTTCCCCTTTGGTTTCACCCTAGTGGAATGGTCTATGGTCAACGCATGTCTTTTGAATTATTTCCCTTAAATGTTAGTTAACTCGAAAGATTCAAGTTAAAAAAAACCATGCAGCAGAGTGGTATTCTGTGACTGAACATGGGGGGTTAACGGCAACAATACTTCCGTCCTCGCAGGCTGCCCACCAACTGCCGAGGCCCTGATGTACGGGATCCTTCAGCTTCAGAGGAAGATCAAGCGCATGAACACTGCACAAATGTGGTACCGGAAATAAACATCTAGTCGCTCTTGTGTAGACCCCCCCCACACATTATGCTCCTGTTTTCGAGCGGAGTTTGACAAATCTCATCCCAGTAAAAAAAAGAAAATAGAATTCAGAGCCGTTTGTGTTGTCTTTTTGTGTCGACACACTCTAGTGAGGTGTGTTTCATTCACTCGCTCCGACGTCAAGAGAGTTAACACAAAATAGTGCCTGCCATTTTTTTTTTTGCTTACGTGTAAAAGGTTGTCATTGAAAATACTGATGCATTCAATGCTCTTCTCTGCAGTACCATTGACGGTAGTCAAGCTCGACAAGCTCAGTGTCTGTTACCATTTCCTATGCAGTGCCGAGAGTTTCGTCATGCTGTGTCATGCAGACTACATTGATGCAAAAGGTGGATGGCAGTGCAGCTCTTTCCAATGCGTTTAAGGTTAGGCCACACACCCAAATCAAATGAGGCAGCACAAGCTGCAGGCATTGTGGCCTGTAGTCATTTCAAATGTGCCTAATACTGCATCAGAGCGTACAGTAGACTCTCATTATTCAAACTCCAGGAAGCCGCAAATTTTGTTTGAATTATCGGAAATTCATATAAGTATGATGCAAGATAAAATTATAATTATTTAAATGGGTGGCTACACATACAAAGCATACATTTGATGACTTCCTCTACACAGGCCTTTTGTATCATAAACAGGTATGCCACTCATGAAACATTGGCAAGATGTATGACAAACTCATTCATCCCTCAAGAACGTTGTCTATCGTGGACTGTTTAGACAGCACATGACACCTCAAAACAAAATTAAGTTCGTTGATCCGGCAAGTGCCGTTGAGTGCGCTTTTTACCGAGCACCGGTGCGCTGCGGAGAAGCAACACCCGCGGAAGTGAGCTCTGCGGGTGTTGCTTCTCTGCAATGCACCGGTGCTCGAAAAGAAGGCTGCTCAACGGGGCCGCGAAAGTAAAGGTATGACTAGCGATCATAATCCCTGGAGAACGGAAAGAAGGGGTACAAAGGACAAACACAAATCTCCAATTACACAGCTAGGTGATTGGTGCGCAGCAGAAAAACTTCACCTGGTCCTGGTAACGAACCAAGGACCTCTCCGTTCTCAGTGGAGCGCTTTACCGACTGAGCTAACTAGGAGTTAGACGTTAGTAGAGCGAACCGCTTTTAACAGCTGCGAAACACCAACGAGGGCGAACGGCCTGCATTTTAAGGTTATGATGATAATGCAATTAATCCCTGGTTCAATACCAGGACCAGACACCTAGTTACGTAATTGGAGATTTGTGTTTGTCCTTTGTCCCCCTTCTCCAGGGAGTATTTCGTCACTCTCATCCAGCTTGTTCGCACCTTCGCATTAATTGCATTCTCATTGAAAGTCTGAATTGCACGAAAATACCGTTAGAATTAAGCGGCTTATAAATAAATTAAAAACATGGCGAGACAGCCAAAATTTTTAAACATGTTTGAATTAACCAGAAGTATGAAATATCCGGGCTTACATCATCGAGATGGAACACTCCTCCATCCTCCATCTGGAGAATGGAGGAGTGTTCTTTGCAATTTCAGAAAGCTTCAAACAATCTTTCGTTTTTTTAATTTTTGTTCTAAGTTTCTAGGCTCGGTGGTGGGAGCTACTGCCCGTTATAAAGGGTACAACCGTTTCCATCCATCCATCTATCCACACGGCTTAACTCTTTTGTTACTCTGAAACATGGCTTAGTTTGTGGCCCTGGTGTCCACCACCTCCCACGTTCCTCCCAAGTCTGGACGTACCACTTGAACAATGTAGCCTGTTTGAAATGCCCCGCAATTAAATTTTTTTTGCACCTGGCTGCAGTAAAATCCGACCGTATGCATGCCACCAAAAACTAAGCGCAGTTGGAAGTTAACGGTAAGCAGCAGAAAAAGCCAGAAATGCACAAAAAATCCGCATTGTATTCATACATTTCTGCTTCGGGGCCACAGTCCCCAAAACTCCGTCAATTTCCGTTCTCTCCCACCTTACGCGTTAATTTAAAAACCAACCTAAAAGACAACCCTCCCCCCCGCCCCTGGAAAAGTCATTCATGTAGCTGCCGCAGTAGTTGCAGTTGCAGTAGGCTCTCCGTACAGCGTCTCAAAGTGCTTCACATACTGTTCACAGTGCTCCCCCTTAGCAAACTCTGGCTTCCCCCTCAGGGCCACGTTCCTATGCTCGAAGAACTTGAACACTGCGTAGAACACGGTGTCGTCGTCGTGGCTCCTCGCCGCTTCCAGGAACTTGCGCGCCGAGATGGCGTCGGTGCCCCCCGTGTTCTGAACGAAGCGGATCGCCGACAGAACCTTGTGCTGCGACAGCAACACTTCGACGATCTCCTCGTTTGCCGTCCCGAGACGCTTCAGCATGTCGAGCGCCAGCTGCGTCGCGGGCGGATACAGCGCGTGCAGCGAGAGCAGCAGGCAAGCGAGCGGCTTTGTGTCCGTCAAGACGTGATACTGGAGGAACTGGTGTAGCTGGTGGAAGCGGCGGTTCCGTACGAGGACGTTGATGAGGAGCTCGTTGAGGCAGTACGGCACTGCCACGCGGTGCTCGACGAGCGAACGGATGTACTCCACGAGCGTCGAGACCACGAAGTGGTGACGGTCTTCGGCTTCGTCCGCGAATTCGGAAAAGACGTGCGCGTACATGTCCGACGGCTCGACGCAGCCTTCCTTTGCGGCGAGCTTGTCGAAGACGTCTGCTAACTGTTCGAGCGGGAGCTCGCTTCCCTTGGCCAGCAGACGACGGCAGACGCCCAGCAAGACTTCTTTCGAGTTGGAGCGTTGGAGCAAGAAGTCGACGAGTTTGCGTTTGTCGTCGAAGTGTGCCAGTAATGGTTCGAGGCTGAGCTGGACGTACCACAAGCACCCAATTTTGGCGTCGATCACAATGTTCGGCTGGAACACGACCCAGTTTGGGGAGTAGAGCTCGTAGCTGACCTCTTCGAGCGAGTTGTTCGGGACCATGGGTACCTTCAGCTTGAATGGTTTGATCGGGGAAGCCGGTACGACCGGCCTGTGGTGGCTCACGAATCCGTCGCTGATGCCGGGTATTCTGATGTCGAACAGCATGGAGCGCTTCGAAGCCTGGTGGTGCACGATGATGAGGCTGTCGACGACGTTCACGGCGAACCTGCCACTCGTGTCGAGTTTGAGGAGGTCCGTCTTTCTGGGGGGTCCCTCCTTCTGGAGGGTATAGACGACAATTTCGGCGCCGGCGCCTCCGACCGAAGTTCGAGCCTGGTGACGCAGCACTACGATGGCGCACTTGCCGTAGAGAACAGCCGCCGTGACGTCCCGTTCCAGCAGACACACTCGCGGAGGCTTGGGGATGATCGGGAGGTCCACCTCGAATTTGGGTAATCGCGTCGCGATGCCCGGCTTGAACTGGAACGGGTGTAAGATGTTTCCTAGCGGTCCGGAGGACAGTATCAGCAAACACGACGTCGGCTGGTAGACGAACCAGTTGACCTGTAGGCTGTATGTTTTGAGGGCGCGGAGCGTTCGCTTTTCGGCGCTCACCTGGTACAGTTCGATGCCGTGATCGGTGACGAAGACGATCTCGTTCACGCACGTCCAGGCAAAACCGAGGATCTTGGTGGCTTTTCCCTTGCAGCTCTGCGAGTATTCAACGCTGTCGACGCTGCCCGAGAAGTTGACGAACTCGACGGACTTCTGGCTGCGCTGGATCGCGAGGATCTTGAGGTCCGGGGAGAACTTGATAGAAATCACGTCGCCCTTGTCGTCCATGCTGAAATCGGTCGATTTGGAGTCGTCCGGACCCTTGACGACGACGCCCGTCGCGCCGCCCGACCGCACCGCGAACACCTGCTGGTTGGCGTCGTCGAAGAAGACATTGGTGATTTTGCTGACGGGCTCGAAACGGATGGGGTTGGAAGAAAGTTCGAGGAAATAGCCTTTTTCGTCTGCCATCGCGAAGATGCTCCGCTAGCTCCGCTCATCTGCTACGGCTGTGCGCGGAACTGAAGCGCCATTATGAAACGTTTATAGTAACTGCCGTCAGGACATATTAGCGGTATTATTTACTAGTGACATAAAATGTGGAAGTAATATATTATTTTCAATAATTGAAAACTTATTTCAACATATTAGCATTTTTATATTACAGTGTCACAATATTTGTATTACGACCTGGCGTACCATGGGACTCGTTTTAGTTGTCATTTATGCAAAAAAAATAGGCACAAATGTATCTTTATTATAAGCTATTCAGGTAATTTATTGTGGTAATTATGTCAAAAAGAAAGTTATTTGGGCCTATTTCCAAATTTCAATGCAGTGTCAGTGTTTGGTAAGCTGCGTGGAAAGCGGACAACATTGTGCGGCAAAATGCAGCCGCCACTCCGCCAAAAAAATCAGGGTGGTGAAAAATTAGCGATGGATCAGCTCGGTAAGTGATCTTCATTCCGAATTCGATTCGAGTCCGCAGAAACCAGCGGGGCGGTCTTGGGCTCCCCGATCGCTCTTTAATCCCGGCAAACGTCCGCAGGCAACTGGATCAATTCGACCAGGCGTCCACGCGAAAACCAGGACCGAGGAGGAGCTTGATCTCCGGGGACGACTCCGGCCTTCGGCGGCGGGTCTTTGCCGTCGCCTCCCTCAGCCAGGGCTCCTCGCAGCCCAGAACGCTGAGACCGACGCTATGCACGAACCGGAATCACCAACGGGGTGAGTAGTGAAATTATACCAAACGGAAATTACCCCCACTACCCCCTTTTTGTGTGTGCGTGTGTTTGTGGCTATCGGTCTCTTTTCTCTTTGTATTTTATTTCTTGCTCACTGGTTGGCCTCTCGCAAGCCTCCATCGGCGGCGCAAAGATGGCTGCCGCTGGTTGATCTAGCCCCGACCTGCCCGCGACCGACCGTAAAATCGAGATCACGCCGCGGAGCAACGTCGTCGGTGGTTCGCAGCCTCACGGAACGATCCTCAGGCTTCCTGGCGATTACGACGAGCTGAAATTCAGGCCCGTGCAAACGCAGAGCGACGCTAAGCCGCCGAATCAATGCAGACTCCGTCGTCGCCGCTCCAAGTCGCCTCGTCGCGGGCGCCCTGGCGTTTTCGGTCGAGGTGCGTCTCCTGCGTTATCCTGAGCTTCGGCGCCGTGCCGGTCGTCGCTCGAGGGTCTTTCGACGGCGTTCGTGGCTCCCGATCGCGTTTGTAACCCTAATAGCGCGGCCGGCTTTGGTTCGAACGGCTGTCGCGGTGAGCGGACGCGAGGCCATGTTCCCAAAGGCATCGGCACTCTCCGCGCTGGGAAAGGCGTCGGAACTTGTCCGACTCGGCGGCTTGCCTCATCGGAACAATGGCAGGCGCGCTGTAGCGTACGTTCGTTAGATCATTTCGTCGTTCGTGTTCGTCTGCGTTCCGATGGCGTTGAAGACGGCGTTGTAGTGTGGGCTGCGGTGATGTGATCCTTTTAAACGTCCGGTGGTGTTTCGAGGTACAGATTTCGAGCAGATCGATTCTGTCGGAAGGGATCGGGCGTTGTTTTCTGTCGTTACTGTGTTTTTTTTTCTTCTTTTTTAGGTATTAAATTTAGGCTTCATGTTGGATTGGGACACTCTTTGGATGTTGGTGGGTTTTGAATCGGAGGGGGATCGTCAGTTCGGTGGCGGGCGGCGGTAGCATCTTGATGGGTCCCCCGTTTTTTTTGTTTTTTTTTCTCGGGCAGCCTTTTGCAACTCGGTATATGTCTCGCGCGCAGCCAGCCGTCTTGTTCTTCGAGCAGATTCCGTGACGTTGCAAGAACGGGATGGGTTCGGCGATAAAAACGAACGAAAATTCACTCCACAGAGTGCAGGTGTTCATGCAAAGCATAGCATTTGTATGTACTTGCTGACTTCTAAAACTGTGTGATAATGAATCCTTCTTAAAGAGACTATGAAACGATTTTCAAATCAAATTTCACCTACCGCACGTCGTAAAAGGTGTGAAAAGAAACACAAATGTAGGGAGCTAAAAAAAATTCTTCGCTATAGAACTTTTAAAAGAAAACCGGACTCTTTTGGACCTTCTTTCCTTCGAAAGCTCTCAGCCTTTTCACAGCGATGCATTTGCAGAACTGCAGCACGTCAACCAAATCCACGTCGCCTATTGGGTAAGAGCCTACCTCACCAACACCGTGATAATAAACAATAAATAGCCAACGAATGTTTCTTAAGAGTTTTGTTAAATAATATTCAGATCCAGATTTTGTAGCATAATTAGAGATTTGACGAATTTGATAATGCTCAGAGCCAAGCGCCATCTATCGTGTGGTAAACAAAGCAAGAGAAAGACCCTACTGCGTTTGCGCAGTCAATCCCCGAGCGTCGTCTGCTGAACGGGTTTGTTCCTGGTTGCACTTTCTTCGCGGAGCAGACTTTCGTTTTCTGGCTGCTAGAGTAGTGTTTACATTGTTTGGGATCGATCGCTCCGTGGCTATGCCGAAAGGCTGCAGTGTACCGAAATGCCCGAATTACAGTTTCTGCAGTCCGGTGTTTAAAAGAAACAGTTACAGTTTCATCGCTTGCCACTCGATGAACCACGTTGTCACAGCATTCGACTATTTTTCTCTGTTTTGGAGGTTTTGTGAGGGAGCGCATCCGTTTGTCGGTCGCCCCTTGCCCTGTGGGTTAAGCGGGACAGCTGGGGCTATCGGCTTGTGCTGTTTCGCGGCCCCCGCTAATTAGGAACCGCGGGAGAGGTCCCCTCTCGAGGAGGGTGCGGCGGAATGTTTTGTCCCCAACTCGGGCGGTTTCTTCTTTTTTTGTTGTTGTTGTTGTTGTTTTGACAAGGAAAGAAATAGGAAAGTGAGGACCTCGGCTTGGTTTCGAGCCAAGTCAAGTCAGTGTATGCGGAGACTGAACCGGTGGGTGGACGCTACGCGAAAGTTGGGAGCGATAGCGGGTGCGGTGGAAGGCGGATTGGGGGAGAGCTCGGAGCGGCTCTGCAGGCCCCCAAGTGTGTGTGCTCGTAAATGAGTGTGGTGCCGAGGAGCATCGCATGGAGCGTCCAAGCACACGCAGACTTCCCCGTTTCGACCAGCGTCGCAACGGGCCCGCGTCACGTACACCCGCAACATATCTAATTGAATTTCGCTCAGCTGCGATGTGTCCATGGCTATCGTGGCGATGAGAGGCGCCGATTCAGAAAATATCGGTGACATAAGCGCAGTAAAACCTACCGGCACACCCTCAACTCGCCGCCGCCATTCTCGTACTGCCGAGAGAACTTCCGGTTCCTGTGCCAGAGTATGTCATGACCGTCAAAATTACGCCGCAGCTTGTTTTTCGGTCAGTTTTAGAGAAAGAAAAAGTCAATATTTCATTAATTTTTTGTGTAGAAGTTAATAAAACGAAAACGGATGCCTGTTCGGCATTCAGTGAACATTGAAGGTTTAATGTAAAAGTTATTTGGCAAAAGTAAAAAGGTCATTTCATGGTCCCTTTAAGTCGCTCATAAATCGCCCATAATGATCAGCAGCAAAAAAAAGAAAAAAGAAGGAGACCAATTTATATTTGTTTGCATATGTCCTGTGTTTGCGGAATGTTTGGTATTGTTTTCTTTGGCAGTATGGATGCTTCTCAGCACAAATGCGGCAAGCATTAAGAGCCAGCATCATGAGCTGAATGTTGTTAACCAGTCAAGCTAATTACACTGTCAGTAATCTGCCAACCTGCACAGCTCATCCCTTTAGTTTTCGTAGAGGCACACACGATTTCGGAACGACCTGTCAGCGTCATGCTTGTCTCCCACATGATTTTGTTCGTCCACCTTTTTACGAAGTGTGAGATTCTTATACTACACGTTTTCTTTACTTTCAACTTTGGTGGCATTCTTTGGTATACACCTTGCTCTGTTTGATGCTTCAGTCGCCAGGCGACACCTACTTTCGCTTTGTGCTTCAGCGGGCAGTATTTCTCTTTTTCTCTCTACTAGATGGCGGAAGAGTAGAGTAACTGTATCTGCCTTGCTCATGGAGCAGTGTCGCAATGATCTCCCGTTTTGATCCTCGGAGCATTGCAGGAAGCAACCGTCGCTCTTGCAGGAGACATGGTCACGTGTGACCTTTGACAACTTTGGTGAGGGTATGGGTGGCAGCAACCGTCTCCCTCAGAAGCCCGCACGCATGTGACCCCGAATGCACTTTATATAATTTTGTGCATTTTTGTAGACGAATGAGGAGTTGACAATGAAAGAAAAGGGAAGGTGATGCTTTGGTTCCACCATTTAGTCACTTTACTAAATAGAGCTTTTTTGAAGCTGAGGAGAACCGGGGTTAATCAGAATCACGTTGCATATGGCTGTTAGGCGGTACTTGCAATTGCATCATTCCTATTAGAGGGCTCCAGTTTGGTGACCCCCGTTTTACAGTCGCTCTACAATCTTCACAAGACTGCATTTCAAGGAATACCCAAACTAAAGTTGCCACTCTGGTCTCCGCCGAAACATAAAAAATTGGTGTGTGTAAGACCGTGTCGGAAGCTTAAATCTCTTGGGAAACGCGACATGACATGTGTTAAAACTAATAAATATGATTTTTGAATCCCGTCCAGTGGGCACCTCGCCTTTTTGAAATGTCATTCCCTTGTTTCTCTCAGCACTGATAACTTGACAAAGTAGCCATACGCACAAACGCAGAGAAGCAAGAAAGTGTGGTTGTTTCACATCTATGGGCATTTGGACCTTTCAGAAGGTGACATAGCGGCGCTACCAGGTGAGGAAGCTCATAACCGTGCCAGTATTGTTTCAGGCCAACATAGGGTGTGTCACCGACGTGCCAACACGGAGCTCCCGCTTTGGTGAATTCCGTTTGGGGATCCGAGCTAAATGTGACGCAGTCCGTTCAAAATGCAAGTGTCGTATTATCGTTTATGCATACTAAGGCTGGACTCCGTGCAGAAAATACCCCGCGAGCAGGCAGCAAAGTTTGCCCGGTGGCATTCTTTCTGCGCGCGACGTCGGAGCGGTGGATATTGATGCCGCGTCCGAAGAGAATGTGCCGTCGAGGGTAGTTCGTTGGTCGTTCACCACACATTCGCTCCGTGGGCTCCAGCTTCTTTTCAAGCATGCTATTTAGATTCCTATTTTTGTTTCAGAATCTCTACAATAACCAAACATAACATTCCGTCAGAGCTTCACTTTCGTAGTCGCATGTAACGCGATACAGCTGCCGTAATCCATGTTTGACTTGAAGCGCGTTTCTCTACAGACGCACCAACTGGGAATTTCTTTCTTTTCCTCTTGTTGCAATGACAATCTGAGTGTATTAGAGATTGTTGATTGGATATCTTAAAGGTAACTGCTCTTCGTATTTCAGCAAACAAGCCGAGAGCATTTTCTTTGATACCCTACATCACGGGTCTCAAACTCGTTTAGCGGGGGGGCCAACATAGGGCAGGGAAGGGGTTCAATATATTTTAGGACGAAGGGAAATAAAAACAGTGATGGTGTTGTTTGTACTTAGAGTGATTACAAAATTTCAAATACCACCATCTTGCCAATGTGCTGAAATTTTTCAATAGAACCAGAAACCAAGCACACATTCGTTACTCGGTCACTGAATTCATTTGGGAATTATCCGAGCTTAAAATGTATGGAAAGAAAAGGCTTTTCACGCGGTAGTTTTTGCCTTCCTGTCAATTTTTATACCAGAATTAAAAGAAAATACTTGTGTTTTAATAGTACGTGAGACAAAACAATTGTGATAAAAAAAAAACATGTTAGTGTCAAATATCTTAGAACTTCTTAAGAGCAGAGCTAAGTTTTCAGCGGAAATGAATGGACGGAAAGATTTCATTATTTATCCTCGGGGCCGCATGTTTGAGACCCCTGCCCTATATGCTCACATAGTCGTTTACTTGATGTCAACATTTTTCTTGGAAACCGGACTTGGTTTGTTTCGTCCCAGCTTTCCGGCACAGATTGAGATGTTTGTTGCAAAGTTGCTAGGTTGGTCGCTTTTCTTTGTGTAAAGATTGGAGGCTGGCTGAGACTGAAAAATGGCACCCGATATTCCACATGGGAAATTTACTGTTAATTGTACCAACAAAACTGTTTTTTTTTTTTCCAGTAACAATTTTTTTTGTTCTACTGAAACTTTTCTTTTAAACTTAATTTTACAAGCTTTGTCATCCACATTTGCATACACGTTTGCAAAGCAGTTATAGAAAAGAAAAGAAAACTTTTGTAGCAAGTTTTGGTTTTGTGATCTAATTTTGTTCTAGAAGGGTTTAGCTGCACTGTGCCATCTGTACACGGGACCTTGACAAGAATGCGGGTAAGGGGAGAAGGCAGGCTAAACTGTGCGCAAACGGCGTTGGGAGTATTGAGACAAAACAACAGGCGGGGTTGAAGTTACGTCGCTAGAGTTTGTCCGTGCCCTTTGGCCTCACCTGGTGTCTTTTCTCTCTTGGCTTTCTCGCCGACGCGAGGGACCCTGTTTGTTGCGACCGTCTTTGTTCAACTCTTGCGTGCAACCAAGTGGCGCTTCTTCCAAATGCAGATGCAACACTCCTCAGGGCAGCGCTTCGGTCGTAGCGGGATACCATGACCACCAATACCACAAGTATGTGCTGCTGCCGCATTGTTGCATGCGAAAGTTGCATGCAAAAGTTGCATGCGAAAGTTGCCATCACTTGTCACCGGCTAAACTGAATCACACGGGCAAAAGAGGAGCTAGCTAAGTTCCGCCTCTTGTTCACTTTGTATATTTGTTGCAAGCAGCGCTGCATGATTGGTTTCAAAATCAACTTGTCCTCATATTTGCTTAAAAAATATTTGAGTGCCTTTCTCTTTTTCTTGTTTTTTGCTCCTACACTGCATGGGATTCAGTTGCTGCTATATTCACAGACAATGATATGGTATGCAGGGCATCCCTTTCCTCTGCACCCCACGTGAGGGAGCTGGCTTTTATAATCCGCCAGCTACACGCGTGTATGGTCGGCGCTCGCTTTCACTTTACGCACCAGCGAAATTTTGTATCATTTCGGTGTTGTGTAGGTACATCTAAAAAGAACTTGAAGCAAAATTAGAGGTTACATACTTTAGGTAGGTAGTAGGTACCCCAACTCGCGAAGATGACGGTCGTTGTGACGGAGCACCGTAGGCGCTGCTTGGTTGGCTCCATTGGATCATTCCGTCGGACCATTTGCTATAGACCTTCCCACCCTCCGTCGCATGGGCGCTACCATCTTGGAATCGCCTGACGGGGCTGCCATAAGGAGGCTTCCACTCGTCGCTCCTCTCTCCCCTTCGTGTCCTGGTAAAGGCGGCGTTGTATTCGTGCTTTTCATCGCGTTTGACCGCGCTTTTTTCCCTTCCTTTGTGAAGTGTCGCCTGATAGTTATTTTTACTACCTAACTGCATGCCATCACTGTGTGCAGAACTTCTGCACTTGATTTTATAGCATGTTTTGACTATTTGCACCCTCCACGTATTGGATAAATGTGAGGAAAGGAATCAGCATTGGCACTGGCACCATTTGAGTATTTAGATCACTCTAAATAAGACACACGAGGGTTGAAAGCCAATTATTTATGACAGCGCAGATTTGCTTATTGGCGCAATAAGAAGTGCAAGGTATGTTTATAATCACACACTCATGATTTTATAAAAAGAAGGCACATATAGTCAACACAAGGAGTAGCCATGTGTTTTTTTAAAGCATCGTGCTCTGCCTTCATAACAGATCCAAAACAGTTGCTTTTGGTTAGATGGGGGAATAAATTTAGCGGTATAAAAATTCGCTTGATCTGTTTGTTTATGAATTTAAATAAACTATACCCTGTGCTCAGTCTCATGTCTGCACAATTTTCTTAAGATATCTAATTCAATTAATTTATATACGCACAGAGGGTTGGGCTCTTCGTGTGAAAAACGTGTCAAAGACAGCTTGTGAGTGCCTGACAAAAGTGCCTGAGACATGCAACATGTGGTGCCGAAAAGAAGCCGTCTGCTGGGAAATCACTCGAGTGCAGCATTGTCGACGCCGGATTTACTCTCGACGTCGCTCAAAGTAAAAAGCATATCTTTTAAAACAAATAAATATCTGTCTACCCATATTCATGAAGTGGTGCCTGGCATTTGACTTGAGCCAGCCAAGCTTGCTGGAGGTCAAGTCTTTTGTGCCCTTTAATTTTATTTCGCAAATCATACGGAAGACAGACGTCAGTCTTCAATTGGCGGGTTTGTCACATCTCCTATTGTCAGTGTGTTGTAAGGAAATGTCCGTATAACAAATAGTTTCCTAAAGTAAACTTTGTGAAATGCTGCTATTTAATACTTTGGTAGAGCTGATAGTTGAGAAAAATTCCTACTTGGGCTAGGATGGACCATCCAAAAAATACATAAATTCTTTAGAAAAACCGATGGAGGCAATATTGCTTCTTTTTTGCATTCCATGAAGTGGTACCTGGCACCACTTCATGGAACGCAGATGAACTTGTTCATCTGTTTTATGCGATTCAGCACATTGTTAGTGAGGTTGTCGACCTGCTTCTTCACTGTGCGTCCATGAATTCATCTCTTCATCAGTTAATTTCTATAAAAATTAGTATCAGCGGGTCCCCCCTCCCCATCTACAGAATTTTGTCATGGGCGGGCCGCCCCAAATCAGAATCCTGGCTACGTGCCTGACTGTGTCATTGATTTTGTACCACGAGGCATACATTTATATCACAAAACTAGTCTAAAAAAATAAATAACATACCAACACAACCACGAGCCTGCTGAAACCGGAACCTACGAAATTGAAGCCACCTTATGGCGCCGTGTGTGTCAGTGCCCTCTGTTTACCGGGCAGGTAACTACTAAGATGAAAAGGCCTATAGCAATGGTGGAGATTTGTGTCCCATTTCATAGAATAAGAGGAACACAAAAAAGGCCAAACAACTCTGCCATGTGAAGGGTGGTGAAAGTGCCACTTTCGTCAATGCCCTTGTAATGGCACTACCTGTCACGATGACCTTTTATGCGATACGTAATGTGTAAATATAATCCGTACGTCAATTCGGTCACACCTACTTGTTCCGACAGGAGTAGACGGGTATATGCAAGTATCGTCATTGAGTAGCCTATTCGCGACTGCAGCTGAACGAATGGCACCTAGTGGGAAGACTCTGAACTGGCCGGAGCAGGCCTTTCGCAACTTCTGCCCGTCCCTCGTGGCTTTCATGATTACGCGTTGTTGGTGGTTGGCGCGGTGGAACAATTGTCCCGGTTACTCTGTCGTCGCTACCGTATCCACGTGTTGCCCCGGTCGCTCCGAACGCAACCTACGCAACTGCGCGAACCAGTCGTTGCGCATTTATCAACGTCCATCATCACCGCAGAAGGACAGTAGGCAGTCCTTCCATCGCCTCCCCGAAGAAGGCCAAGCCTTGAAAAGCTTGCTTACGCTAACACATTGTGACGACTAAAAATCGGGGCAAACTGTTACGAGTTTAATGCTTGCCCGCTGAAAGCTGAGCATTGTGCGTTGAGCTAGCACATGGCACGGCACGACCTGTTTTAGACCGCCATAATTGCCTAATAGTGGCGACCCCTATAGGTTTGCTGACATCGCGAATAGCTCGTCGACCAAATTCCACAGAAGCCACCTCATGCCGCGCTTTCGACTATTCGCGACTCCAGCAAAACGGACGCCATCAAGCGGGAAAACGGGGAACCAGCCGGTCCAGGTCGCTCCGCGCCCCTCCGCGTCTCTAGTGGCTTTCGCGGACACGTGTTGTCGGCGCGATGGTGAACAATGTAATTTCACAAAGGTCCGAAAATTTCTTAAGTTTGCCTGAGTGTTCATTAGTGTGGTGAAGCCTCAGTAGACTGTTTCCTTCCATCACGTGTTTTCGATTTCATGGATGGGGAGGAATCGCGGAAAAACGTTTTGATGTCTTGTTTGTCTCGAATCACATTCAAAGTGACGACTACTTGGTAACTGATAAGGGGTTTCTTTATAAGGATGTAGAACAGTGGGAGGACGACAGACGAGGCATTTCACAGGAGGGAACACCAAAGTTGCAGTCAAGTGAATGGGAGCGTTCGATAGCTGCTTTTCTTGAGTTTGGTTGTGTTCGATTAGCTTCAAGTTTGAGCCAACCACGCCGGTCAGTGCGTTGGCTATTCATCTTGGCTGCTTTTCGCCGAAAAAGCCTCTGGACCACTCTGAAGGAGTTGGGCTGATTTCGCAATTGCTTGATTCTGGAAAACCTGCTCGCTGCAAATGACGGATAAGGGAAATTATCTGTTTTCAAAAGGTGGGGGACGCGTCTCGCAACGTTAGAAGCTGTCACGGTATTATGATCTATCGCGCCTCCAATATTTCTATTATAGCCCCGTCGAATTAAGCCAGCAGCAATGTACGTCTACATTGCTCAGGTTGACCGGCCACAAAAATTCTCATTTATCCGTTCAGGATTCGAAGTCAAGTTTAATGCAGAGAGGTTCTGCGTGAATCTCTAGTGGAGACTCTCTTCAGTTTGCCCGGATTCGTCTCCGTGCTACCGGTATAGAACCATGTGGCTAAGTTTAACTTAGTATCTCTCTGTCTGTCAAATATACTTTTATTCAGCAGTTGACCTAATAGCTAGTTAACTAAGCTCATATTTGAACCCGAAGAATATACTAATATCGCTTTAGGGGGACATAGTACGTCATAAGATACATAACCCGCTCGTCAAAATGACTTCTCGATTGCTACTAAAACCTGAATTGAAATACGAGTATCAGCTGCTTAGTGGGGCGCCGGCGGGTTAACATGGTCCTTGGCTCAAGAAGCGCTTGCTTAATTTTCGTAATTTTCCTGCAGGCTGTGTTGTTGACCGAGCAGACGACTGAAGCTGTTTCTTAAACGCGGATACGCACAAAAGCTCGATTTCGCGGACAGATAAGTCGCATGGTCGAGGCATGCGAGTTGGCTGAAAATTACTGTCGGTGGAAGAATTCTGCAGTCATGGCCGCTTTCTTTAGATGATCAAAACTGATTAGTATATTACCGTCTCTCCAGAGCCCATAGTTTCGGTTTTGAACGAAATCTCCAAAACGAAAGTTTGACATTAAAATAACAAAAAACACCGGGAAAACAAAACTATGCTCTGCACGTTTATGTGCACCGGCTACGCTTAACCGTCTCAGTTAAAATACCTATAAAATTGGGCATTAAACAAAAGAAAATGTGTTAAATTGAACGCGCCACCTGTTCAGGCGGCCCGGCCGAGCCGACGCGACCTGGACTCAGCCGCCATGTTTGTTTGTTCGTGGCGCCCCCTATAGGTCGCTGGAGTCGCGAATACTTGCTAACAAGATAAGAATGGCACGGTGTTTCCTTGTTCTTGTTCGTTCTTTGTTGCTTTTCGTCGTGCTTTGGTTGCGCGGCAGTAGGCCACGAAGTATCATCAGAGGTAGTAAGGTTCTGCTGGAGGCAAGGCAACTGAAGGTTCTCACTGCCATTCTTCTCATCCTAGTAACAACGACAATACTACTGTGTCTCTTGTGCATAATCCATAAGTTCTATTAGAGCGATTGTTCTACAAACATTTATTTTCTTTAAAGGGCGATGCAACAATTTTCGTA